CCCAATGACCTCCAATCACACACACAAACATTTTGTTTAATTTTTAACATTAATGATCAACTAAAAAAAGAAAAAGCATTTTTATTTTAATTATTTTAAGGTCATCTTTTGTTTCAAAAAAAATTTTTTGCGCTTTTCATTTTTTATTTATTTATTTAGTTCATTTCTTCGCGCGAACGTAAATTTTTTTGTTATTTCCACATTCGCAAAAAAACTCCGAACATTTTCTTAAAATAATTTTTTTATTTTTTTGTCTCTGGTTGGCCATGTGAGACATTAATTTAATTGTAAAATAAATATATTAATAGCCCCCTCCCCTAATATTATTGTTAAAATATCCTTATTTTATTTATCCCCATTAGATCCAAAACTTTCTTTTTTGTCAAAAATTAATAAATAAATATTTTTATAAATTTAATTTATACTAGTTCACGATTTTTCACAAATATTTTTTTTAAAAATACCTATGTATTTTATTCATTTACCACATTTAAATTTGGAAAATCTTTAAAATCTTTTTAAAAAAATGCGCGAAAAATACTAAAAACAATATATAACAAATAAAAGCCGATATTTATTTTAATGTTTTGGCAAAGCTATCAATTTTAGTTTTTAGTCAACAAAAAGTTTAAGAAGTTTTTTTGTTTGTAAGTTGCCGCTTTTTAAAGTTTTGTAGTAAAGTGCCTAATTTTATTTATTTTTTTTTAAAGATTTTCTTTTTAATTGTTGTAATCTTTAATTTTATTTTTATTTAGAAATTGTTTCTCTATTCAAGTCGTTTATGAAGGCTTTGTCTCGTTTAGAGAGATAATTAAAAATATATTTAATGTACATGTATTTTTCAGTTTTATTTTAGATTAATTAATTTTCTATTTAATTTTTCACACCTTTTAATTTTAAAAACTTTTTAAAGCGATCTTCGGTTTTTTCTTTAAAAATATTAATTAAATTAACGGAAATATTAAATTAATTAACATTCAAAATTTACCTCTAATTAATTAAATAACGAAAGAAAAAATTTTTATAAATAAATAATAGTTAATTATTCTAATTAATTAATTTTTGTTAATCAAATTAAAAAAAATTTTTGCTTTAAGATTAAAAATATTTAAATATCTAATTTATACATACTTATTTAATTTTAATATTTTAAAAGCCAATTATTTCATTCCTATTTTAATTAAAATTTAGGGTTTTTTATTAATTAACAAAATTGTTGTTTTTTCAAATTATTTTATCATTGCAAATACCCATATATATTTCATTTTTTCCCTTCTTGTTGTCGTAAATCATCATATCTACCTACCGTTGGATGAACATTTTATTTATTTATTTAGCTTTTCCTTTTTTTCTTACTCTGAAATTTTTCTCTTTTTTTCTAAAAAATATAAATTTCTGTCATTTTTATAATATTTATTAATTTATTTATTTTTATTTGTTCTGATTTATTTACGGTCATTTTCCATTAATGGAGGAATCTAAATGAAATAAATTGACTAATTTGGGCAACAGAAGTGTGTTGAGAATTATTACCTTTTTAGTTCTTTATATGGAAATGAAATATTAAGGAAAATATTTTTGAAAAATTAATATAATTTTGGGATTTAAATCTTTGGTTTTTTATAAAAATATATTAATTTTAATAGGTTAAACATTTTCTAAAATTTTAGTAGAAAAGTGCAGATTAAAGATTTAACTTTATGATATCTTCTAAATGATTTTATAATAATTCTCAGAAAATTTTTTTTGTTAAATAAAAACAATTTTAAAAAATACAAAACACACAACTTTGCGGTTTGTAGATATTTAAAAAGATATTACTGACAGATAACGAATGAATGAAAAGAGAATTAAAAGGGAATGAAAGAAGAAAGGGGAAGGGAATATGGGGAGAGGGAGGAGGATCAATCGGGAGAAAATGAAAAAAAAAATGGAGAAAAAAGATTTAGAAATCAATGATTGAAATATGGAAAAGGTTAAAATTGGCAAATTTATTCTGTCGGAGTAGGCCAGTCCGCTGTCAATTCTAAGCGTCAAAATACTATGATATGTCGAGCTAGATCAGATACACTGAATCATGCAAAAATTGTCCGAGCAGCTTTAATAAACTGGGCTAAGTGCTCTTCGGTAGATTGGCCTCCGATAGTTAGGAATGTTCCTATATTTAATAGTTTATTTACATATCTTTTTTGTTGATCAAAGGGAAAAAATGAAAATTAGTAGAAAACAAATTATTTTGTTAATGCGTGAAATGTTTTTTTAAATGTGTGAAATGTGATCAATAAATATTTTTACAGAAATCTGCAATATTTTTAAATTCCTTACTCCAATTTTTTCAAAAAGAGTTGATAATTTCTATAAATATTTTTAATTTAAATCTTAAGTTTTTTTATTCCAAATAAAATTTTGGGGTTTTTATTAAAATATTATTAATATTAAATATTCATTTTTTCTTCTGACCACTAAATATATATTAACTATTAAATAGCCAATACTTCAATTCAAAACAACAAAACACACACAAACCAAAAACACAACAGTTGTTCAAATTTTGGTTTAGAAATTAAGGAAAGGAAAGGGGGGGAGTAAGTAAATTTTGTTTTTAGATTTTGACCGATCAAATAAATAAATTATTTTTAAAAGATTTTCTTTTCTCTTTATTTTTGATTTGTACCACCCGCAATTTAAATTATATCACAGGCGGTCATTGTGGTCATATAGGTGACGTCAGGAAGGCAAAATTGATTCATTGATTCATTTGGCCATTTAAAAAAATCAAAAAGAGAAAGTTAATTAATTAATTTGTAATGAACAAATTAATTTTTTAAAGGGATATTATTTTTTATTTTCCTCGTAATTTGTCTTTATTTATTACACCTCCAATATTTTTAAAGAATATAAAACTTAAAAAATATTTTGTCATAATATTATTAATTTATGTCATTAAAATTTTTTTTCAATTTTCATACTATCTAAATAAATAAATACATATTTCCTCTTTTTTTTATTTCTTTAAGTGATTATTGGTAGTTGCTACTTTCTTTAAAAAAATATTTTTTTATTTTTTTTTTGTCCCGCCTTCTTTATAAAGTATATTTTTCACTAAAACGTCCGTTATCCCCCCTTCCTTTTTTTCAAAAAATATGTTCGTTTTTCTCCTTTCATTTTTCCCATTTCTCACCCTTCTCTTTCCCTTAATTTTCTAATTCGGACAACCAAAAACCTTCTTTTTCCTTTCCTCTTCCCCCCCAAAAAATTTTTTTTCCTTCTTTTTCTCCACATAATCCATCATCCTCATTTTCTTTTTTTTTAATTTAATGGCCAACCAAAATATAAAAAAAACTAGCCAATCGTTGGCTGAGGCACGCGCAAATTACTTTAAGTAAAGAAAAAAGGCATCCGTTCTCTCCCTTTCTCTCTCTCACAACAATTCTTTAAAAAAGTTTTTCTCGTTTCTTGAAATTTTTTTCAATTAATAAATTATATTTTATAACACATTTAAATTATTTTCAATTCCACCTCCTCTTTCCTCCTATTAATTTCCTTTCTAAATAATTTTCTTCTTCTAAATACTATTTACCTTTCTAATAAAAAAATAATTTTTAATTTAATTTAAAAAAAATAAATAAAAATATTTAAATAAAATTAATTTATTTAAATATTTTATATTTTTATTTACTATTCAACATTACGAAAATCATCTATTATTTTATACAAAAGATAATTTTCTTTAAACTTATTTAAATTTTTTTAATCGAATATTAAAGAATTTTTATAAAAACAATTAATTTTTGCCTATTATGAATCCAAACTCACCTTTTACTCGATAATGAGCCATTCTGCTTGTTAGTACCTATGTTCCAGCATTGTGCGTCTGTGTCATAACTCCGAGTGAGTAGAGCTTCTACTCCCATAAAATCAATTAGGATAAGTACTCGATTTTCAAATTTAGTGCCATAAAATCTATGGGAATAGAAAGCTCTACTCATCCAGAGCTATTGGATGCTCTATATGGATAAAAGCCAGAGATTCATGAAATATCATGAACCTATTTCAGATATAGATTTTTCGTCCAATTTTTCTCGCCAAATCACTGTGAATCAATTTTTAATAAGTTTTTGAGAAATCAAAAGAAAAATATTGTTTCGAATATTTATTGATGCTTTGATGTAAAAAATTGATTCTTTTCATCCTTGCCGTACGGCAAAAATTTAAAAAAAGATTAAAAACTAAGGAAAAATTGCAATATAACTCGTGGAATCTTTAAGTTATAAGTCTAATTTTAATTTGGAATGATAGAAACTCATGGTTCTAGAGGTCTAGGAATTTAGTAGATTATCATTTTTGGTCAAAACCTCCCAAAATACCCCAAAAAATGCTCGATTTTACTCAAAAATTCCTCTACTCTTATCTTACTAAATTTCTAGACCTCCAGCTCCATGAGTTTTTTATCGTAAAATTTGAGCTTGTGCTATGGCTTTCTAATGAGTCCAAAAGAAAATTTTCATATACGCTCTAAGGGGGTCAAAGCATTTTTCAAGTTCACGAGTTATACTTTATTTAAAATTTTTTTATCAAGTGTGCATAAACTTTTGGACCACAGAGTATTCAGATAATGCCAACTATTACTTTCGTATTATTTTTTAATAATTTAACATTAGATTAACCTACATATTCATTTAATATTTTATTTATTTCCTTTTAAATTTTTTACAAATATAAATTTTATGTAAGCATTGTATGCATTTTAGACATTAAAATTTTGTTAAAAATATCATTAAAACGCGTGGATAATGGTCTATTTTGTAATTTAAAAGGTTTTTAACAATTGAAAGCAACAAAAGTCAAAAAATATTTTTTATTTTAATTTTTGTTGCTTTCATTTATTAAAAACTTTTTAAAATACAGAATAAACTAAAAAGATAAACACGTCTAAATTAAAGTTTAAAATATTTAAATTTTTAGGCAGTTGCCAATAAATTTAAAGAAAATATTTATAAATGAATCAAAATCATTCTTCTTCCTCTTCTTCTTCTAATTTGACAACAACAACCCCAACAAATAATTCAACATATTATTCAAATAATAATTTGAATTTTAATAATTTAATTGAAGAAGAAAGATTTTTAAATTTCAATAATTCTTTAAATAATTACGAATTTAATAATAAACAAAAATTATTTATTAAAGACCACCAAATTAAAAATGAAGAAGAATTAAATAATTTATTATTAGAACAACAACAACAAAATAATGAATTTAATCAAAATTTAATTGATGGTTGTTTTGAAAATTATTTTTAAAATAAAAAATAAATATTTAATAAATACCTAGCCGGAAAAAAATTTTCAAAAACAACCAAATATTCCCCCTGTTCCTTAATAATTTTATAAAAAAATTTCCAACAGTCAACAATGCCTCAGCTTCTGTTGGAAATGCTTCGTCAGGTGACTTCTTCTCTCCTCTCCACCAACTTTTAATGCCTTCTTCCCACCAACAACAACAACATTTACACCATCCTGGGGAACCTTCAGGGTCTTCTTCATATTTTTGTTGTACTGATACAACGGCTTCTTCAGCTCCAGCAGACCCTCGGCCCTCAGGTTCTATTGCTGAACGTCGACAACATTATAAAGCGTTAAAATTTTATTTTAAAAATATTTTTTTAATTTAAAAAATCAGAATAAAAAATAATAATTTTAACAATAATTATTTCAAAATAATTTAAAGAAAAATAATAAAAAATAGCCCTTTTAAAAATAATTACAAACAAAAAACTAAATTAATCTCCCCTCATTTTCATCTACTTATTCTACTTCAAGACCTTCAAATGACCGAAAAAGGCCTTATCCCTGTTCTCTATGCTCATCTCGATTTGGATCCAAAATGGAATTAGAAGAACATCAAAATTCACATACAGGCCAAAAACCCTTTCAATGCGATGTTTGGAAATTAATTTTATTTTTTTAATTTAAAATTTAATTAAATAAAGGTTTGCCAATCACGTTTTAACCGTCGTTCTACACTTTGGAATCATAAAAGAATACATAGTGATGCAAAACCTTTTATTTGCACTGTTTGTCATGTAAAATAATTTTTAAAAATATTTTTAATTAAATTAATTTAAGATGCAATTTAAATGGAAAAATTCATTAAAATGTCACAAGTATTTTAATTAATTTTTAAATTAATTTTTAAAAATTCAAAAAAGGGAAATGCATCTTCGAAAAAATGAATTACAAGCAAGCTCCTTCCCAGAAGTGGATGCTACACAAATGTTGACATATGCAACTGCTGCAAAAAAGAAAATGGTGGTTTCTATTGACATTTTATCCCTGAAAAAATTTTTTGAATTAATTCTGAGATAGAAATTTTGTTAATAATTTGGGAATAGATTTCCAACATTTTGAACACAACCCGATCCAACATCTCCAAAAAAACTCTCATTTTACCTAAAAATATTTTTAATTTAAAGGGCGAATTAACTGGCAAAGATCCATCTACAATAACTTTACTTCCAACAACTTCAAATAACACTTCTCGATTTTTAACGTGTGCAGGAACTCCTCGTAAAAGAGCCCCACCTAAAACACAAAAAAATATTACTAAAATTCCAAAAACTTTTGAAGAAGAAAATATACCATTACCAACATCCACTACAACAACTTCATTTTCTCTTCCATTTCTTCCCCAAACTTCATCCTCCTCCCAAAATTCTAATTTTTCTCATCAATTTTTTGGAAAAGAAATAAAAAATAATGAAAATCAAATAAATAATTCTGAACAAATTTTGGAAAATAATTTAATTGGAGAATCTAGTACATCTTTATTAAGACCTCAACCATTAACAACAACTTCATTAAATAATGAATTAATTATTTCTAATCAAATAATTACAGAAAGTAAACAAATAAATACAACATCCAACACTGGGCTAGTTTTTCTTTTAATTTAATTACTGTAGAGGGGTTAAAATATATCCACAGAAGGGGATTAATCTTGGACATTAACAAACAATTAATCTCAAATAATTTACTCAATTTCTCAATGTTTTATGTCCTCTCTCCCTCAATAATTTTGATTAGATTTTCGTTTTATCGAAGATTTAATTTATATTTTTTACCAGACTGGGAGTGTCGTATGAGAATCGATATCTTGAAAGATCTCGATTCTCTTTAACCGAACTTTTCGATCGAAATCTCGTCCAAGTCCGGTCTCTAATTACAAGTATTTAGATACCTAAATTTATATTTGTCCAAAATAAAAATCCTCAAAATCAATCAAAAATCCATTCTAAAAATTCACAAAAATTTATTTATTTTAATTTTTTATTTAAATAACAAATTTAATTTTAGATTAGATTTATTTCGTTTACACTGTGGATTAAATAATCATCAAAACAATTCATCATCATCAGAACAACAACAACAACAATTATTACTTTTACAACAACAACAACAAAACAATTCACAACAATTTATTTCTCCCCAACATTTACAATTAATTAGTCCAACAACAACAAATAATTATTCCTCTTCTTCTTCTAATCAACAACAACAGTTAATTGTTCAGCAAAATTTTCCTTTAGATTTGTTAGCTTGTTGTAATAATAATGGAGGGGGGAATACTTCTTCTATTTTAGATTTTAATTTAAATAATAATAATAATTTTGATTCTACAATTACACAAAATAATAATTTATTTGGTTTAGACTTAAATTCAATTGCTACAAATGATTCGAATAATTTAATTGTAAACAATTTATTTTAATATTATTTTTGGGGAATTTTTCTCTTAAGAATTAGTATATATCTGTGAAAATCAAGCTTCGCCTATCCTGGCTAGCTCGAAAATCCGAACTCAAGTTAAATATATATTTAAACCAGCGTTCGGCGCGAATTGCTGAGTAGTTTTAATAGCTTTTGGGTACAAAGGCTGACTCCAGCGTTATTACAACTCGTTTAAACTAATTTGGATTAAATTCCCAGTGTTTGGTATCTTCAGACTCAAATATCCATTCTCAGACTCAAGTGACACTTTTGAAAATATCTTTATTAAACTCCTCATTCAATTCCCCAACGAATGACACCTCAACCATCTTTCTACGACTAATAGTTCAAAAGTTATAAATTTTTATATTTAAGTCATAAAAAACATGCGGGCCTTCGGCCCGCATGCTTTCTGTAATGCGTTCGAGATTAAAAAAATTTTAATTTCCGGCGGTTGCCTCCGGCAACGCGTTATCTGCAACGCGTTCCGTATTAAAAAAAAATAATTTTTAATTCTGGCGGTTGCCTCCGGCAACGCGTTATCTGCAACGCGTTCCGATTTTTAAAAAAATAATTTTTATTTCCGGCGGTTGCCTCCGGCAACGCGTTATCTGCAACGCGTTCCGTATTAAAAAAAAATAATTTTTAATTCTGGCGGTTACCTCCGGCAACGCGTTATCTGCAACGCGTTCCGTATTTTTGAAAAAATAATTTTTAATTCTGGCGGTTGCCTCCGGCAACGCGTTATCTGCAACGCGTTCATTATTTAAAAAAAAATAATTTTTAATTCTGGCGGTTACCTCCGGCAACGCGTTATCTGCAACGCGTTCCGTATTTTTGAAAAAATAATTTTTAATTCTGGCGGTTGCCTCCGGCAACGCGTTATCTGCAACGCGTTCATTATTTAAAAAAAAAATAATTTTTAATTCTGGCGGTTGCCTCCGGCAACGCGTTATCTGCAACGCGATCCGTATTTTTAAAAAATAATTTTTAATTCTGGCGGTTGCCTCCGGCAACGCGTTATCTGCAACGCGTTCCGTATTTAAAAAAAAATAATTTTTAATTCTGGCGGTTACCTCCGGCAACGCGTTATCTGCAACGCGTTCCGTATTTTTGAAAAAATAATTTTTAATTCTGGCGGTTGCCTCCGGCAACGCGTTATCTGCAACGCGTTCCGTATTTAAAAAAAAATAATTTTTAATTCTGGCGGTTGCCTCCGGCAACGCGTTATCTGCAACGCGATCCGTATTTTTAAAAAATAATTTTTAATTCTGGCGGTTGCCTCCGGCAACGCGTTATCTGCAACGCGATCCGTATTTTTAAAAAATAATTTTTAATTCTGGCGGTTGCCTCCGGCAACGCGTTATCTGCAACGCGTTCCGTATTTAAAAAAAAATAATTTTTAATTCTGGCGGTTACCTCCGGCAACGCGTTATCTGCAACGCGATCCGTATTTTTAAAAAATAATTTTTAATTCTGGCGGTTGCCTCCGGCAACGCGTTATCTGCAACGCGATCCGTATTTTTAAAAAATAATTTTTAATTCTGGCGGTTGCCTCCGGCAACGCGTTATCTGCAACGCGATCCGTATTTTTAAAAAATAATTTTTAATTCTGGCGGTTGCCTCCGGCAACGCGTTATCTGCAACGCGATCCGTATTTTTAAAAAATAATTTTTAATTCTGGCGGTTGCCTCCGGCAACGCGTTATCTGCAACGCGATCCGTATTTTTAAAAAATAATTTTTAATTCTGGCGGTTGCCTCCGGCAATGAGTTATCTGCAACGCGTTACGAATTTTTTAAATTAAATTAAACGTAAAATTAACTTATAAATTAATTTGCCTCATTTTTATAAAATTTTATATAATTTTTCAGTCCCAGACTCAAATTTAAAAATGAGACTCAAGTGTCCTTTTTCTTAAAAATACTCATTTTAATATTCCCATTAATTTTCAGAATTTTTAAAATTTATTTCCACTGATTTTCTCCTTCGGACTCAAATATCCACCCTCAGACTCAAGTGACCCCTTTAAAAATATTTTCAAAAAATTCGCTTGATTTTTACACGTCGAATGACACCTCAATCATATTTTTCTTACAACTACTTCAAAAGTTACAAAAAACGCCTCACCGTTGCTTAACTTTCCAGATCGGACGGATTAGGTCGTCAAATTTAAAAATTTTTCCCAAAAATTTTAATTTCTTAAAAAATTCACAACTTTTTCAAAAAAGGTCGAAAAAGTATAAAACAAAGCTTATTCGATGCAGAATTAAATTCTCTATCTTTCATCTCCCAATACTTTTCACATATCTCCAAAACAAAATATAGTTAAGGTCACTTTTATGCAACTTCATCAAAAACGCACTTTTTACTCCATATCTTTTTTTCTGTTAATCCAATCAACTTGAAATCAACTTTTTTCTTAAGAAACCCATCACGCTCTACAACTTTTCTCCCAACCACTTTTTGATCAGACTTCAATAACCACCTTAAATCCAAAGTTACCACTTTGACATAAAAGTTTGTCTTCAGCACATCTACCCTTCCCGTTGTCCGAACGACTTCAACTCTTTTTCTATCATATTCCAAATGTTCTGAAGATGATACCTTGTAACTGACCCAACTTTCCCCGACTTCGTCTTCATACTCAAATTTCACGTCAAAGTTTCGAAATTTCATGTTTTTTCAAAATAACTCTTTTTTTCACTTCTTGACCCCAACTTTTCGGATTTTTCCTGAAAACTACATTGTATTGCGCATCTATAGCAAAAAACCCCACCCCGATACGCCCACTCAAAAGCCCTGGGGACTTTTTTTTAGCTGACTGCCTTTTTACTATTATATATAGATAATATTTAGTCACATATAAATTCATCAACCGGTGTTATTGACCAATTTAATATTCAAAATCAAAATTCTTTTTGCAACACAACAGCAGCAAACTCTTCTGTTGCAACTACAGTACTTAATAATTATCCGGTTATTTGAATTTAAATTTAATTAAAATATTTTGGATAATTATTTTTAATTTTAAACAAATATTTAAATACCTTAATTTAAAAAAATAATTTAAAGTTTGACTCAGCTTCTGTTCGTTTTTTGGCAGCTGCCGCAGAAATTTCATCTTCACATCAACAGCAACAAAAAACTAATTTAAATACAGACATTCAACAACAACAACAACTATTAATTCCGACAAATTCAATTAATTATGGAGGAATGTTTTGTTCTCCAACAAATAATAATACAATAAATGTTGCCGTTTCTTCTATTTCAAATAATTATAATTTACAACAACATTATAATAATCAAATAATACAAAGTAAAATAAATTAATTTTTTTTAATTTTGAATGTCTGAAATTAAATTAATTATTCTAAGTCTTTCGTTACTAAAATCCCGATACAATTTTTGTAAAGGAAAAAATTATTAAATTAAAATTATTATTTGAGAGGATTGAAAATAAATTAATTTAGATCAACAATGTGGAGAACAAAATAAACAAAAAAATTTATTTGACACCAATTCTTCATTATTTAATTCAAATTTAATTAGCAATCAACAACAACATATTATTGTAATTTATTTTTTTATTCACAAATTTTTAAATAAATTTACATATTTTTAAAGGTGGAAGAAACAAAACAAAAACAACAAACTCCTGCAGATAACGAAATTTCAAATACAAATATCACAAATGTTTCTTATTGCTAAAAATATTTTTTTTATTTTTAATTATGAATTAACAAAACAAGAATAGTTATGTATATTTAATTTCCTCCAGATTATTTTTGAGATTTTATTGGGAGGCAGAATGGGAAAGTTTTGTTTTTAAAAAAGTTTAGCACTATTCTTTATCATTTTTAACATTTCTAAATTTTCAAAATTATTTTTATTTTTTATAAGGATTAATCAAAACTAGAAAACCCGAAAATTTTAATATAAAAATTTATATTAAATAAACACTTTTTCGATTAAAACAGTTAAGCTAACAAAAATTGTTTTTAGTACAAATTACATGCTTATTCCCTCTCCTATTTTTCAAAATTTAAAAACTTCCAATTAATATATAAAACTATTCTTGTACATACTTAATTCATAATTTTCATTAAAATACACTTCTATATAAAAATATCCTTTTTATTATCCCTTCAATTAATTTTTATTTTATCTACATATTTCTTGACAGTAAGAAAATTTTTTTTATTTTCTTCATAATGTCTTAAACTTATTAAAGAAAAGTTGACTTTCCTCATAATTTTATATTTCTTGGCTAAATATTTTCTTTTAAAAATATTATTTTATAGATAACACAGTTCATCAATTTTGAACTATTTATTGCAAATAAAATTTAAAATTTTTTATTTTTACATTTAAATTTTTTAATTAATTATGAAAATTAAAATATATTTTATCACAAAAATAAATGTACAATTTACATATTTCTTAAAAATTCTGTTAAAGTGACTTTAATTGAAAATTTATATCCAATATTTTTCATTAATAATTTACATTCAATATTTTAATATTAATTTATTAAAATTATTAGAATTTTATTCCAAAATTCTCTAATAAAAAATAAATTAAGCGTTATATTTATGCAAATTAGTTGCCGATTTTACACGCCGCCATGGAAGCCTGAAAATCAAAAATTATTTTTTAGAAGCCCAAAACAAAAAATCGCCTAAAACCAAAAAGCAAAGCGATGTGAAAACACTGCAAAAAACTAAAAAAAATTTATTCACAGATTTAGGACGAAAATAAAAAATCTAAAAAAATTTGAAACAACAATCAAAACTAGTGTTGCCGTTATTAAATGTTAGATGAATTTTAAATAATCTAAAAAAAACAACTAATTCCTGTCAGTTCCAAACGGCAACCTCTGATACAAAACTAAATAAATCACAACAATAGATAATTCTTTTGATGAAATGGTATAAAATAAACATTAATACCTATATTACTTTAATGATATATTTGAAATAAAAATTAAGTAAAATAAATAGGAGATGTTTTTGAATTTAACAATTTTTATAAATGTATCACATCGCTTTTTGTAAAAGGGGAAAAGAATTGGAACAAAAACATAGATTTTAAATAATGGCCAATTTTATTAGTAGGGTTGTCGTTTCTTGGAAAATCTTCGGATATCTAGAACCGAACCAAAAAACCATGTTCGCCAGTTTGTTTCCGAACCGACAACCCTATCTGCTATTTTCTGGTACTCTTTAAAAATTAAATATACAAATTTATTAAAAAAATAAATAATTGCCTACACTTTGTAGTCATTATAGTAGTAAAATGTTTTCCAAAACTTTGATCTATTCCGCCGATATTGGAAGTAGAAAATCATTAATCCAATGGCAATAAATGATAACCAAACAAAATGATGGAAGTGATGATCAGAAACAACTGTAAAAGCAAGATAATATTTTATAAAAGACAAAATTTTTATTTCAAAATTATTCTCTGGTACCAATTTTGGCTGTACTTTAGTACGTGGGTCCCGGAATCAATATACAAATGTTATACCATTCGAAAGAGCTAGTCGAGCTGAGTCGAATGACACCAGTTTTAGCCCGAGGAAAAATTTTTGGACCGAGATATAGGTCCCTGAAATTTGAAAAAGCATAGGGGGGACCAAGCACTTTTTTGGGGTGAAAAATTCGAAAATGCAAATGATACCTCATTCGAAAGAGCTCCTCGAGCTGAGTCGAATGACACCAAAATCAACGAAATCCGACTTGATTGGACAAAGTTATGATTTTTTATTTTAGCTCCTTACCTATGTCATCTGCGGAGATTTTTGCTGCTACGGAGGCCCCAAATACGTCCAGAGCAAGGGAGATAGGAATAGGTTTATGTTACGAGCCCAGACCCAGCGCCCGTAGACTCCCCGCGAGGCGCGTGCCACAAGCGCCTCGCCGACGCTCCATAGGTTTAGGTTTATTGCTTTTTTGTATCATAACTAAGGCTGTGATAGTTAGGCATGTAAAATCAGTGAAATAGGCGCCTAAAATAGGCACCAAAAAGCCAAAAAAGGCACAAAAATAGGCATGTAAAAAAGGTTATCAGACCATAAAATGGAGATAAAACCAAAAAAATAACCATTTAATCGTCATTTTATAAATTATAAACTATTTATTAAACAATTTTACGATTTATTCGTCATTTTGAATCTTTTTTTGAGAAAAATGGAGTAAATTTTTTTTAAATGTCGGTAATTGCAAAATGGAAATCTCGCCCAACACACAAAACGCCGCACCCCAAAACGTCCCAAAGCCAAATAGTCCCAGTTAAAAATGTCCAATAGAGTAAAAATAAACAATTTAACTAACTAAAAATCAATGATGGGACTTGCCACTAATTTTTTCTAATTTGGGACTGATTTTTTAAGATTTTGCACTGATTTTTAGGCAAAATTTTGAAAAAATCGCTAAAAAAGGCAAAAATAGTACCAAAAATTTCAAAATAGGCAAGAAGGCACAGAAAGTCCGAAATAGGCAGAAATAGGCAAATTAAAAGTGATGCTAGACTTTTCAGACCAAGCTAAAAACACGTTTTTTGAAAGTATTACATCATCACAAGTTTGCAGAAAAAATAGGCATTTGCCTATAAATCACAGCCTTAATCATAACTTTGTCTAATCTTGTTCAATCACTGTGATTTTGGTGTCATTCGACTCAGCTCGTCGAGCTCTTTCGAATGAGCTATAATATGGCTAAAAAAGTTTTAATTCCAATAATAGCCCCTTTGGATTTTCGGTTTTTAGGGGTCTATATCTCGGTCCAATCAAGTCGGATTTCGTTGATTTTGGTGTCATTCGACTCAGCTCGAGGAGCTCTTTCGAATGAGGTATCATTTGCATTTTCGAATTTTTCACCCCTAAAAAAGTGCTTGGTCCCCCCTATGCTTTTTCAAATTTCAGGGACCTATATCTCGGTCCAAAAATTTTTCCTCGGGCTAAAACTGGTGTCATTCGACTCAGCTCGACTAGCTCTTTCGAATGGCATAACATTTGTATATTGATTCCGGGACCCACGTACTAAAGTGACCCCCCAATTTTCTGATGTAAATTGACTAATAATTTTAAAAAATCCAATTTAGTTTTTTTGACACCCTTCCCAATTATAGAAATGTGTACTTTTATATTTACAAATTTAATATAAAAATATTATCAATTAATCTATTTACCTCTAAATTCATCGTCCGCGGCATTCCAACCACCAATCATTTTATCCTCTTGTTCACGTATTTTTGCTTCAATTTCTTCCAATTTGTCAACCTTAAATAATTTTTAAAGGTAAAATTAAATTTAAAAATAAAACACCTTTCCAGCCATAGGATCGAATTTTGGATTTAATCTGCGTTCTGCAACCTTATCAAGTTTCCCATTCGAAAATTCACTAACTTTGTATGCTGGAGCCTGCTAAATAATTAAAAATGATTTTTAATTTAAAAATCTTCACCTTATATTTATCAATTTTCACTTCATTATAATAATTCAATAAAAATTTTAAAACTTTCTCTTCATTAAAACTTCCATCAGAATTTCTACAATCTCCACAAATACTTTCTGGCGGAAATTGTTGTTTAGGGAACATTGGATCTTCGCTAGGCTCTCCCTTCAATCTTTTATTTACTTTATTATGACCACGCCATAACCATAATACAACGTCTTCTGCAAAAATTGAAAATTGATTAAAGGTTACTAGAGGAAGTTTAAAAGAATTTTTTGATAATCAAAATTAAATAAAAAAATAATTAATTAATTACCGGATTTGTGTACATTCAAAAGGCCATCTTCTTTAGCCATTTTATCAAAATTTTTTGAGCAAACTTCACAACTCAAAAATTGCACTATAAATTGATGAATTGGTTCAAGTACTTCTTTAACAGGATCAAATTTTGAATCTAAAAATTAATTTTAAATATTTATATAAATTTGAAATTAATTTACCATCTTTTCTTTCTTTGTAAGCTCTAACAGTTAAAATATGAAAAATAGTCCAAAGGCCACAAGTAAAACCACGCAAGTGAGATTTTGAACCTCGACAAGCAAGATAAGAAACATTAGCCGGTATTGGATGACCAAGTTCTGTCTATATTTAAGGAAAAAATTTTAAATAACTTAATAGACAGGTACTCGAATTTTTAGGATAATCTCGATTAAATTAAGCATAATAAAATGGATATACACAAGGACTAAATAAGGACTAAATTTAAAAAAAGGATAATAATTGCTCATAATATGGTACAAAAATTGAACAAAATTATGAGAATGAAGTAAAATTATGGGTAAAAACTAAAGAACTTGGTCGAAACAGGGAGCCTGACTTTTTGAAATCAAAATATTTTTACAATAATTCCAGAAAAAGTTATGATCAATATCCTCAAATCTTGTAACCTTTAACATTTACAACAAATAAATTTTACAAAATTTCAGCATAAATATATTCACCTGAAATTGCTCAACCTTAGACAAATATTTTTCAGTAGAAATCACTGGTTGATGTTGTGCCCGAAGCCAGCTATCCAAACGAAAGAAAAGGCGACGAACAGGTACTGAACCAGGGCCGTGTCGTCGCATTAGATGGATAAATGACTGAAAATAGAAAAAAGTAAAAACGGAAAATTCGAAAATATTAAAAAACCTTTAATGTTTGTAATTCTGCATTTCCAAGAAAAGGATTCCTGGGAATTTCAATAGTAAGTAAATAATGCATTGTGGCAATTAAATCTTGATATTGAACTTCAAACTGCTTCCAATTCACTTCAATTGATTCGGCTTCTTTTCTTTCGGCATCATTAATTGGTGAATCCTTCAAAAATTATTTTTTGGTAATAATTAATATAAAAATACTTTAAATGTCTCCAAAGGAATTTCAGGTAGTTTTGGATATGGTGCAAGAAATTCATCCAATTTATCTTGCATTTCAACCCAGGATTTGTAAGGGTCACTTGAAAAAAAGAATTATAATCTTTTGAAAAAATTTATAAAAATTACTTTGAAATAAAAACAGGTACATTTTTACTTCTCTCAAAAATAATTAATCCAGGCGTTTGAATATTTTGATCACTCAAACCTTTAACAATTGGATGTGTACTTGAGCATAAATTTAGACGAATACGGTTATCCGTCGCATAATTTATTATCAACTTAAAAAGTAAAAATTATTTAAATTTTTACCAAAACTACCGAAAAAGAGTTCAAGGCTGTTTCCTTGTCTACAATTATTGATAAAAAGTTGACAGACGAATCGAGACCCTTCCACAAGTCAATAAGAGTTTTAGTACTGAAAGAAAACAAAGTTATATGTATTCTATTATCTAAAAATTAAAAAAAACCAACTCGCTCTCAAATTCCAATTTGGGCCATGAACGAGGTGCAAGGCCCTTATCAAAGTCTCCTTTTGCATATTCACTAATCCTTTGCGTTACAAGTAATACATTTCTTTTATCGTCTTTGAAATTAATTGAATCATCTTTATTTTTTGAATTAACATGGAAATACTAAAAAATAATCAAATTTAGTCAATATAAGTTGATAAACTAAAGGAATACTTTGAGTGAAGGAAATGCGTCAATTGCATGTTCTCGACAAACTGGGGCATTAACTTCATCAGCACAGTTGAGTACTGCAACAACCACAACTTTTCTCCATCTTTTCATTGCACTAAAAAGGAAAGGATTTTTTAGCCCAGAATTTTTTTAAACCAACGTTGCAATCTTGACATACAACGGTTTATATTCTATACAGTGACCTGTTCAAGAAAATAAGGGGTTTAGCTATATTTTAGAAAAATGTTTCATACCACACCAACTGGAATAGAATTCCACAAAAAATGCTGTTGGCTAAAAAAGAGCAATTAAAGAACTAAAATATAATTCTTACTACCTTATTATAAACACTTCTATTAAAGGTATTAATGTCCAATTCCAAAACATTATCTCCTGGTGCATAAAGTGTTGGCCTTTCACTGGCGGATGCTAATGTAGCAATAAGCCAGCAATAAGTTAATAGAAGTGTAATAAATTTGAGTAGATTTAAATTAAGAGAAAGTAGCCGTTGCTGTTGAAAAACTGGAGGATAATTAATGTCAAGAACCGGCAATTTCATGCCAGAGCGTGATCTGAAATTAAAAATAATAGTTTAAATGGCAGTTAAAAATCGCTAGACAGGTTGAAAAATTAAAAAGAAAAAGGAGAATAGAAGGGTAATTAAAGAATAATTGAATTTTATTGTAAGAATATCTCCAAGTTCAAATCAATTAAAGTAAATAATTTGTTTACTTTTTTGGAAGCAGTTTATAAAAGGAATATCTGGTATTTTCAAATATGGAGAAGGGGCCGATAGTCGGAGAATGGGAAGGAGAAAAATTAACTATGAATTTAAAGATTAGGATAATATGAAAGAGTATTTGGAATGATAAAGGATATTCCATCTAAAGTAATCATAAAACTCAAAAGTTGATCAATCAAATAACTTAATTGGTTGTTTGACTTAAATATTACGTGGAACATTGCGAAAATCAAAAATTATTTACAAAGGTGTGTACAATCTCCCTCTTACTAATTATAAATCGATCTAAATTTACTCGCTATAGTAAAAAACGATGATCGAAAAATTTAGTTTTTAAAATTATGTGTATTAAAAATAAGAAATACCGCTCATTTAATAGGCTATAATGACAAAATCCTTCCTTGTTTTACCTATTTTTAGCTTTGCTTATTTACTTTTAGTCAATAAAATATACAAAGAACATACAAAAAGAAACCCCAAAGTTAAATCCTGTTTTATGAATGCGCAGAGGAAATTTTGAAATGAGATTAAAAGGAGAGAATAAATAAAGGTAAAAAGAGCACATAAAAAGATTTGGCCGAAGATATGGTCCCCGGACATTAAAATTAATTTAAAGAGATTTTAATTAAAATATATCCCAAAAAACAAAAAACTTACAAATCAAGCGTTGAGTATTTCATTTATACATCACAATAATATCCCAAAATCCTATATTTAAAATTAAAATATAAATATTATAAAAATTGAAAAAATTGCAAATGTGAATCAAGCATTTTATAAAAAATATTAAAAACAAATTCAATCAAATAATTTATCAAATTATAAAAAATAAATTTAAATAAAGACTAAAATAAAAAATTTTCGCACTAAAAACCTAAGGATTAACATAATTTTTAAATATTTAAAATTACAATCCTCAAAAATTCCTTTGTAAATTGATTTATTTTTTTATTCTCTTTGGTTCTTTTTAAGCTTTTTAATTGCTTTTTTTACTCGTTCTGTAGGAGACAAAATATTCGAAGAAGTAATTTTTAAAGAAGGTAAAACTTTCGTAAAATTAGTAATTTTTTGTTGAAATGATTGTGTTTCGGCCGTTATAAAATCATTCCAACGTTCAAAAGCACCATGAGTTTTCTTAAAATTAAAAATATAATTTCCTTTATAAATTTACCTTAAAAATGTCTTCCTTAGTTATTCCAAGATTAATTTGTAAAAAAGAATCTAGTGCAACAAAATCAACTCGTCTCCATTTAAATTTCTTTGTAGAACTGTCTACCAGTGGTTTTGCATAGGCTTCAATTATTTCAATATTTGGAAACTTAAAATAAGTTTTAATAAAATTTTTGCTTTAAATTGAACACCTGTTTAATAGTTTCATCAGAATTATTAGCTTCAATAATTTTTCTCAAAGAAATCCGGCGTGGAGATTCAATAAAAACTGAATTAATGTCTTTTAGGCGTTTTGATAATATCCATTCACTTATTTTCTTAAGAGAACATAAAACCTGAAAATTATTTTATAAAGATAAATTAAACTGGAAAATTGTCTTATAAATAACCTTATCTGATAAATTATCAGTATCATCAGAACTAATAAGAAATTCAGAGATCAATTCAAGAGCAGCAACCACTCCTATCTGTTTCAATCCTTGAGAGTAATCTCCCCCAGCCAACAAACCCAGTTGAATAAATCCACAACGTGTCAAACCTTTATTGAAAATTAAAAAAATAATTTTATTTTGCCTACCAAGTTTTTGTCTTATATCTTCAGAAGAATATTTTTCCAAATTCATCTTTCTGCTGAACATATTTTTATAGACATTTTTAGCACCAAAAAGCCAAACATCACTATCATCGGAAACAATACCATCCACAAGATTTAATCTTTCAAGTTCGGCACATTGCGCCTCTGCTTCAGCAGGAGATTCCATAAAAGGCAAACCGAGAGTAAAAAGAAGTTTCTGTAAAGATAAATAAGCAAAAGTTAAATGACAAATTGTAAATTATAAATATGAACTAATAACGTTAAAATGTGCAAAAAAGGAGCTAAAGAACAGCTAGGGGAAATATCAAACCACTGAATACAACTAGGACCAAAGTGAAAATTTATAAATTATTCAAGACAAAAACCTGACAATCTACATATATTCCATCTCTTTCAGCTTTTGAATTGTTTCCATTTAATGTATTCTTTGAGGAATTTTTTGGAAGTAAAAAATCATCTTTATTAGCAGCGATTTCATTGAATTCCTTTACACTTTCGCCTGATATTAGGCTGTTTTCGTCACTTTTGTCAAACGGAAATTCATCAACAACTTCTATGTCATTGGTAATAGTCGAAGAAGCATCGGAGTCATCTATCAATTCTGGATCGGAAACATCAATAAAATCATCAGAGTTATCGTCACTACTTATTGGAGTAGATTGTGAGGTAACTGTGAGGGGAAATTTGACGTAAAGATTGAAAAAAAGTTAGGATAAAAAACAAGGATGACTGAAAAATATACAAAACCGTGGAAATGTGTGGATAAAGATCACTGAATTTTTTAAAAAAAGGATTAAAAAACAAAATTACCTTCACATTTATGCCCAGTATCAAAATTTTCATAAAATGTAGATTTTGCAATTTTGTCCTCAAATCCATCGGTAGGTGGCAAAACATGTACTTGTTGAAATTGATCAGCAATAATAACTTTAATATCATTATAATCATTTTGAGAAATATCAGCAATGTTGCGCACTCTTTCTTCTTTTAACTGTAATAAATAAACTAAAGAAAATAATCATAAATATTTTTAATTAAAAATACTTTTTTTAGATCAGAATTAGTTTGATTTCTTTGTAAAAGACGCTGTAATTGAAAATTACTAAATTGTTTTGCATCATCTGGAATATCAGATTGTTTTAATAAAGTATTCCGTTCTCGTTCGCGATGCTCTTCCAATCTAGAAATTTGTGCATCAATTTTTGAACTGTAAATCTCGCTATCATTAACAAAATTGTCTGAAGAAATATCACTATCCGAATCATTCGAGAGTGAATTGAGGTTGGAGGTTGAAGGGATATTGCTTTAAAGTATTATAATTTTAAAAACTAATTTATTTAAAAAACCAATCGTCAGGCGTATTTGCAGTTGTGTTTCCACAATTCCCAATTTTATGATTTTTTAAAGGAACACTTTCAGCCTTGTCTGAATTTAAATGGTCATTTGCTACTCGCTCAAAAATTCGTTTCTGCCCTCTATTTATATTAAACTCTTGCAAATGAGATTTCAACATGCGATCACGCTAAAAGAATTTAAAATAAGAAAAATAAACTTGAAAAATCCTCACCAAAATTTGCCTCTTGAATCTAGGTAAATTATCTCCATCAAATACGAAAACAGGCCTGATTTTATAAAATAAAAGTTTTGCAATCCGATTTATTAAAATAGTCAAATGTGGTTTGTTAGATTGTTTGCCAATGTCGAAGCATTGAGCTTGATGAATCCATAATGAAATATCTAATTAAAATTCTTAAGTTATAATTATTATATAACCACATAAACCTATTGCAAGACGTTTTCCTTCAAGTTCCTCCAGAGTTATGGGAGTGGAAGTCACTTTCAACAAAGGCCAAAGACCATGAATTCCCATATTTACTTTAAAATTAATCAAATAAAGCAACCTAAAAACTGAAATAATAATTGAAAATTTTAAAACTAAAACACTCGATTAAAAGCGAACACGCAAACGCGTTCCCAATTTCCCAAACACCTGGCTCTAGTTTTTTTCTTCTGACTCTTGTTTTCTAAAAAAATTTTTTCGGATAATTGAGTCTGGAATTTTTATGATTTTACTATTTATCTCGCACTTGATTAATTTATCATTTGCGTTATGGATGCTCAACATCAAAATTGCGAAGAAAGTGCTTTCCTTTTTGGAGCAAAAAAGATTCGCTGTTATGGCAGCATAGCTGACCTGAACTCCCCAACGACAAGTGCACCAAAGTTTGTCAGTTTGGCGGTTCACAAAGTTCATTCGAACGACACTCTACAAAATCTTGAACTAAGGTTAACTTTAAATTATTAATCTATAAATAATTATTGCTCTCTAGGTATAACAGTTCGATGTTCGAAATCAAGCGCATTAACAGACTGTGGTCTAACCAAAGCCTATACTGCAAAACAGAAATATTAATTCCTATATTTGAAGAAAACGCCTCAAAATCGAAAGAACTTTATGGTAACACAACTATCAATTTCAAAAAGCAAAAGGATAAACTAAAAGAACGCTCTAATGGGGAAAATATGGAAGATGAATCTCTCGATCAATTTCTCAGAAGGATAGACATAAGTATGAGGAAAACAAAAAGTGCGATTGGAAGGTTTGATCAAATGGTGTTGGAAAATGATAAGTCTTACGATTTTTAATTTGTTTTATCACTAGAAACGTAGCTTTAAATCTCAAGTTGTGTAATGTCCTTATCTTAATAAAAATCGATTTTTAGTTAGTCGTAATTCTATAAATATTAATGAGTCAAACCATCGAGTTAATCTAGTTTCCAGCCTTAATCCTTAGTTTTTGAACATTTAAGTATATTAACAACCCAATGCATTATCATTTATATAGTACATCATTTAATTTTACTTAATACATTGTTATGAATCTCCTTTTTTTAATTTCAACATATATGTAACTACCCAAAAAATTTCAAACATCGGAGAATTAAAAAAACTCAATCAATAAAAGTCACCAAGAAACATTCAATTTCCGTCATCTAAAATGAGACGTCCATCATAATCGCCTGCCGGTAATTTTGATTTATCCAATCCATTGAAGTATGGATGCTTGAGCATTTGTTTTGCGGAGATTCGATCCGACGGATTGTAGAGAAACATTTTCTAAAATTAAACGTACGACACGTACTATATATAAAAAAATACCGAGAGAAGTTCAAGTCCATTCTTATCCAAATATAAATCCATTTTTTGTTCCAAATGATAGTCACGCCACTTTGGGAACGATGGCTTATAGTCTGGCAACTGTGTAACACCTTCCCAAGCCTGTTCAGTTGGTGTGGACAATATGCTGAAGTATAAACAAAAGAATTTTTGGTCTAGTATAAAATATAATTAGAGACACCAATAAATTAAACCGGGAAAATTTAACTACCTAAACTCTAATATTTCCATTATTTAATATACCGAAAAATGCGAAACAGTTGGTCAATTTCCGAGTCTCCCTGGAAAAGTGGTTTGTTTCGTGCCATCTCCGCGAATATGCATCCTATGCTCCAAATGTCTATGCCTGTCGAGTAGCGATGTGCGCCAAGAAGTACTTCAGGCGCTCTATACCAAAGAGTGACTACCTAAAACACAAAAATTTGTTCGATCTACAAAGATTGGTTACTTCGTGTGTATAAGCACGTATTGGGATACCGACAGCGCGAGCCAAGCCAAAGTCGGCCAACTTGATGGTATGCGTCTCAGGATCGACCAGTAAATTCTAAAAAAATATTCACATCAAAATAACTTACAAAAGCAAAAGAAAGTCCACAAAAAGAACATAAAATTTTAAATGATAAACCTGTGGCTTCAAGTCACGATGTAAAACTCGACGCTGGTGGCAAAAGCACATAGCTTGGCACATTTGATAAAGAAAACTCTTGACCAATTGCTTCTCCATTGATCCTTCTGCAACATTGTCCATATAGCGCTTCAAATCCATTTGTAAGAATTCAAAAATCAAATAAAGTCGACTTTCCTGAATTTGTGGAGATAACATAAAGCAGGTTTAACAAAGCAATTATGTAAAAACATGGAACCAATAAAAATATAATTTTTAGAAACCCAAATCAATTTTACGGGCCCTGCTGAAATCCCTTTAATTTGCAAGTCCTCTTTAGTTCAGAAAACCAGTAATTATCACAAATTTAAACCTGCATAATAACGTCTTCCAATGTCACGATGTTCGGATTTCGTAATTCACGCAACATTGAAATTTCGCGAATTGCGGTCGATGGCACTCCTTCATCCTCGCTTTCCAATCGGATCTTCTTCATCGCAACAAATTTTCCGGTTTTCTTTTCGATCCCTTTGTAGACAACGCCGTAAGTTCCTATTGAATTTTTGTTAAATTAAAAATTATAGTTAAGAACAGACCTTCGCCAATTTTATCAATTTTAGTGAAATCATCCAAGCTTCTTCCTTTGTTAATTGAGGGCCGCATGACGGAATTTTATAGTATAGAAATAGCTATAATTGTGTAAAAATTAAAAAATAAACACGCAAATATTTAAATGAAATTTAAGAGTAAGCAGGTACTACATACAAATGTAGAACAAAAACACAAAAGTTTAATGCAAAAAATTTACTGAAAAATGCTGCGACGATCAATCCAACATTTGTTTAGAAAAATAGCGCGTTTTTAGCATAATGTTTATTTAAATAGTAAAATTTTTGTAAAATTTTTATTCTAAACTACGGTGTTGTTACTTTAATTTGTTATCAATCTACTGTGTATTTTTTAGAATTTCTACATATTCTCATTGTGAAAGTTGTTAATTTTTATTAGCTAAAGTGAGTAAAAATAATTTTTTTGACTTTTAAGATGGATAATAATTTAACCAGGTATCAGAATCTACTTCAAGTCATACTACAATTAATTGCTGAATCAATGAGAGATGCAATTAAGGTTTTTTATTTGCTAAAGTGCATCATTTTTCATTTGAACATTCGCTTCTGATGGAGAAAAATCAAATTTTTATTTATATATTTCAGTTACATCCTTTGCCAAGTTCCTTGCAAAATGCGCCTCTGATGGAGATTAATGTGGAAATTCAATCAAAGAAAGACGGTGACAAAACGGATGATTTGCAACACAATAACAGCCCAAACCAAGAAAAGAGTGCTTTTTCTATTAAGCCGACAATACCAAATAACGGTAATTTTTAACCTAATAATTAATTTTTCAAATTTAAATTATTTTTATAGAAATGCCGTTAAGTCTTGAAGACGATTATTTTGGTACTTGTTCCTACAATTCCGACGATACACATGTTTGGGATCCATTAAATATTCCGGAATCTGATGCAACTAGCATTTCATCATCGTCAACTGATGCTGAGTTATTCATGCCGATACAATCAGAGGACGACAGGGCATCATCTCCTGAACTTGGCGTTCCACATCCACTTATTTTTCGCAAGTCCAATTTTTCAAATTCTAGATCAAAATAATTTTGTCAAAGAGTTTAAAATACATCTGAGGATTTTAAAAGGCAACTTCATTTTATTTATTGTCCATTTTTGGCATTATGTTTGTTTTTTTATATTTTTGAGTGTGAGATTTTTCGTTATATCCCAGGCTTGATTTTTAATTTTAGGGTCCTTTTTATCTAAGTTACGCTTGAAACTACGCAATCTACATACACTACGTCCCCATATGAATTTTCCTCTGTTTTTTTGTTAATAATTTAATTTTGTTGCTATAAATTTTAAAGTTTTATATTTTTCTTTGTTTATTGTTTTTTCAAGCAATCTATCTGATAAACCACATTCTTTTGGAAGTAAACTAATTTTAAGAAAGTTTAAATGTCTTCTTCTCTCCCATTATTTGATTTAACTGAATGCCTTGCAAATTCTGATGGATGGGGTCCAGGACCTGTTAAAGAATCAGCTGTGCTTGCGCCATTTGAGGGACTTCCATATCAGCCTTTTAATAAATGTGATCGAATTGGGCGGATTGTTGATTGGTTGGGTGTAGATCGCTACAAAAAGAGTGAAATGCGTTAGTTTCTTTTAAAATTCTTAAATTTATTGAGGAAATTAATATTTAGGTGATCGTTATAATGAGCGTCTCTATGGTTCTTCTGCAACTGCGGGTGCTCAGTTCGATTATATACATGATAATGAAGATGCCAATTTCCAATTGGTTGATTCGGGCCGAGTCCAGCGACCGCAAAGACCTGTCTATAGACGGCAATTCCAATTCTTAAATGTTTCTTTTTTTTATTTTATTAATTAAAAGGGAAAAATTCTAAGTTATCTAGGGGTATTTAGGGTTTTTTTATAATTATTTAAAATTTCTATTAAACAATCTTATTTAGCGAAAGCTGGCCCAACGTGAACAGGAACGTCGTGAATATGACAAATATAATGTGCCAAACAAAATGAAACGTAGTATTATGAAGTTTGTTTTAGAAATGTCCGTTACATATATTATTTTATAGAGAACAACAAAAGGCTTATAAAGTTTTTCTTCGACGTGGTGGAGGTACTCGTGGTGCTCAACAACGTACAACTCGTCGTTACAATGAAAGACAACCAGGAAAGGGGCGCCAACCATCTGTTCAAGTCCGACCTGATTGGGAGGTCATCAAAGAATTAGATTTCCAACAGCTTAACAAACTCTCCCTACCAAATGTGGAACCGGGAAAGGATATGTATGCTTTTTTAATCTAATTTTTTTCAAAATAAAATTGTAGTGAGGGTCATAGTTATGGAGTACTTCATTTTTATGATAAACTGGCTGATAGAATTAGTGTCAATAAAGCTGTTCCACTTCAACGCTTTAATGGAACCTACTGTCATATAACTACTACTGAAGATCCTATCATTCATAAGGTTTTTCTCAAAGCATTTAAATTTCAATTAATTTTTTATAAAGTTGGCATCCTCTGACTCTGATGTTGGAAATGTTTTTGCTACTGATATAATTTTGGCAACGCTTATGACTTGTACACGGTCGGTTAATAGTTGGGACATTATTGCTCGTCGGATTGGCAACAAATTGTTTTTCGACAAAAGATCGGTAACCGGTGTTTCGCCAATTGGTGAGTTTTTTTTATTTTTAATGTTTCATTCTTTTTCATTATTTTATTGATTTTCTTAAATTTTATTTGAGATGCTCTTTGGGTCAGTGAAACAGCGATGGAACCTCCTAGCTGGGATGGGCCCGGCGTCAACAACGCTAAAACACTGGCCGACGAAGCTTTATTATTGAATCAAAATTTTCGTCGACAGTTCCTTAAACGAGATAGTCAACATGTCTTTAAATTTGAAAACGAAAAAGTTCCATTCGAAGAAGTGGAAAGCGACATAGCTTATAAATATAGAACATGGAATTTGGGTACAACTCGTGATGGGGTGCCAATTAAATTGGTAGCACGTACTGAACATGATGCTGTTATGCAGGGAAGCGCTGGTGAAGTAGTGAAGTTGACTATCAAAGCTTTTAATGAATGGGATAGCTCAGTGAGTTGTGTATTTAGGCTTTAGCTTAAATGAGGGCTGAATCATTGTTTTTAGATTTATCCATTTTCCATAAATTCTTCACATAATTTTGCTTATCAATAAAAATGGAAAGAGGGAACATGTAAAATAAAAGAAAGCCAAGAATTTATGGAAATGGAGAAATATCAAATTTATGATTCTTTCTTTCATTTAGGCGAGTATTTTCTATATATTATTTACATTTACAAATTTCTTAGCAAAGTGGAGGTGAAGATTGGCGTTCGAAACTTGAAATTCAACGTGGAACTGTTCTTGCGACTGAAGTAAGGTTTGTTGAGGAACGATCTAATGTTTATTTATATTTTTTAATTTACAGGAATAATAACTGCAAAGTAGCAAAATGGACTTTGCAAGCTATTCTGGCAGGCTCTGATTTCCTAAAATTTGGGTTCGAATTTATTAATTTAAACAATATTTAATTTTGACATTTTTACTTTTAGTTTTGTAAGTCGTGCAAATGTCCGAAACAGTACACAACATCTTGTCTTTGGCACCCAACAATACGAACCATCGAAATTCGCCTCTGGTCTTCCTTCTTTGAATATGCAATTATGCTGGGGTATTTTAAGGGCAATAATTGATTTCTTTATGGAACGTCCAGCAGGAAAATATTTACTTATGAAAGACCCACATCAGGTAAGAAATTTTTAAAATTTAAATTCACAAGTTTAGTAGTCTATTCGATGTTTAAACTACACTTTCCACACTTTTTTCGTCTCCTTTAGGATTTTAACTGGCCTGTATCGAGACTTATCGTTGTTTCTACTGAATAATTTTGATTGTTGAGTAAGCTAACCAAGCACGTTTAAATAATACAAATCTAAAGTACGGGAAGTGCAGTTAGACCGATTCAATGATTTAATAAGGTAAAAATATTTCAGCAAGTTGTGCGTATTTACTCGCTTCCGGAACTTGATTCAAGCGAGGATGAAGAGGGGAGTGGTTCATCGGGGGATGAAGCTGATTAATTAAAAAGATTATAGAATGTGTGATTGTTATGTATTCATAATAATTTGCTTTTTGTTGTTGAAAATATATTTTTATGACAAAAATACTTTTAATCAAAATAATATACATATGTATTTTTTGAATATACAAGTGTTAAATTAAAGTTTATGTGCTTATCAAGTCATTTATCTTGTTTGTCTGACAATGAGTTTATCCTACCTATAAAATTTATTTTTTGAAGGAAATTTTTAAAAATAACGGAATTTTTATTCAAAGCTGACATATAAACCCATGCTTTTCATTACATTCTAAACTTAGCCATCGCCCTTCACTTTTTGTTGCCTGAGACGCAGAAATTGCAGCACACCTTTTCATTACAAAACCTTTTGACAGTTTTTGATTTTGCGTATTTTCTGAATTATTCTGTTCCTCAAAATTGCTATAATTTCCAATTATGGAAGAACCGTTGCTGAATTGCAACATAATTTGTACACCTATCCAATAATGATCATTTGGTCGATTACTACTGCCACTATTGGTAAGCATTTCTGAAAATTTTTAAAATAAAAATATTTTTTCATATTTACCATTTATTCTCTCATTCTCAGATTCTGAGTCAATTTCTAATAAAGTACCGGCATGTTCTGAACATTCCCTCTGTGCATCAATCCAAGTGCTGCGTGTATGGTCAAATATACGTACCCGTTTATCTACACTAAATGCTGGCCAGTCTGCAAGTGTGGCGCGTCTCAAATTTTGTTGATTTGCTTCAAGACGGTCAAGTCTCTTAAAAAATTTGAAGAATTTCTTCATTTAAAAATCCTTTTGATTTTCCAAAAAATTTCTTTATTAAAAACTTGCCCTTAATAAATGTTCAAAACGAGTACAGAAAATTTCTTCCAAACGTTTTATAAGTTCTCTAAGCTTTAAAATAATTTATTTTTAAAAAATAAAAATTTTAAATACTTTTTCAATGGAATTAGACGAAAGTTTTGTTTTTCCATTATTTTCTTCTTCATTAATATAACTATTTCGTTTCTTCATTGTTGATGCTGCCCCATGCTCTATTGTTAAAACATTTAAAAATCCTTGTTCTTTTCCAAAATGTCCATTAGAATTTAAATTATTATTTTCTCCTTTTTCTCCTCCTACAACAATTCCAGATTTTGTCCTTTGCGAAGTTAAAGATGATAATGGCTTTTTTAAATCTATTATTAATTTTTGTTCAATTGCCAAATTAATATTAATAAAAATTAATTTTAAAATAAAAAATATAAAGAAAAATAATTGTTGATTTGGCATTTTTCCGTTTTATTATTCAATTGAAACTAATGAAGATAATTTGTTATTTTCTAGCATTTTTTTTAAAAGTTTTATTTAAGAAATTATTTAATAGTGACTGCTTAGACTTTAATTTATTCTCAAGCTTTTTTCAAATTTATTTTTTTTCATCTTTTTATTGCATACGAACTCTTTATTGACCTACATATATTTATTTTGGTTTGATTTTTCAATGAAAAAATTTTTCTCTTATTTAAACTTTTTAAGATGAAATAAAATAAAAAAAAAAGCTAAATTTATTTTGGTTGGAATTTATATGAATAAACTTTTTTGTGTTTATTTTGTCAAAAAATTCTGAGAAAAGTTGAAATAAAATATATTTTGGAAATATTTTTGAAAATTAATATTTTTAGATATTTAAATGGATACTTTTAAAATTAATTGTGAAAATGTTTGTTTTTATCTGAGCATTGGACTTTTCGTTTATTATACCTTGTGGATATTTGGAGTGGTTCGATTTTTAGAAATTTAGTGAAAATATGTACTTGGGTATATTAACAAATATACATAACTCCATTTAAAGAACTCCCTAAATTTTGGAAAAAATGTGATGAATGATTATTCGAGGGAGGGTAATTGTATTCTAGGCAAAAATACTGTACTTCAAAATTTGAAATAAATTTTGAAGTCTGCCTCGTTGGCCATCCAAGAATTTAAAACTAAAAAATTCTAGAAAAATTTAAATAATTCTTCAAATTTCAGCCTTTTATTCCTGCTGAAAGTCATTTGAGGTTATTGTTCCCCTCACAAGTTTATGCTATGGTTATTCCTTTATTTTTGTTTTGGATGGGCACATTTATTGCTTTATTAATTTTTAAATTTCGTTAATGTTTAATTATTTTAAATTTATTTTTAATTTTATTATTTTATTTTATAAAATTTTAAAAATAAAAATTCCTTTCATTTATTTGTCTCAAACACTTTAAAAGCAAAAGAAAAAGTAAAAATGGATTTATATTTTTATGACAAAAAATAGAGTAATTTAAAGAGATCATCCAATTAATTAGAGATCAAAATTATAAAATATTCTTTTCCCTTTTTTCCACTTTTTAAATTCATTTTTTGCCAAATCTAATAAATTTTTGTGCTCTTTTTGGCGCTGTTAAATAAACAGCAGTCATTGAAGGTGATTCTTGTTGTTGCCTTAACCTTTCTGATGGATATAAACCTTCTACAACATCAATTAAATCATCCAAATTTTCTACTTCTGTTGAGGGATCTCCCCCAACTAATTCCTAAAAATTAAAAAAAATTTTATTTAATACAAAAGATGCTCTTGCTGTTAAATAAACAGATTACGCGGTCCAAACAAATTTTTTGCGTCCAATCTATGTTAATAAGACCCGGTTCTGCGTATTAAACCTATGGTCTGGTATTGTACGGGTGTATTATAACGCTGGGTGAGTAGAGCTTTCTATTCTCATTGATTTCACGGACTAAATCGAAGAATCAGGTAGTCAGCGATTGGCCGCATAGAACATGATTGAACGCATAAACATTTCATTGTACGCATAAATGTCATTTAAAAAAACGTATTTTTTACCCCAAAAATGTGTTTACTCCCTTCTATGGTTTTTCAATTTTCGGGGGCCTGTATCTCTGTGAGTTTTTGTCTCCTAGAAAAAAAGGACTGCATAAACGAACTCAGCTTGGCGAGAGGAATCAAATTAAAGACCGTGCTCCCATAAGATATAGTGACCCCAAAGATATTACCATTGAAGGAGTCCGCCCAAATCGAATAAACTTTTGGTTGTTGCCAGCTGAACGTCCAAATCTGATGAATTTCGGTTTAGGCGAACGTGTATCTCGATCGAACCTAAAAATGTTTTATTTTAGAAAATAATTCTTTCGTCTTTTAAGCGACTTTTTAGAAAAAATTAAAATGAGCGGTCGTGTCCGAGTGGTTAAGGAGATTGACTCGAAATCAATTGGGCTCTGCCCGCACAGGTTCGAATCCTGTCGACCGCGAAATATTTTTTAATTTAATTTTTAGTTTAAATAAAATATTTACCTAATATTATTTTTATTAAAAAAATATTTACCAATTTTTAAAAGGGGAGGAAACTTCATTAATTGCTTCTTCAGCTAAAGCCATTTCTGAAGTAAAAATAAAAAGCGAGGCAAAGATAATGACAATAAAAATTGGGGAAAATATTGTTGTTTTAATTAAAGAAGTAAATAAATTTTTGTTTATTGGGAATTGTTTGCTGGTCATTTTTTTAAATTTATTAATGGAGAGAAAAAAAATATTTAAATTTTTATTTGCCTGTTTTCTTAGTTTAACCTGAAAAATAAATTTTAAAATTTAATTAAATATAACTAGAAAATAATTATAATAATTAATATTTAAATTAATAATTCCCTTATTTTTTTTAATCTGAAGAAAATATTTAAAAATATTTAAAAATTAATTTTGGTTTTTCTGAGTAAACTAACTCCATATATTTTTTTAATATTTATTTGTTCTTCTAAATTACCTAATCAGAAATAATATTTAAAAATAAAAACAATAAAAGTCTTTCCTCCCCTTTCACAATTTAATTTTAGGTAACTAAGGCTGGGAAGCTATTATATTTTTCATATTTTAATTATTTGTTACCAAGGATTGGGTAAATATTGCGTGTTAAAATTTTTTGTATTATTTTTTTGAGAGGTTATTTAATAAATAAAAATTGAAAAAATAGGCAATTATTAGAAAATAATTTAAAAAAATATTTTTTTTCAATATATAATTAATTTAAAAGAAAAATACAAGTTTCAAAAAAAATTTTTTTCTTTAAATTTAAATAAAATATTTATAAATAGAATTTAAAAATTTTTTTTCAACTATATTTTATAAATAAAAGTTCCTTTTTTATATTTAATTGGTTATTTCTTTTAAAAATATTTTCCAGAATTATTTTTTCTTTTCTTTGAATTTTTTAATTATTTGTAGGAAAAGAAATATGTATTTATTGAATTAAAAATAAATTTTATTTGGAAGAATTGTCAAAAATAAAGAAGATATTAAATTCTAAATTAAAAAAATTTTTTGAAAAATAAAAATATAAGTAGAATTTAAAAGAATTTTTTGTTCATTCACAATAAATAAAACACAAAAATAATAAATATATTTACGTATTTTTTAGGAATCAAAAAAATAATAAAGTTTCTATTTTATTTAGCTCTATTTTTAGCATTCTTACACAATAAAAAAAGAGACAAAAATTTACGTAAAAAATAAAGAAAGGTTATTTTTATTAATTTTAACGGAAATTGTTTTGTTTTGGGGTTTTCATATTTAAAATAAAAACAAAAATAAAATTAGTATTTATTTTTGTTTAAATTATTTTCCCGATAGTTTTTTTTTGCAAAAATAAAATTAAAAAAAGAAAAGTTTTTTTTATAAATGATGTCATTAAATATTTAAAAAAAAGATTCTTTTTTTTTAAATCAACTATTAAATAAATATTTAGTTGAAGCCAAATAAATTAAAATGTCAAAAATATTAAAAAAACATTTTATTTAAATAAAATTATTAAAATAATGTCAGACACAAATTTCAAATTATTTAAAATAATTTGCTTAATTTCCTCTTAAAATTAAAATAAAATAGGTATATAAATTTAAAAAAATAAATGAAGTAGAAAAAAAAACAAAAAAATAAATTAATTAAATATTACGAATATTTAATTTAGTAGAAAATTATTTCTAAAAAATAATTATTTTTAAAATTTAGTGAAAAAAATAATAATTTAAAAACATATTTGTTTAAAAATTTTTTTTTAATATTTGGTTATGACTTTTATGTAAATTAAAAATATTGCAATTTGATATATGTATATGTAAAATATATTGACTTTAAATATATTTATTTGTTTATTTATAAAAAAATTAAAAATTAATTTTAAAAAATATTTAATAAATTTAGAAAAGTGTATTTTAGAAAAATATTTTTTAATTAAAATTTATTTTTATTTAATCTTTAAAATCTTTTTTTTTTTCAAAAATAAATTTAAAGTCATTATTTAAATTATTATTTTAATATTTTTTTTCTTTAAAAAATATTAAAAGTAGCTAAACACGCAAATGTCTCAATTGAGAAGACTTTCAAGAAAAAAAAAGAATATTTTTTTTGTAAAATAAAAAATGAAATTTTAGAGGAAAAAAGGAAGAATGACTTCATATATTTTACTAATAAAAAATTATTTTTTCTTAGATTAAAGGAAATAAAAAAAATTAAATTAAAATTTAGTTTTTGATATTTTTAGAATTTTTAAATTTAATTTAAATTTAGAAAGAAGAAATAAATAAAATTTTTTAATAAAAAGTTCCTTTTTTAAAATCAAGATTTTTTTAAACATTCTTATAAATAGTAATTATTTTTAATTATTAAAATAAAAATATAAGAAAATAAAATAGTTTAAACGAATTTTAAAAATTATTTAAAGAAAAAATCTCAAAAATATTTATTTTTAATAAGATCTCTACCTATTCTATTTTTGTGTGAATGTCAAAAATAGAAAAAGAAAAATTGAAAAATAAATCTAATTAAAAAACTTTTTTTGCAATTATTTAAAAAATAACAAATTAATTGAGTGGGTGGAGTTTGAAATTGTTTTTTATTATTTATTGTTTTTCCTTTATTTTAATAAAAACAAAGGGACTTTTTTAATTTTGCGAAAAAATAAATTAAATATTTCTTTAATAAAAACAATAAATTATTTTAATTTAAAAATAATTTTGTAGTAAAATAAAAATATATATAAATTAAATATTATTAAAATATAAATTTTTTAGAAAATTAATAAACGGAAATAAAAAAAACAAAGAAATTTCCTTTGTTTCCTAAATAAAAAATTAATTTTATTACGGATATATTTTACCGAGAAAATAATTAAATAAAAATAGAAATTAATTTAATTTTGTTAAAAATATTTTAAAATATTTAAATTTAATTTTTTGTTTTTATTTTAAATTATTAGAGGAATAAATAATTAATAATAATAAATATTTATTATTTTTTAATTAATAATCCTCAAATATTTTGGAAAAATTAAAAAATAGACTTGAGTATTGAATTAAAAATTTTTTTTGACTAATTTGGAAATTAATGAAAAAAAGTAAAGTATATTTTTTACTTCCAAAAATTAATTTTAATTAAATATTCAAATATATATTTCCTAATTATTTCCTTACCAAAAAAATATTAAAAACAAATACCTAATTTTTAATAAATAATATTTTTATTTATTAATTTGGCCAAATCCCCTAAGGAAATGTAGAGAACATTGGCCATTAGATATAAATATATTTTTTTATTATTAATTTAATACAGTCATAAGATGAGACATAAAATTTGAGACAAATGAATTAAAAAAATGAAAAGAATTTTATTAAAAAATAATTCTTTAGATTAAATTTAAATTTTAATAAAATTAAAATATTTTGATAAAAGGGAGATAATTAAAATTCGAAAAGCACAAAAAGCAAAATTAAAAATTTTATAGAAAGTTTTTAAATTAAACATCTGAAAAGAAAATTATTTTGAAGGTAGAAAAGTAAAGGTATTTTGTATTTGGTAGGAGGTGGATGGAAATTTTTTAAAATTTAAATAATAATTCCCAAAAATGATTTTTTATCATTCGTAATTTAAATAAAACATTTAAAATGGTTTTAAGAAAAAACAAGAAAAATACAAAAAAAAAGATTTAATTTTAAGATATAAGTACATTCTTCTTCTTCTTCAAAAAAGCGTAGGGGTTTTAAGGATGTAAAAAACTATTCATTGTTTTTTATAAAAAAATATATTTATATTATAGTACTAAAAACAATATTGTTAAGAAAAAAGGCAAATGAGGAGAAGGGGGAATTAGCCGGAAATATTTAAATAAAATAAATAAAAAAATTTTTTTTGTTTTTGTCTAATGCAGCAAAATCCAATTTTAACAGACAAAAAGCACCATTAAAAGATAAATATTGGCAAAATGAGGATGAAAATGTGTGAAATAAAGGAGAGATAAAATAAAGGAATTTTTTGGGAATATACAATTAATGAAGAAGATAAATTACTAAAATATATATTTGGAGAAAATGATGCTGAAAATTTTAAAAATAAATATAAAAGGAATTAAAAAAAGAATTATTTTTAGAATGTTCATATTTTGCAGAATTTTTCTTGTTAATTTAAAAAAAAGAATTTAAAAAATGAATTGAAATTTCTGTGAATTTAAACTGTACTATTTATTGAGGGAAAAATAAATTTTATTCAAGAGTTGCAACTTATTTTAAATTCTTTGAAAAGGATTTTCTAAATAAATATTTTCATTATTATTTCAATTAAAATATATTTCTTAAACAATAATTAACAATAATAATATATACATATTTTTCTATTATCATAATTTATTGGCTAGATAGTTTTAAGGGCAATTCAATTTGTGCATACTTCAAGTAATTCTCTTGAGGTAATTTAATAAAAATAATTTATAAAAAAAATAAAAATAATGAGGGCAAAAAATATATTTTATTTTATATAAACTCTAAAACAAAAAAAAAATCTTGAAAAAATTTTTTTAACTTAAAATGAAGTAATCGGAAGCAGAAAAAGTGGCTTTGTATTGAATATACAACATAGTTTTTTATTTACTTCCCACATTCATTTTTTCGAAATTTATTTTGAAATTTGTTAAAAATCAAGCTAATAGTTTCCACGTAGATTAACTTAAAAATAATTTTAGAGATTAATAAAAGCCCATAAAACTTAAGTCATCGAGTCTTTCTCTATTTTCTGATTGATACTTGATAGAGAGAGGAGTATTAAATTCGTAATTTTATTTTGAAATTTAATAAAAAAAAAGAAAAAACAATCTTATATTTAATATTAAATTGCACAAATTAATTTATATTTTAAAATTAATGAAAGAAAATACTAAATAAAAATAAATAAATTATGGGAATATTTTGTGTGTTAATTAGAAAATAAATTTATGAGAAATTAAATACTTTCTTTTATTTTCCCACAAAATACAATTAAAGGAGCATATCCCTTGGACAACCAGCCCTCAAATAATCGTCAGATTTTATTCCAAAATAACTCAAATGGTCGCTAGTATCAACAGCCATTGGGAGAGGACGGCAATGGTGATCCTCTGGATACTCACAAACCTATAGAGAAAATTGTTTAAATTTTTTTTATAATTTTTAAAAAATTATTTATTTTAATAAAAAAAGTTGGAAAATGAAAAAAATGAAAGAAAAAACTAGAAGAAATATTTTATGTAAATTTGGCTAATTTAAATATATTCCTTTATTTAATTAAAAATTAATATTCTTACGTAAAAAATTTTTATTTTAAGACTTATACTTTTTTTCAAGTATTTATTAAATTATTTTACAAATTATTTAGTTAATAATTTGTAAAATTTTTATTAAATTTTAGTTAATTAAATTAAAATAATTTTTAAAACATATATATTTTTACGTTTTTATTTAAAAATTAATTTTGTCTAAAATATTTTTTTAATTAATTTTTTAAATTAAAATTTACCAAAAAATCAGCTTCTCTCGATTCCATTCCTTGTGGGTAGTGAACAGCAAAACGATAAAAATATGGTTGCCGTTCAGCACCCCCTAATGTTAATAAAAGTCCATCCGGATCAACAGATTGAGGTATATTGGTTACCTTTAAATTAATTTTTGAAATACTTTATTAATTCTGAAAATTGGAAACATTTTAAAAGAACAGTCACATTTAAATTACCTCATTTTTGTTAAATAATGGAGACGTAATTTAATTTACTCCCCCAACCTTTTTCGAATTAAATACTAAAAATATATATATATATTAAATTACCTCAATTTAAATAAATTACGTGATTTTATTTTATAAAAAGATAATGGGAAAATAATGGAATTACCTATTTAAATTATGTAAGAAAGAAAGAACAATAGTAGTACATATGTATGTTTAGTAAGAATTTCTTTAAATAAATTTAAAAAGAAATATTTCGTTTAAATTAAAAAGGGAAAAATTTCTGTTTAGAATTTATAGTTAGAACAGTGAGGGATGGGCTGATGTAGGGGTTGGAGCTTTCGAAATTAAAAAGAAAAAAAGAACGTGGGGTGTGAAGTATTGAATACGGGCGGTACGATAATTCCGGACGATAATTGCGAATGTAAAATTTTTAAAAAATTAGTTTAGAAATAATTCGGAAACCTTCATAAGTCGCAAACTGACCACCGGGACTAAAAACAAGATTTTATTTAAATAATTTTTAATCCGCAATTGTCAAATCCGGAATTGTCGTAACACCTTGAATCCTATAATAAATTATTTTAAAATTTAATTGAGGCATTCCTTAATGGATATTGTTGTTGTTGCATTATTAATTTTAATTTTCCCCCCATTTCTAATTTTTTATTATTTAAAATTTAGAAAAAAAAACTTACAATATCATTTTTATTAATAACTCTATAACGAAAAGGAACATTTAATTCAACAGCTTTAGCATAATTTAAATTTCCAGTTCTAGGCTCTCCAAAAGTTACTAATTTAACTCTATCAGGTGAAAACATTGTTTGATTAACTAAATATAAAGCAGTCATTGAAGCTAAAGAACCGCCTAATGAATGGCCAGTTACCTTTTATTTAATTAAAATAAAATTTATTTATTTTTGTCTACCCAAATTCGATATCCTTCATGTTTTTCTTTTAATTTCAATAATTGTGTTTTCATTCCCCCTTCAAGAAAAAGACGTCTAAAAGCTCCATGAAAATATGTCATAACCCCAGAGCCATTCACAAATTTTTCCCAAGCCCCTAATTGAGCTGCTATTCCATGAATAAATTCCTTTAAAAATACAAGGTTTTTTTAATTTAAAATTAAAAAAAGACTTGAAAAAGTTGTCTATCAATAGTCGATCCTCTATAAATAACATAAAGTGCTTTTGCCTCTTCAGAAACTGCTAACATTCCCGCGCAAGTATTTTTAGCTTGATCACATTCCACTTCAAAGTATTTAACAACTCTTTTTAAAAAATATTTTTTAAAATAAAAATAATATTAAATATTTAATTTAAACTAAAAATTAAATTAAAAAATATTCCGCGGTCGACAGGATTCGAACCTGTGCGGGCAGAGCCCAATTGATTTCTAGTCAATCTCCTTAACCACTCGGACACGACCGCGCTTACTGCTTATATTTTTAAAAACTACTATCAATTTAAAGAGGAGGAAAAATTTGTTATTTTAATAAACGTCAAAAATTAAATAAAAATATTTTTTATTATTATTTATGGAAATATTAAATTTTATAATATATTTATCTTAAAATTAAATTAGTGGTACTCTTCCATATGGCGACACCCCCAACAATTTCTGAAATATGTCTTATTGTTATTGGGATAAAGACAAATGCTAGCTCATTCTATGCGGATCGCCGAGTTGAGTCGAATTTTACAAAAATAAGCGAGACTAGGTGAATTTTGAATAAATAATGAACAATTAATTGAATGGAGGTGTTTTTATCATTGATTGTAAGGGAATACCAAATTAAAATAATAATTATAAATTTTATTTTCCCTCCTTACTTTACATCACTTCTACTATTTTTTAAACAAAATGTTGGATCTTTTTGTTTAGCAGCCAAAGTAAGTGCATATAAAGATCTTCCTAATTTGTCTGTATATCTACGTCCTTTTGCATTAGATATTTTTAATGGACATTTAAATGGATCTCTTGTAGCAACAGCTACACCACTTGGACAGGAAAGTGGTCCTCCACAAGAATTTGTTGAATAACACCATCTTTTTTGTTTAAATTAATTTTTAATTTAGACATTTATTTTAACCTGCAATGTTCACGAAAAGTTAAAATATTTATATAAGAATTTGTGCAAGCAGCACAATCTCTCACTAAAAAACTTTTAATTATTTTTTTAAAAAATCCTTTATTCTTTACTTTCACTACAAACATTAATCATTCCAGAATTAACAAATTTTGAGAGAAAAATAATTAACAAATAAAATAATAAAAAATATAAAAATATTTTATTCATTTTTTTAATTAAAAAAAAATAATTTTTTAATCGATTTAAATTATTAAATATTTTTTTTTCTAAATTTAAATGAATTGAATCGAATATTTTTTTAAAAATAAAGGAGAAAAGTGGTCAATCAAATGCCATTTAATTGTAGTAAGTAAATGCTTAGGAGTGATGACCTAGAATGGAAAATAAAATAAAAATTCAATTAAATATTCTATATCCTTTACAAAAAAAAGTAGGTCAACAACCGATCGCTAAAGCGAAGATGCAACAATATTTTAAAAATAGAAAAATAAAACTTTAAGAAAATTGAAAATAAATTTTGATATTAGGTATATTTTACAGAATTCCTAGTTTGTTCGGATAATTTTAGAAAATTTTCAAAAAAAATTATAGAATATGGTGTCAAAATGGAAACGCCGAAACGACCTCTCTTTCGTAGTGTTTACAAAAGAAGAGATAAGAAAAAATGATAAGGATTTTCAATTTTTTTTTATAAAAACAATTTCTAATACAGTTTGTAGTACTTAAATAGACCAAAACATTTGCTAACAAATTGTTATACTTACAATTTGTAACGCATAATGAAAATTAACGTTGAACATCTTTTTTTAATTATTTTTGTCTTTAGATCATTTTAATTTCTCAAAAATGCGATTTTGTGGCTAACCGACTTTTGCGACTCGACGCTTGCGGCATTGACATTTGCATTGACATTGACATCCGCTTTCAAATCTCAACACTCAATTCATAGCACTCAAAAAGCCCGCTCCCAATTTTCAAATTTAGTTTTATAACGATTCCCATTTGTGTTGCTTTTTTGTTTTTAAAATATTCAAGGAGTCGTTTTGTTTTCCTCCCTTTGCTACCTCAACGTGCTCGCCTTTTTTGACTCAAAAAAGTCAAAACCGGTATGTAAAGATGCAAAACTAATCTTCTTTAATGGATTGAATTTTTCACTGTCAATGCGAGTCGCTCAATAAATTTAAACGTCTATTATGGATTTTATACAAACGTAAACCCTCAAACTGAGTATTTTATGGAAAAGAAAATATCAAAAATCCCTTTTGTTCTTTCATTAATTTCTTTATTTTTTGGAATGTTTAGCGAGTGATTTTATTAAATTTATTTTTATTTTATTTGTTTTTAGTAGCATTTTTTGTGCTAATACTTACATATAATTTGCAAATGCATTCTTGGATCGACCCCGATGCTAGCGAAAGTGATCTTGATGCATCTTTCGACGAAAGAATTTCCGATGCAATTCCCAGCACTTGTGGAGGGCGTAGAAGATCTGGAGTAAAATCTAATGCAACAAACAATAAATCTACACAAAACAATATAAGTCCATTTCTTACACCTCCACGACCTGAACGTCAAGCAGTGCAACAGGTTTTCTTTAGAAGCTTCACCCCGTATGTTAGTTATTTTTGGTAGTTTGGTTATATGTTTAAATTTTTCTTAAATTTCTGTTTTTTAATTTTATATATTTTAAAATCAGAATCAGCCTAAATTACAATCATCACGGAGTCGTCACACACACGACCCAAATACAACTCCTCTTGCTACTAGACAATCAGAAAAATCACGTAGTAATTTGGTAGCTGCACGCAGATCTGCACAATCGCCTGCTAGTATATATTCTGAAGATGAATCAATTCGCCAACACAGATTAAAAATTCAAAATCATCCAAAACCTGGAAATGGTGCTACTAAACTGCAACAACTTGTTAACCTTCCATTTCGTGCAGTTTTCGGGTTTGACTTTTTTATTAAAATTTGAGAAAGAATTGCTTTTAATGGCTTATTAAAGTATTCAAAAATTTGTAGAATAGCCCCATTTTATTGAAATTTCTAAGAGCAGGGTTCCTTTGATTTTTAGGAATTTTTAATCAAAATAAATTTAAATGTTATTCTTTAAATGAAGGCGTGGAAGTCGAGTGGCTAGTTCTCGTGAGGTGGAAGTTCAAAGAGCTGGTTCTTCATTTAAACCTATGTCCACTCCTTTTGATAAAGGTCTAAAATAATTTTTTAATTTATCTAAATTGAAATTTTTAGGTTTCGAAGCCGAACTGCCTTTGCATGACTCACCCGAAATCGATCGTTTTCCAAATGGTGTTAATAGAAGTCAACAAACTTTGAATGGTCTCCAACAAAGAGAATATCAGCAAACTGAGGTTTTTAATTTAATTTTTAATTAAATATGTATTTATTTTGCAGATAACTGCACAGCAACAAACAAATACGTTCCAACGAGAATTTTCACAGAATATTCCCCTACGGCATGATAAAGAAAATCAAACTGACGATATTCAAATAGCTGCTGACTCACCAATTTCTGACAAGTTCAAAAAACAAAATAAAAATTATATTTTTCACAACAACCGACTACATTCGCCATTTCAAAATTCTTTGTTAAGTAATAAATATGGGCCGTCATCAACACTTCGTTATTATCGACCTTATTCTTTACAACCACCGATTGCTGTGACACCTAAACCGGAACATTATAGACGGTTTTTTTAATTTTTTAAATATAAAAATATTAATTTAAATATTAGAGGTCGGCAAAATCGCACTTTCGGGATCCCGAGTCGGGATTTTTTTCTTAACCGAGGCCGGGACGGGATCCCGAGGGATAAATCCCAAAAAAATTTCGGATCCCGAATGATCCCGAAAATCAAAAAATCCGGGATTTCGGGATCTGGATCCCGTCCCGCGCCGACCTCTATTAAATATTATGAAAATGCGTAAAAAATAATTTTTTACCGAAAATTAAACCGATTGAAAATTAAAACAATTTTTAAAAATAATTTTTCTAGTCTTCACCTCGATCATCTTGCCAAACGAATTCGTGAAGGCGAATTAAAACGAGTTCAACTTAGTGCTCAATTTAAGCTGTTTAATGAAAGTACTCGACAGGATTTAGAGGAGGTTATTTAGTTATATTATTTTTCAACACTTCTTTTAAAATTTTCCTTTTCTAATTTTAAGTGGGAACTTTTGAATAATCAATTAAAATTGGATGCTCGTCGTCGTAACTTTGAGCAAAATCTCCGAGAACAAGAAGAACGTGAAAGAAATACAACAACAAATAATAGTCTTTCTACTCGTCCTGTTGCTGCACGTCCATTAACTCCGGCACCTATTTTAAGGAAGACACCAATACCTAAAACAAATGTGCCTCGTGTATCCTTTACTTCACCGCCTATTCGATCGGTTAATTAATTAATTATTTTTATTTCAAACGAATAATGGGAAATAAAAAGTGGAACTATAAAGAACATATCCTGAAATATAGCTGACATGAGTACAAAAAATTAATTGTTTCGATTTAACACATAATCGTCAATTTTTTCACGATCATCTGGGAAAAACTCATTTTCCTCAAACATAGGCAAACAAATCCCATTTTTATATTTATGATAATTAAGCTAAAATATATTTATTCAATTTATATCTCAAAATTTAAGCCCAACAGAAATGTAGTCCGATCTCAATCTCAAAGACCACCAGAAAATCCCGATACCAGAAAGGCAAAGAAGTACATCGAAAATAGAGGAATTGAAGAGGTTATTTAAATTTTGTATTCATTTTTCATTGTTTTTAATATTTTTAAGGAGGATAGACGTGTTAATTATGTAATTAAATGGAATTCAAATCAAGAACAACTTAGAAAGGCAAAACGTGCAAATCCGCGTATCAATCTCAAATCCAATCCAACTTCAGTATTTCAATATATTCCTGGAAATTCTTCTACTCGTCGCTAAAAGCAAATTTAAGAAATCACCCAAATATTCACTTACCCTCATATATACGTATGCCTTAAATTTAATATATAAAAACTTGTGTTTAGAAATTGATGTTTAGACATTTAGGCTCGTAATCAAGTAATTAAAAAAGAGGGAAATCTGACCTCTGAAAAATTGGATATTATACAGGAAATTCGTTCTCTGGGGTCCTTATAAAAATTTGATTACAGGCTAGCAAATTCTTGACTTATTGTTAGTTCATTTTCCATTTGACTTTATGATAAACATTTCTGATCTTTTTTATTTTTACAATATCTGGAGACTTTATTTAACAAAAGTAAATTTTAATGATTAAATGGAAATTAAAATTTTTAAATTATGTGATTAGAATTAGATTTTTTAATTTAAAAATGATAATAATTCGATCCCTATTCCAAATTTTGATTTAATTTTGAGGTAACCACTACCATAAAATGACAATATAACCGATATTTGAATCTAGTCTTTTATCCCAAAAAGAAGTTAAAAATTTTGAATTCATTAAGTATTTTTTTATTTTTCTTGTGTTCGTGCATTTTAGTTTCAAACAAAACTTTTGACAGCCGACAAACTCTTTTGGCCAGAAAGATATAAAAGAGGAAATGACTAGAAAATCAATTTTCCTCACGTCTGCCTTTAAGTGCATACTTTCACTTTTTTCTGTAATTATTAAACTGTTGGTAGTCTTTAAGTTTCAACAAAATTCATTTAATTATTTAAAAAACTTTTATTTTTAGATTTATTAAATGTCTCCATTTTTCTCTTTATTTTTATTTTTATTATTTTGTATATCTAATAATGAAACAGCTAAAATTCTTTTTACTTTTTATCATGATCGAGGTAGTCATTTTGGATCAATGCTGCCTTTGATGGAAAAGTAATATTTTAAATATTTAAATTTAATTTTCCTTTTTTTAAATTTTGTTCTTGTTTATTAATTCCTTCTGTTTTGTTTAAATAAGTACTTCTAAAATAGCTAAAAATTAAATTTTCAAACAATCTCGAAATAGCTATTTAAATTTGTTTTTTTTATTTTTACCGTCTTCTCTTGTTTAAAATTTTTTATGTTTAAGCAAAAGATTTTCCTTTCTTCACAGCTACTTTAGGACAAATTCGACTAATTTTAAATTTAAAATTTGGCAAAAAAATTCTTTAAAGATTAGCCTCTAATGGTCATTCAGTTTATGCTTTGGATACTATATTTTCAATTAACAAATCTAAATTAATTAATTACCATCGAGCACAATTGCCACAAGACGATGAAGGGGAAGAAGCTAAAAAGGCTTTTGCTCATTTCCTTTGGTGTGAAACAGATTCCTCGGTTACTCTTGATGAATTCTTTGAACATGGAGACAATAAAATTGGAATATTAATGATTAACCACACAGAAAAGGCAAAAATAAAATTAAATAAAAATATTTTGAAAATAATTTTTTAAAATTATAAAAAATCTAATCCGAATTATCAGAAAATATTTTTAAAACTTATTTTAATTCTCCTGATTCTGTTCTAATTATCATTTTATCTTAACCTATTTGTTTATTTTTTATTGTATTAACAATTTATTCTCAATAGCTTTAAAAAAATTTTTTAGGAATTGTTAGATTATTTCAAGTCACTTTTCTCTTTCTCCTCAAAACAACTAACAATAAGAGTCCCCCTCTGCCCAGGGAACCTCTTTTTTTATTTCCAGCCCTCCTTTATTTTAATTTCAACACAACATTTTCAATTATTTATCGTATTATCTTGCACCATTTTATTTTTCTTCTCCTTTTTTTCCTTCTTTCAAAAAAGTTTAGGAATTGTTAAGATTTGTCCTGAATCACCAGTTTCAGCAATTAAGACCAACGTCAACGTTGGCTGTAAATGATACTGCTACTATTTGCAATAAGTTAACATTCCTATAAACTTTTTAATGGAAATAGAGAGAGGAGCTATACTCACCCAGAGCTATTGTATACACGAGAAATACCGGACCATAGGGTCTAACACGTAAATCCGGGTTCGTTAATCCCTTAACAACATGTTACTCTGACCTATCTGTACTTTTGAAGAAAGGAGGAGAAAAATAGTGCAGGATAATGCAGTATCATTTTTAAAAATAATTTTTTAAATTATAAATTGTTTAATCTGACAAGAAAATTATCAAAAAAAATATTTTTAAATCTATTTTCCTCATTTTGTGCTGTATCCCTCCTAATCAAATAAACAAACTAAAAATAAATGTTGCATTCACATGCATTCACAGGCACATATATTTTGACCTCTTTCTATATTAAAAGGAATCCCGACCGTTATCAGAGTCTATCACAATTCCCGACCCTTATCTTAATATTTGTTATTCACTTGTTTTCGCCAATCTCGACTTATTAATGTCCCCTATAAATACTCATCCAAAATGGTCATTCAAATCTAATTAGAAGTGTTTTTATCAGGTCTGGCCAGACTCTTGTAATTGTCCCCTTTTCCCTCCCTTATGTATATATTTTAATTTGTAAATAGTTAGATGTAAATAAAGTTATTTAAAGAGTAGAATTTGTATAATCCTCGAAAGGCTTCGGAACCCAAACCCAACATTTGGTGCCACTTGTCCCGGGCAAGCCTTGTCGAGAGAAATGCGCATGAAATTAAAGCATAAAAAACGGAATTCCAGAAAAGTCGTAAATTAAATAATTAAATGTGCTGAAAGTAGAATAAAGAGATTAACAAATCCTCAAAAAATTGAGAGCTCGAGCTTAAACTCCTTAAATGATCTAAAATAAGAATTTTGCAAAAAGAGGTTAAATGAAGACAAAATTAGAACAAATTAGAATCGAAAGTTAAAAGTCGAAGAAAATAAAATTAAAATATTGAGCTAGAAGAATGTCATGAAATTTTTTTGTTTGGTTAAAAAGTGTTCTAAAGTTTAAAGTTTTAAAAAGTAGAAAAGATATGCTAACCGTTAGTTTTAAATCAAAATCAGAGAAACAAAGTAGCGCCGCGGTATTGAAAAATGCTCTTTGCTACCTCTTGATTATCTCTTTGCACATGTGAATAAAAGTTGTAGTACTGAAGGCAGGTGAAGCTAGGTGCACACTCTGTCGGCTAGGTGCCAGGTACTTAATATAATAATGAAAATCTGTACAGTAATAATAATAAATCAAGGCGGGTGCAGCTAGGTGCACACTCCGTCGGCTAGGTGCCTTGAGAAGGATATTAAGCGGGTAAAGCTGGGTGCATACGCCGCAGGCTTAAAAGCCAGATACTCCTTGAGATTTAAATATCTCGAAATTTTTTTTCAGTGAATATTTTGTATATGAAGATTTAAAACAACGGCAAGGTACAAAATTGAAGATAAATTTTTTTGATAATTTCTGAATGAAATGGAAAATTTGTAGAAGAGATTGAACGAAATGGAAAATGTAGAAAATACCATAGCTTAGGCTTCAAAATTGGTATCCAACGAAATTAAAGTGCAAAATTTCGTTGAGAAAGGAGAAAATTATTATATAATCAACAAAAGTAATCATGTAATGTTAGTTACCTATGAATAAGATATTAAAATATGAATTAAATTAAAAACTTGTTAGAAAGAAAAGTAAATAATAGTTCAGAAAGAACAATTTAATTCATTAGTTCAAAAAAAAACAGAAGCTATATTAAATAAATTGAGATAAAACGCTAAAATAAAAAATAACCTAAATTTGTCGAACATTTCTTAACAACATAAGAAATCTGGTCAGACCCACTTAAAATAGTAAGCGAGAATCAAATTTTAACCGTCAAATACACATTAAAAACTTAAACTGACGAGAATTGTAAAACAATTAGTATAACTTATGGAATAGTAAAACTTTCCGCTCTAAATAATTGACATTGCTAGGCTAAATTTGTGTTGAAAAAAAAAAATATTTATTAGATAAAAGTAAAGGTTTAAATATTTATATGGAGGAAAAACAACAAACATTTAGAAATAGATTGTGGAAAATGACACAAATTTCAGAAAATTATGTTCAATTAAATATTTTTAGTTCAGAGGAAGAAAAATGGATATCCAGAGAATTTAAATGTTAAATTAATTTACAAATCGGTGGTTAGTTTACTTAAAATTAAATTTGAAGCTATCACTGATATTTTAACTCCTCTAAAATTAGTACAACATAATTATTTTAATTCGGCTGGAAGTGGGGATATAAATCAACCAGATTTACAAGTCTATACTGCTGGAAAACTTAATTTGCCATAAAAAATAAAAGGATTAAATAATCAAGATACCCTCCACTTGGAGGAATTTGTTTAGAAGATAGACAATTTCCAGATGCTGTTAATCATCCAAAAGTTTTTCCATCCATAATCATTTCACCAACAAATCTTACACTCGATTGAAAAAAAATGCGGAAACTTAAGCATATAGATAAACTTAAAATAAAGTAAAATACCCCTATAAAGAGAAATGGCAATAAAATTTTTTGAGATGTGAGAGAAAATGATATACTGATTAGAATCCAATTACAATACCATTAATACCGAGAATTCGCATAAAACTCCGGTCATGAAAAAAAAAATTATTTTTCTCAACTAATAACTTAAGCAAGCGTAAAATTTGAGCCCTCAGACAAAAAACACCAAACTGCGAATATTAGTTATATTAAACAGAACTAAATAAAATTTAGAAGAAAGCCAAAAATAAAAATAATTTAACAAATCCAATAGTTTCTAGTTTTCTCAAGTGAAAATAAATTTAGAATAGACTTTGGAGTTCATTTTTAAACACAATTGGAAGAAAGTCTTTAAAATTAAAAAAGGAGGTTTCGGAAAAAACTGCATTAAAAAAGCCTCTCCAATCTCCAAATTTTTGAGTAGAACTGAAAAAAATCACTAGACATGCTTTGATCACTATTATACAGGAAATGGATTTATTATAAGGAAGCAGAATGTAGAGAATTTATGTGAATCTGTAGACAATTAAAAGAAAAACAATTTCATTATAGGGGCGAACACAGAAAAAATATATTTGGACTTTTAATTAAATAATTCTCTTGATCCGATTATAATTCTCTTGATCCGATTATCACCCAACTGTTAGTATTGGGAATTCAGAAAAATATAAAAAGGTCATTGAAAAATAAGAGATAAGTGATCAAATTTTAACCGCAGATACATATTAAAATAAGTAACTTACCTTAAAGTATGCCATTGTTACAACTGTTAAAATACATAGAGCAGATGATAAACATATTTTAAAAGAATGTAAAAATACTCATAAAGAAAAGAGATGGAAACTAAATAAGATACATCCGAAGTAAGGATTTAAATAAAAAATGCCATGTGAGAGAATTGTCAATCAAGGCGAAATGACAATGTAGAAGATAATCAGTTCAGAAAATGATCCTCATTAAAAATATTAATCCTCAAACGAGAGTAGAGTTGAAAGTCATGCAAACCCACTAATTTAAAAAAAAAGGATGCTTAAACGATTTTAAAATATATATAAAATTAGGCTGTCAGATAAAATTCGGGCTCATTCAAAGACAGGCTAAATTAAAATTATAAAGAAGAAATTTTTCTATCACGAAATCAAATGATTTAACCGAGATGTTAAAACATAGCCCTGGACATAACAAATATTGGATTCCGGTTACTAGTTGCCTTTATCAATTTAAAAAAAAAATATTAGGCAGCATTGAATAAACATTAAAAAAAATACAGAGATCGGAATAATTTAAAACAAAAACCCTCAGGTTCTTAATTGGAACTATAGAAGTAACTTTAAAAATAATTATTTCGTTGTTCAATAAAAAATACTTTGATGTAAAACCAAATCGCCGCACCTGCGAGCTTAAAAAAAAAATTCAACAAGCCTCGTTAATCAAATTTTAAAAGAGAATGGATATTAATCAGCAAATTAAATATTATTTTAAGTTATAACTGGTTCAGCCTAAAAGCTCACAAGGAGACTAAATAATTCCGAGTATTTTTCTTTCGAAAATTTATATGTAATTTTGCAGAGATACACAGTTCCCCGTATATCTTATAACAGGAGCTTCAAATATTGCTTAATCAGAATCTCTATGCAGAGTTGAGTAGTAACGCATTGACCAGTGCAAAAATAGAGACAACAAATATCTAGTGAAAAAATCCTAGATACATAAAGTAATCATTCAAATTGAAACTCTGAAAGACAGTAACATAACTCTTAAATCAAAAAATAATAAAGAAATTTGAATTACTTGCGAGAAAATAAAAAATTAAAAATTCGTGCAGATCTATAAGAGGCCTAATTAAAAAATCGGAAAAAAGAAATTTTAAGTTAGCGGCGGACACATCGGACACATTTAAAAATATATTCTGGCTTTTCAATAAAAATAAATAATTGAGAGTTACACATCCAAAAACCCCGTTTTGTCATCCAACTGGTATCGTGAATTCAGTAAAATATTATGTACAAAAAAGTCATTGAATAAAAGGGATAAAAGATACAATGAGATATTTCTAACGGGTCATCATATGTCTAGTAAATAAATAATACACAACTGGATATGCTAAGACACCGGCAAGGATAAATAACCATAAGTATCATCAACTGTACTATCAACTATGCTCACGCCGAGAAAAACACTAATTTCTTTACATAGTGAACTAGTTTGGGTCAGGAGTTTTTAGATAGCCGTCGATCATCAACTTGAGCCGGACTCAAAGCTGCACGAAGAGTAAAATAAAAAGAGTAATCCCTAAAAAATAGCAAAAGCCCATTCTAAAAAAAAAACAAGGACTTGACTAAAAAAAAAAAAAATTTTTTTTTTAATAATGGAGAGGGAAGTACAAAACCGGGAACTAAAAAACCGAGAAACAAAAGCCGAGAAAAACTAGCAGAGAAAAATCCCCCACTTAAAATTGGGAGAATCGACAGAATCATCAGAAGGATACAACTTCCAGCAACGATAACAACACAATCTCCTGCAGTAAAATCAACTCACAAAACTGGAGTATCAGCTGAAGATTGGTCATCTATATATCAACAAAAAATTTGTTCTGCAACTTGAAAGACCCCACTAAATTGCTGCTTTTTGAATGAATTTAAATAAAATCGTTTAATTTATTTATGCTAATTATCCCAACTTTCCCTCACCTTGTTTTCAGTTTATTTTCCCAAAAATTTCTGTACCTATGTAAAATATCCCCTAAATAATCATTAGTTCTGTAATGTAATATTTCTTTCCTCATCAGTGTTTACTTAATTCGTCGGAGAACATGGAGGTAAAAGAAGTAAAACAAAAACACATTAGAAAGAGAATTAAAGCCTTTATAATAATTACTTAAATGTAGTAAAAATAAATCCGCTGCCGTCATAAAGACGAGAAACAATACTAAATTTAAAATATAATACAAAAAAAAATATTAAAATTTTAACGATAAAGCTCGGTCAGAAAAAATATAAAATTAAAAAAAAAAGTCAGGAAATATTTTTTAAAAAAAACCGTCGTTCATAATTGTACTATGAGAAAATAAAAATAATGCTTAGAGAATTAAAATTAAAAAAATATATATTTTAAAATAATCCTAAATTACCCTTATTAAAGGAAAATTAATGTGCCACCCGTTTAATCGGAGAAAAGTTAGTTTAAAGAAAAGCAGTTAATTAAAAAGGCAGCCTTAGCAAATTTCCCGAAAAGTAGAACGTGGACGTTCTTTTCGAAGGGGGAAGGAATGCTGTATCCCTCCTAATCAAATAAACAAACTAAAAATAAATGTTGCATTCACATGCATTCACAGGCACATATATTTTGACCTCTTTCTATATTAAAAGGAATCCCGACCGTTATCAGAGTCTATCACAATTCCCGACCCTTATCTTAATATTTGTTATTCACTTGTTTTCGCCAATCTCGACTTATTAATGTCCCCTATAAATACTCATCCAAAATGGTCATTCAAATCTAATTAGAAGTGTTTTTATCAGGTCTGGCCAGACTCTTGTAATTGTCCCCTTTTCCCTCCCTTATGTATATATTTTAATTTGTAAATAGTTAGATGTAAATAAAGTTATTTAAAGAGTAGAATTTGTATAATCCTCGAAAGGCTTCGGAACCCAAACCCAACATTTTGTTCTACATTTTATTTCAATTTACATACCGTATTTACTCAAATAATTACCCTGGGTAATTATTGTTTCGATGTCTCGCTGGAGGGGGTAATTAATAGGGAGGGGGTAATTATTTGAGAGAGGGCAATTATTAGTTCGACCTTTACATTTTTATTTTATCATAGGCATATGAACAGGAATTTACAATACGTTACCCAATACTGAGATAAAAAGTTGTGTTTTAACTTTATTATTCCCTTAATATTTTCCACAAAACGGATTATACTATTAATACTTCCGTCCTGGGATATATAAAGTTTATTCCTGTTAGAGGTTATTCTTGTTTAGAGGATATAATGTCAATTCTTTTAATATAAATGCCCTCGGAATAGTACTATACCCGCAATACTTCCGTCTTTGGATATATAAAGACACAAAGTCAAGCGAGGATTTAAGGTATTAAAGAGGATTTGGTGAGATATAAGGAATAAGGCTTAGAAGGAATAAGGCTTATACCTTTAAAACTTCTTAATCTCCCATTATCTCTCAAAAATCTCTTAATCCCCTCGATTTCCCTCTTAATCCAATTTATTCCTTGATATTGACCGGTAAAATGTTATATGTACATTAAAATTGATTTGATTTTTAATAAATATTTTTAAAATCAGTAGAAAAAATAGGGGGGTAATTATTTGAGAGAGGGCAATTATTGTTTCGATCTCTAGCTGGAGGGGGTAATTAATAGGGAGGGGGTAATTATTTGAGAGAGGGTAATTATTTGAGTAAATACGGTATTTGTTAATGGTTTATTTTCCATTGTTAATTGTGTTAATCGTTTTCATCTTAATAATTTTGAAATTTTTTTATGAATTGTTAGATTATTTCAAGTCCCCGTAAGCTTTTTAAAAATTCACGATCCTTCTCTTTAAATGAACAATTCCTTTCATTTAATTTTCAACCACACTTCAGGTTATCTCAACATAATCATTCCGTTTTTGTGCTTTGGACTTTTTCATTCCAACCACCTTCTGTTAAAACAAAAAATATAAAATTTATTTTATCTCCATTACCAGAACACGAAAATGAAGCTAAATTTAATGCAGAATATATTTGGAACAAAACTGTTGGAAATGCTTTAGAACAAACTTTAATTCCGGTAAATATGGGAGGAAATGAAGATATGGGTCAATTACTGGAAATACATCAATCAAAGGCAATTTAAAAATTAATTTTATAAATAAAATATAAATCAAAATATTTATGTTATTTCATTCTCAGTTAAATTATCCAAAAAATGTAATATAATCACAAAAAATATTAAATATAATTTAAGAAAAAACTAATTAATCACTTCAAATTATCTCATTAATTACCTATTTACTTTACCTTGTCCTTATTTCCGATTAACTCCTTCTAAAAACTTTACTTTCTTTTTTTATTTTTAAATAAAATATATATATATTTATTTTCCCCTTCGTCTGTCTATAAAGCCTAAAAAACATTTTAGCTTATATAAAATTCTTTGCCCGCTTTCTGGCCTTGCAAATGCATGGAAAAAGAAGAAATATTAGCTAAAAATTGGTTTTCTTTCTCTTTTTTTCTTTTCTAATATGAATGCCACAACCCGCCCCTTCACCGACTTTTATTCATTTTTTTTCCTTTCACAAGCTTTCAACCAGAAAAATATTCCTTCATATCCATTTATTGGCATTTATTTATCTTTTTATTAAAACTTTTATTGTCAAATAAATATATTATTTAAAATTTAAATTTCTTCCATTAAAATATTTCCACAAAATTATACTGTAAAACCCCATTCTGACCAATCAAATAGGGATATCCTAAACTTCAATTAAGCTTATTCCCTTTTTTTCACACATAATTTCAAATATAAATAAATGAAATAATATGAAAATTCAAATGTTAAACCAAAACTACCATCCTCATCACCATCATCAGCACCAACAACCCCAACAACAACAGCAACATTTATTAAATTCAACAAAAAATCCTCCCACCAATTTATCTATTCAAAAACAATATTCCTTCCCTTCTTCACGTTTAACTCGAATACAATTAAATAAAATAAATTTAAATGAATTACGTCAAATAGCAGAAAATTTAACAAAAAAAGTAGAAAAAGCAAATTCAGAATTAATGGCACTTTTAGAGGCTAGAGACACACTTTCTATGAAAAGGGATGCGCTGGCAATAGAAGTCCAAGACCTTAAAGAAAGGGAAGAAGAAAAACTGAGAAGAGGGCATCAATAAAAAATGTTTACTATATATTCTTTGCAATAAAAACTTTAAAAATTAATTAAATTTTTAATAAAAAATATTTTTAAAAATATGTGTATATATTTATTTTTCATTCAAAATTCATTCAAAAAGATAAATAAAATCCCCTTTTAGCTATTTCATTATTACACAATTTATTTGTTTATTTTTAATCAACAATATCCAGACTCGATGTTATTCATATATTATTTATTCTTCACATAGAAAAATTTAAAAAAATTTTTATAAATTGTCTCATTTTAATTTTATTTTTTTAAACACTACATACAACCATTTTTCTAATTTTTCTAAAATTTTGTTTGTAAAATTCAATTAGTATTATTTTCTTCAAATATTTATTTCTCATTTCCTTCTCAAGTTTTTTTTCAATTCTCAGAAAATTATTTTTCTTAAATAAAATATTTATGTAAATTATTTTAAATTAAATTATTTAAATATTTATTGAGAAAAAAAATTAAAAAATAAATTAAATATTTATTTGGGTGTAAAAAGGTGTAAATTAAAATTTTTAAAAATTTATTTAATAAAAAATTAAATTTAGATCTAAAAATAGATATTAATTTTTCTTTAAATTTTAAAATATTTTTGAAATTAAAACAAAAAATTATTTTCTTTTTTCCTTGTTAAGGTTGTTGAAATAATAAATTCTGATTGGGATTTAATTATTATTGATGATTTATTTTGGACATTTGGATTTGCCCTTACAACATTAAAACATCGTTTATGGGAAAAGAATGGGGGAGGAGGAGGAAAAGAAACAAAAAGTATTATTTATTCAACTGCTGGCCAAACACTTTTATCGGCAGAATCTATTAAATCTATTGGTTTTTGAAACAAAATAATTTTTTAATATTTAAATTTATTTAAAAAGGCCGTGATTGGGTATCTAAATCACCATTATTTCCATTTATTCCAACTGATATAAATGATGCATATACCCCCAAACGTTTTACACATAGATTACACGCTTTATTTGAAAATGGAGCTGAATATATTTTAATGAATTGGATTGGTTAGTAATTTTTTGAATAAAAATAAAATATGTATAAAATATTTTGGATACAAACAAAATTAATAAACTATAGTAATTAATAATGAAACAAAAATTAGAAGTATTTTTTCTCGATTAAATTAATTATTTAATTACAAATTTTCTTGTAGATATAAGAATTTAATTAATTAAAAATAAATTTAATTTTTTAGTTGAACAATTTTTAATGCCAAATATTGCTCGTTTTGGTGTTCCAAATTTTACTTGGAAAGAATTATATACTCGTAGTTCACTTCAATTATCTGATTCTATTGACCGTTTGGGGTGGCCACTTTCTAAAGGACCAGAAATGATTAATATAGGCGCTCATTGTAAAAATCCAGGGGAAATGCCAGAAAAATTTAGAAAATTTATTGAAGAAGAAAATTCTGAAGGAACAATTTATGTTGCTTTTGGAACTTATCCAGAATGGAGTTTGGCCCCAAAAAGAATTATTTCGGCATTAATTGGGGCTTTTGAACGATTAAATAAATTTAAAATTATTTTTGCTTATAATGGACCTCCAATTAAAAATTTGAATAAAAATATTTTGTTAACTAAATGGGCACCTCAATTGGAGATTTTAGCACATCCAAAAACTAAAGCTTATATTACACATGGAGGATTGAAAAGGTATTGGTATTCTTTCTGATAATTTAAATTTAAATTATTTAAAGTGTAAGAGAAGGTTTATGTTCTGGTGTTCCTTTAATTTTAATGCCTTTATTTGCTGAACAAGCACACAATGCTCAACAATTATTGGTTATGGGTATTGGACCTGTAATTAATAAATATACTTTAACTGTTGATTCTGTTTATTCAACTATATATTCGGTAATTGAAAATAAAATTCAAAATTAATTTTCTTTTTTTTTCTAATCAAAATTCAGACATTCATAGTCCTTTTTTTATCAATTAATTAATTAATTTTTAACAAAAAACTCTTCTTTCTTGCAGACAGTTTCCAATCCAAAAAATGCTTTAATTTCAAAACGTTTTCGTTCAATATTTCTCGACAGACCAATTAAAGCTTTAGACGAAGGATTATTTTGGATAGAAAGAATTACTCGTTTAAAGCCGGGAAGAAAAGTTTATTTTGAACGTAAGGGGATTAATTTAAATTGGATTAATTTTTTATATTTTGATTTTGTTATTTTTATATTTATTTTTATTATATTTTTAATTTTTTAGAAATGTTAAATTTTTGTTTGAAAAAAAATAAATTTTTTGAATAATTGTAAAACAATTTCTGATTAAAAGAATTCTTTTAAAAAATAATTTAAAAAACATGTCTTAAAAAATTTAAAAAATTTCTGTTCCAATTTAGTTCTCTTTTATTGTTAGTTACTTCAAATTTGTTCTTAAAAAGATTATTTATAAATTTATTTTTTACTTACATCATTTTATTTAAAAATTTATTTATCTTTGTAATTAATTTTTCTTTTTAGTTCTGATAAGAATTACTTATATATTTTGTAGTTTATATATTTTTTAAATAAATATTTTCTGATAAAATAATTTTCTGTCTAATTTTAAATAAATAAATATAACCACAAAGAATGTTTATTTTTAATAGATTTAAAAGACTTTTAATGAAAATTCAATATTCTAAATTTAACAATTTAAAGAATTATTTTAATTTCTTATTTTGTCAAAAAAAAAACAAAATATTGGTGTAATAATTAAAATAATTTTTGTTATTTAAACTATAAATTAAAAATACAATATTAATTTGCTAAATTCTTTTAATAATTAATAATATCTCAACCAAAAATAATTAAAAATTAAATTTATAGAATTAAAAATCATTTGAGATATTTTAAAATGCGATTTAATATTATTTTTGTAATAATTTCTTTAATTATTTCATTTGTTTCGACACAAGAAAGGCCTTACAAAATTCTTGTAACACTTGCTGCTGATTCCCAAAGCCATCTACGTTCCATGCTTCCATTGATTAATAGGTAAAAATAATCTGAAAACAATAAAAATAATTTAAACACCTAGAAGTGTCTGTTCTAGGAACCAAACCGATAAACTTTTTATCTTTTTTGGTTTAATTCCGGATATCCAAAGAATTTCTTAGAACCGACACCTTAGTTAGATCATAAAATTTATTTAATATATTACACATTAACCATAAAAAATACATTTTTTTAAGTTTAGCAAATGCTGGTCACCATATTTACATTTTAAATATTTTCACAAAAGAAAAACCTGAGAAATATTCTAAAAATGTTTCTATTATTCGTGTTCCTCTTGATATTGCTCTACAAGATGATGAACAAGTAAAGGATATTCAAAAATTAATGTGGGACTATACTTTACATTCTCCAATGCTTTCTTTAGTTTATAAGATGGTTGGAAAAGTACTTAATGATGTTACTACAAATCGTTCTGAAGAGGTATTTATTTCATTAATTCCCCTTCTAGCGAAGGATTGAAATTACCCCAGGTAAAAATAAGGCAGGTAGATATGTAGTATTAAAATTATTATTAAGTGTTAAAAGGACACGTTTTTATTTTTAATTCTTCAATTACATTTTAATTCCAACCAGATTTTTTTAAAAAATTTTTCTTTAGTTTACTCAAATAATAAATTCAAAATGGGATTTAGTGCTTGTATCAGAATTATTTAATTCACATGGTTATTCAATAGCTAATTTATTACATGAACGTGATAATGTTCCTTATGTTATTTTTTCATCATCAATGATTATGGGTATGCATGCATGGACAAAGGCTGTAGGTAAGTACATATAATTAAACCTTTAATTAATTTTCTAAAATTATTTTTAGCATATAATTGGGTATCTCACCCACACCCATTTTCGCCTAACCCCGGAAGCGGCACAGACGGTGCTTTTAATCCTATTTATTTTCATCATAGATTTATTCACAGTCTTGAAGGAATGGGTGATTTAATAACAGAACCAGTCACCGGTTTTTATTTTAAAAGAAAATTCAAAAAAATATTATTATTAAATAATAGATTATTATATCAATCCAATTTTTACTCGTTTTAATGGTGAAAAAAACTTCAAATTCTCAAAGTTTATCACTCAGAGTTCAGCTACATTTGTTGATGCAATTGAATATTTAGGGTTTTCCCAACCAGGTAATTTACTTGAATGAAAATTTATTTTTATTTTTTATGTATTTTAGAAATCTCAGAAATGTATAGAATTGGTGCTCATTGTGAAGAGTCTTCTAAATTACCAAAAGAATATTTAAATTTTGTTGAGGATCCAAAATCAAAAGGCGAATTTTTCAACCAAAATTTAAAATTAATTTATTTAGGCACTATTTATGTTGCTTTCGGAACAGCTATTGCTTGGGGGAATGCACCCCCTCACATTATTGAAGCTTTCTTTACTGCTTTTTCAAAGCTCGATGATTACCGAATTATTTTTGCTTTCAAAGGATCTAAAGAATTTTTAGAAAAACGTGAAAAATTACCGCAACATATTCGAATTGTTGAATGGGCACCTCAATTAGATATATTGGCACATTCAAAAACAAAAGTATTCCTAACACACGGTGGACTAAAAAGGTTGGAGAAAGAAAGGATTGAAAAAATGTTATTATCTAATTATATTCTTATTAGTGTCAAAGAATCAATTTGCTCAAAAACTCCAATGCTTGCAATGCCAATTTTTGCAGAGCAGAACCATAATGCACATATGGTTTTAAAATATGGAATAGGAATTGCATTGAGTAAGGTTGTGATAATAAATTATTTCTTCAAAGCCTCATTATTTTAAAAATATTTTTCTTCTTTTTCTAGTTTGATACTAATGCCGAAAAGTTGTATTCAATTTTAAAAGAACTTTTGGACAATCCAAAATATGGGGAACGAACAGAGAAAATGCAAAATATTTTCCTCGATAGACCAATTTATGGATTAGATGAAGGTGAATTTTGGATTAGAAAAATAATTAAAAATAGCAAGGCAAAAAGAAAACATTTTTTTGAAAGAAAAGGAATTGACATAAATTTAATTGCATATTTTCACTTTGATATAATATTTTTATTTTTAATATTTTTATTTATTCTTTCAAAATAAAAATAAAAACATGAGCACATATCTTTTTAGATTATTTATTAAATTCACAACATTGGAATTTTCTTCGGCCCATACAAAAGAACATAAGCACCTAAAGTTATTGTTTAACATAAAAATTATACTCAATGTCAATAGGGGCGTAAAAGGTTGCCGTTTTATTAAACGAATAAGGCTGATTAAATATTAAAATTCACTATATTTTTATGTCATTACCGAAAAGAAACCAGACCCTCTTAAGTTAGGTATATTTAAATGTCTCAACATTCACAAAACTATAATTCCCAAAGCCCATTCTCAATAAACCCCCAAAATTCCAAAATAAATTATTAAAAAAACTAACAATGCCAATCACCACCACCCGACAATTTAAGAATTTCTGCCTCGGATACTGGATAAACATCTGTATCATCGCAGGCTGCCCATTTTGAATTCCCAACGTTCTCTTGATTGTTGTTTTTTGTATTCTTTTCCTCAACATCATCATCCCCATCCCCAACACGTATCCACGCAACATAATGACCAGAATTGCTTGCCCGGCCTTTATGAGTTATTAAAGCCTGAAAATAAAAAAAAAGATTTAATACAACTTTTTTAATTGTATAATTTTAAAAAAAAATTGCGTTAAGAACGCCAAAATTTTGGCACACACCCCATTTTAGCCCCACTAAAATAAACACATGGCTACCCCCTTGTCTCTAACCCTTACCAATCAAATTTTTACAATTAGTATAAATCAAAAATAAGTTAAAATTAATTTAAATTTCAACCTTCAACTCGTAAAATCCACTATTGTTTGAACCAATATCATCAGAAAATGTATTTGGGTAAAATCCTTTTGGTGTTAAACAAGGTTTTTTGGCCTCAGGATCTTCAGCTAGCTTTGCATTACGTAACATTTCCATTCGAGTTTCTTCATACTCCTTAAAAAATAAATTTTAACATTACCAATAAATTATTTAAAAATATTTACAGCCAAGTGTTGACGTGCCGGTTTTAATTTTTCTTGTAATTCGGGTGTGCAAGTGTCATACATATCCAAAACCATTGGAAATTTAACGTCTTTGAGTATTTTCGCATTAATCTAAAATTTTTAGTTAACTAAAAGAAAAATTAAAAAAATTAACATTTTCCTTCTCCTTGAAGAAGAATCGCACAATTTGAACTGACAAATAAGCAGGAAGTCTATCAATAAGAGAACTCTTCTCGTATTTTGCATCTCGACCTAATTCTTCAGATTGTTTTTCAATTTCTTCAGTCATTTTGCATTTAATTCCAGATTGGATATATCGAACAGATTGGCTAAGGAAACAACTTGCCTAAACAGGAATAAAAATAATTTTAAGAAGTACCTCAGTAATAGTGCTTCGACGGAACCGTAAATTCGGCCGGAACCGGAACTGAAATTTTGACCGGGTCGATCTAATTTTTTGGTTCCGGGCCCGGAACTTTGTTAAAAATTTCTGGTTTAACCGAAATTGAATGACCGGAACTGGAACTAAAAAACTGACCCACCGGAACTTCCATCGAAGCTCTACTCAGCAATTACCTGATATCCAGTTTCTTCACTTGTTTGCACTTCTTCAGTTGACCCCTCTTCCAAACATTTAGTTTTAACTTCATATTTAATTTCAAAGAATTTTTTCAACCGAATTTGGTTTTCATTATTTGAGGAACCCGTATTATTTTCATTGTCTGGAACAATTAACTCATCAGAAATTAAACGTAGCAATTCACAAAAACATTCATTAGCGTCTTGTTGCTCGCCTAATTCAAATTGCGGGAAAATATTGTGAAGAACATGCAAAAACAATAATGGCGTGACAGTGATGGTTTGATCAGACTCTGTTAAATCTGCCGCAATAACACGAGGACGAGAAGCGCCAGAATCCATTTGTTCGTATAACTTAAATATTTTGAATAAAATTTGATTAAATTTTATACCTTTTTAAGCATTTTTGTAATATCGGCAGCATGAGAATTTTCGTTTTCGTTTTGACCGCCACCCGTGTATTTTTTGATTGCTTGATTTAACTCTGGGATTACCTAAAAATAATTTTTTAAGAAGGACATTAAAATTGCAAACTTTAAAGCACTGAATTGTCGCATTCATATAACAAGTATTTCCTAAATTTGCCAAGCCAGCAGGCAAAACAATGTGAGATTCTGTTTTGGCCTTTTTATCAGTTGATTCTTTCTCTTCCAAATTTTCTGTATTAACATTAGCGGATTCTTTGGTAGCTAAAGCCGATCCCCCCATAAGCATAATAGTTGAACCATCCTTAACGGCGATTCCATTCCAATTTTCATCTCCTATTGCTTTGCCCTTAAAAAATATAAACATTTTTCTGTGAAAAGTTAAGGTAATTTGGGGTAATTTTCAATTTCGTTCCCCCCCTTCTTTTTTCCTTCCTCAAAGTATTACAAAATGGTCAGTCAATCTTAAGTTATAGAACTCGTCGAGCTGTGTCGAATGACACCAAAATCAAAAAAATCGGACCTGATTTGACCGAGATACAGACCCCTGAAAATTGAACAACCATAGGGGCGAAAAAACATAGGTACCAAAATTTATACAAATGATAGCTCATTCGAAAGAGCTCTTCGGGCTGAGTTGAATGACACTAAAATCAACGTGATTGGACCAGTTTTGACAAAGTTATGACATAAGTCGCAGACTCCGTTAGGTCTACCAGGTCATAACTTTGTCAAACCATGTCTAATCGCGTTGATTTATATGTCATTCGACTCAGCTCGAAGAGCTCTTTCGAATGAGCTATCAGTTGGATAAAAATTTTTTAGTCCAAAAAATCACCCCTATGGTTGTTCAATTTTCAGGGGTCTGTATCTCGGTCAAATCAGGTCCGATTTTTTTGATTTTGGTGTCATTCGACACAGCTCGACGAGTTCTATATCTTAAGATTGAATGACCATTTCGTAATACTTTGAGGAAGGAAAAAAGAAGGGGGGAACGAAATTGAAAATTACCTAATTTGGAAAGTCTAAAATTTATAGTCACAAGTTAATTACCTACTTTAATTAATAATTTTTGTCGCTCCGGTGGAATTTCAGTTAGAGCAAAAAGCTGAGCCTTCAGAAGCATTGGTGACTCATTTAAATCAACCTCAACCGCGAGTACTTTAGACCCGCATCTAACATTTATTTTAGTCATTTCTTCGGAATTTAAAATAAACCACCAAAATTAAAATAATATTTTTACCAAATCTAAAATTAAAATTAACAAAAAGAAAAAAGAAAAAAATGATGAAAATTAAAAAAATGTCAAAATTGGTTTTGTTTAGTAAAATCGGTTTGTTTAGTAAAATGATGAAATGGTGTTGTTATGTTATAATGGCATAAATAATCTGTAAAGAAACAGATGAAAACAATTAATTACTTGAATTATGGCAAAAAGTCAGCAAGACTCTTTTGTCTTTACATTTATTTTCAGTCTCAGCACAAACCTAAACCTTTAGGCTTGCTTGTCAATAGAGTCTCGGCGGCTTAGCATCGAAACGCCTTTTTCTATGCCATAACTTTTTTTATTTCGATCATTTCCAGAAATTTTCTTTATCAATTAGAATCTATATTTGTTTTTATTCTTTTTGTTAACTTTATGAAAGGATCCGATCATTTCTTAGAAAGTTACACCCGCCTAAGTATGTTAAATCACGATTATTCGCAGTTAACGGCTCCTAACTTTTTTGAAAGACGGTAAAACTAAACAATTTATATGAAAAAATAACCAGCACATCCAGAGCTTTTAATTAAAGCAAAAATTATTTGGATTGATTTAAAAACAAAAAAGTTATATCCCAAAAACTTCCGTTTTGATGCCATATTTTAAGACTCTTTCGTTACCTGGTTACTTTTAGTCTAAACCTTTTGAAGCCTAAACCTTTAGGTTTTTAAACATTTGAGTCTCACCACGTCTTCAATTTTTTTAATTCTAACTTTTTTAATCGTTTGTTCTTCTTAATTAGTGTATAAAGATGAATCAGAACTGATATTCTGGTAATAGAAATTCCACAAATTGAGAATCAATAGATAATTTTTGAATTTATTTATGAATTCCTTGGAGAATTTCATTCCTGGATGGAATAGAAGCGGTGTTGGAATTTCGTCAACAACAGCCTCAAAACCCAAACGGCCCTCTTTAGTGCCACAAATTTAATAAGTGAGATGAGGACAATGACTTTTATTTTTTGATAAATTTGTTTATTTGACTCATTTCTTAAAAAAATTCGTTCCCTGAAGATAAAAAAGTCGAGACCATGCCCTCACCCTAAGACCGAAAAACCTCAAGAAAAGTCTAGAATCAAGACTTGGCAACTTTTTAGAATGTTCATCAGATCGTAGGAACTGAGAAAAACCACAAAAATCGCAAGAAAAACTGGTTTTCTAGGTCCGTTTGGAAAAATGTATTTCAAAAATTTTATTTTTCTGCACGCAATTTTTCAACTTTTAATATTTTTTCTTATTATTAAATTTTTTTCCAAATTTTGAGGTTGTTATAGAAACCATTAAAAACTTGTAAATTTTAGAAGTGTGGTCATTATTTTGAGCTTCGACAAATCTGGAGAAAAATTACATAACACTGACTACTTTTAACTTTTCAGGTTTTAATTCCAACCAATACATTATATATTTATGAGTGTTTTGTTGTCATCACGTAATGTATTTAAATCACGTCATCTTCCATTTTTGGTCAAAAATATTCGTTTATATGCTTCCAGTAGTGGCGAATTGCCCGGAGCAGGAACTTCTACTGGCATTGAACATGCAATGAAATTCAAGCAAGTTGGCCAAAACAATAAACAGTCCTTTGATGATTATAAATGTATTGAGTATTTGAATTTCAATAAGGACTCTTACTACGATATTGAGGTAAATTTAAATAAAAAAAATTTGATTATTTTAAATTTCAGTGTGAACTTAAAAAGTTTCGAGCACCACAACCTTCAAATAAACAACCTGATACTGAACCAACGTTCAAAACAAGCGAATAGAAAGGAACTTTTGATTTATTAGGATAGTTTCTAAATTGTTTGTTTAAAATTGAAGGTATATACATAAATGTTTTGATATTTTGTCGTTTTTATTTTAAATATTTGTTGAGATTACTCTAAAATTTTATTTTTTTGGTGTGTTGATTAAATTATAAAATTTTATTTTTTATTTTAAAATGTCTTGTAACGAGGAATCTTATGTAATTACTTCTGATTTGCTTACAAAATGGATGCAACTTGGATTGGGCAATGAAAGTTTAGATGCTGAATTAACTCAAATAATTGATAAACATACAGGAAAAAATTTTCCGGTTATTCAAGACGATCAAAGACAGGTTTAAAAATTTTCTTTTCACAATTAAAATTAAAACGACGGAAAAAATTTTTGTTTTTTTAATTCTCTGGTTATTAAAAAATTTTTTTCTCAATTTTTGAATTATTTGCGCAGGAATTTTTTAAACTAAAATATTCCTAATTCTAGGCTTTTGTCACATTTATCTTCCCCAATGATTTTACTACAAGAATGGTTCTATTTGAACGCTCATCAATTATTCGATTAAATTTTCTTCGAATTTGTTTACGCGATAAAAGCTTTGGTGAATCTAATGTTTTGTCTTCAATTCTCCCAATATTATTGAAAATAACATTTTTGGATGGAAATAATGTCAAATTACAAAATTCAGCAAAAAGTTTATTTTTTATTTAATTTTTATTGATTTTTTAAATTTAAGTTTTGCTTGAAGCTAATAAATGTTTGGTTAATTTTCTTTTCAATTCTTCAGTTGGGAGAGCACATTTTAAGTATAAATATTTTTAAAAAATTAAAAAAAAATTTTCTATTTTTAGGGAAGAACCTTTTAAACTGTTAATTTCCCGAATTTCCTTTGTCGGCCCTATCCTTAAAGGAAAAAAAGAAATTTTATTTTCAAATGAAGACAATGGAACGTTTGTTTATTTAAATAATTGGGGTCAACAAGAATTGGAGGAACTTCTTTTGTTGGATATGAAAATTGTTTTTGTTGTGAGTGCACAAGAAAGGCAGTTGCAAGTAACGTCTTTTTTTATGGCAAAATTTAAATTTGTGAAACGAAACAACGGAAAATTCCAAAATTTCTTTTAAATTTTGGCTTATCGTGGACTTTCTTGAAATATCCCCTTTGTCTCTCTACTTTTTCATTTTAGTACTTGATTAGATGCCGATTTTCTAAGTTTCGTTCCACAAAATTAGTCGCATATTTGCCAGTATTTCATAAAATTATCTAAATATTTTTAAAAATTTTTTTTCTTTAGCTTGATTGTCAAAAAGATGTTAACATAAATAAAATATTTCAAGAAATTATTGCAAATGCATTGGATAAATTAATTGAATCTCCATCTCCTTCAAACATTGTTTCTTCTATTCGTCCATTTATAAACGAAGCTTTGCTTATTTTATTTAATTTTTATCATCAAATTGTTTTTCAACAGCAACCTCTAGATTCCGTTAATTTTTTTAAAAATATTTTTAAATTATTTTAGAATATAATTCAATTATTTTTGAATGAGTGTGCACGTATTTTACAAAATTCTTTTCTCGATATGGAAATTAAACAAAATACAATTAATTTTATGGCTACAATTCCCAATACTTTGTCGACGCTTTGTCCAAAGGTTTTTGTTTTAAAAATATTTTAAATAATTTTTATTTATAGACTGAGGACTCTTCTATTTACAACCAAAATAAATTAATATTTGAAGGTTATGATGTTACTTTTTTGGATAAATTACTTAAAATATTAGAAGAACATATTGATCAGGTTTTGGTTTTTTTTTCAATTTTTATTTTTTTAGTATGAAAAAGGAAATGCTCCCGCGTTTAGTGAACATCTTGTTATGTTTTTGAGAATGATGACTACTCTTTGTATGGATCATAAAGTTGCAAGACGGTATTGTCGGTTGAAAGTAATTAACTTTTTAATTTAATTTTAGCTTTTAAATAATTATTTTTAATTATTCAATATAAAAAAGTTCTCGTATTTCTATTTTAGGTTATTCCTCCACTAACAGCCGAGGACGTTAAGCATCGTCCTGATGTGGGTTTATCATTCAGAAACAAACTTGTTCGCCTAATTTCATCAATTGGTGCCCTCTCTAATGCATCCGCAGATTTTCTTTTTGTACTTTGCAAACGTTCAGGTTTTTTTAGTTCACAAACTTTATTTTTTGCTTAATTTTATTTAGCTGGACGGCTAGTCAAATACACTGGGTTTGGTCATGCTGCAGGATTATTAGCCGATCGAGGAATACTTGGAAGAGCTCTGGCGCCAAAACATCCATCAGACAGTGAAGACTCGGAGACTGAAGGATACAAAGAAGTGGAAAATGAGTAAGAAATGAATTAAATTTTTGTATTTTGTACTTTTTCCAGAGTAAATCCCGTTACTGGCTACATCCCTCCAGCTGGTCAAATGGAAGAATTTCGTAAGCAATTTGAATCTATGAGCGAAGAACAAAAGGAACACGAGGCCATGAAACTCGTCAATGCAATGGATAAACTTATGGATCAGGGAATTATTGCCCCGGGCACAGTTGGTGAAGACGGACGTGTTCGACAAGTGAAGCACGTTGCGGAATTGATAAAAGATGTGGAAAAAGCCGACGAGAAGGAAGATAGCGACTAACATTAATTCTAATATTTCAAGCTTAACTCCTGAAGAGCCAAAAATATTTTTCATTTAGTTTCTAATTTTTTTAATGCCCAGATTCTTCTGCCTATAGTAGTAATTTTTGATCTCCCAAATTTTTTAGATAATAGTCTTAAACTAATTTTAATTATAAAAGATGAACATTTTTATTCTTTTAATGTCTTTGGGTATGACAATTATATATAACAATTTTTGTTTTAATAGCTTATAATAAGTAGGGCTGCACTCGAAACCGATTCGCTGCAACCCTGACAAGTATTCTCTCTTTAGAATGTATAACAAAAATAAGATTGAAGTGAACCTCACAAGTGGTAACAAACTAAAAATCAAAAACCTTAATTACCCATAAAAATCTGTGTGGGAGTATACCATTCAAAAATCGTGGGCATCCAACTTTCTGGGCACAGTAAATTTACGTATAGAATCATCGGTTATTTGTTTGCGACATTCTTGAAGTTTAGCTACAACACTTTGAACTAAATCAATTGCAATTTTCTTAATTTCACCAGATAACATCTTTCCACTTGAATAATCCTAAAACAATATAACCAAAAATATTTTTAAAATAAAATAATTAACCTCTCTAATTTGTTCCAATTTTTGATCATCTTCTAGGAAAAATCGTAAGAATTGAAAGGAGATGTCAATATCGCAATTTCCTCCATATTTTCTATGTTCTTCAATTGTATCACGTCCACCACTAAAGGCATATTTATTAATCTAAAATTCATTTTAATTATTTTGAATTTATAGCTAGAATGCTAAAAAGTAATTTTTACCGGACCCGAATTATATTCCCTAATAAGGTATAAGCCTGGCTCACCCAGAAACGAAAAAACCTAGCCTAGACACTCATAATTCGAAGTTCTTGAGGCAAGTTTCAAAACAGAGCATACTTCCTCATTTTAAAATACTTCAAAAATTAAAAACCTTTGTTTTTATTTGTTTAGGTGTATCATCAATATAAATACAAGAATTTGCATCACTAGCAGCCATTTTACTTTGTCCACCTTGTAACGATGGGAGAAAATTACTACAAATTAATGACGGTTTAGGGAATTTTAAACGAGGTGCTGCATCTCTGCACATTCGAAAGAAAGGATCCTAATAATTAATTTAAAAAATTAAAAATCATTTTAAACAAAAAATTTACTTGATCTATAGCACTAGGAATTAAACAAGGAATATCACGACGTCCATTAAAAATTTCTGGAAAACTACTAGAAAAACATGGGGCAGCCTCTATTGCTGGGAAAGCAATTTTTCCAATTGAATCTTCCCCGGTAAAACCAAAAATAGCCCGTGCTTGATTATTTGTGACAACTTTCCAAATTCGAAGAACATTTTCATAAAAAGCTGAACTAAAAAAAGTTTTTTAAAAGAAAAAAATATTTTAAGAAAAAATACCACATATATTCAGAATTTATAAAAATAAAAGTATTTTTTGGATCAAATCCAACAGAAAGAATGTCTTTAATATTTTGTAATGCTAATTTCTTTGAATCTTCTAAAGTTAAATCTTTCCAAAGAAATTTCTCATCATCCGTTAACTAAATTTCTCGTCATTTGTTAAATAATTTAAAAAAACCTGAATTATTAAGGGAACTTTAAAAGCATCTTGTAAAGCTTTTGTAAAAAAGAAAGGGATCAAATGTCCCAAGTGCAAACTTCCACTACTCGGCCCTCGACCAGTATATAAATAAAATGGTTTGTGTTGTTCGAAAAGGTCGAGAATATAATTAAAATCCCTAAAAATTGTTAAAGATAAACCTTCTCTCGATAAAAAACCTGTGCGCGAAAAAAATTTTTCTTTTAAGAAGAGGATGCGCTTTAAGTCCAGTCAATTTCTCAAAGCGAACAATAAGGTCTTCGGTTACGTTGCTGCAACCAAACCTTTCTAAATATTTAAAAATTAATTTAAAATAATTATTTTATAAATTGTTTTTTTAATTAAAAATTTACTTATAAGCTTTTCATAATCAATTCCCGTAGAGCTAGTTGCAGTAACATTCCAAGGAGTAACAATATCATCTTTCGATTCTTCTGAGTAATCTTGAGTTACCTCATTTTTTGACAAAGGAAGAGAGTGATCGGGTTGTTCTTCTAATTTTGTGGAGTTGGAAATAGAATTTGAAATTGAGCTCATAATGAATAATTTGTTATTTTTAAGCTAAAATTAATTTAAAAGTAAATGACAATAAATTCTGAGGGAGATTTTGTACATTCAAATATCCATAGACAAAAATATAAATAGTTAACATATTTTTACATTTTAAAAGCAGCAAAATTATTGACGAATTTATTTTCGCAATTAAAGACTTTAAACTAGAGTCCGGCAAAATCGCATTCCCGGGATCCCGGAACGGGATTGGGTTTTAAAAATTCGACCGGGACGGGATCCCGCGGGATTAATCCCGTAAATCCCGGAATCCCGGTAATCCCGTTTTCCGCGAAAAACCCGGGATTCCGGGACGGGATCCCGTAAAATCCCGTACGGGGTCCCGTCCCGTGCCGGTCTCTACTTTAAACAATTGCATTTTGGCGTTATTTTGGCATTTTGTGACGTTAGCGTATTTTGAAAATTTTGAAAAATAGTACTGTAAGTAGTATTCTGTAAGTTGTATTTTGTATTTTCTCCTTATGTGATTTCACAAATGTGTTAGGCATATGTACTGTGTATATTATTGTTTTACATTTTTTAATAATAATTAATTTTATTTTAGGTATTTTCTTTTGTAAGTTCCATATTTTGACGCATTGATTGATTTCTCGATTTAAAATCAAAAGTTAAACCCAAAAACATTTATTCCAAATCATAATTAAAAAACAGTAAGTAGACTCATTAAATTTACAAAAATTTCCATTGGGTCAATATTTTCATCGTCAGCATTTCTTTCCGAAATTTGTTCTTGCGCACACTTCCACAGCCAAATATGAAGTTTTTCAACAGAATCAGAAATCCTTCTGTCAGCAGTTAAAGCACAACATAAAAGTAAAGCAGCTTCTTCCAAGGAAAGTGACCGGCGATATGTTTTGTTTGAATTATTATTTCCACAAAAAATAATTTTAAGTTGATCTATTCTTTCATTTGAAATTTTATTTTTTGTATTTAAACGGCCTGAACAAATTTCCAAAATTGTCTAAAAATATTATTTTGAAAAAATATTTTTTAATTAAAATACCAAAACAATTGAAAGACGATTTGTTAAAAGAATTTCTTTATCATTTTCTGACAATTCTCGAAATATTCCAATTAAATCCATAAAGTTGTTAAGCAATTTTCGTCCTTCAACTTCATTTGAAATTGGCACAATATTTAATGGAAGTGTAAAAACTGTATTTGTGTCAGTTGATTCTTTTTTAATGGTTGATTGTGATGAATTGGTAGTAGGTAATTGTTGTAAGAAGACACTCTTTAAATTTTAAAAATTTAGTTTTGATTAAGTATTAAGCTTTTTAATGATAGCTTTTTAAGTGTTTTTTTTTGCATTGAAACCCCTCTAAGGATTAATTTTAAGAATAATTTTGTATTGAAAATCAAAAAATTTATTTTTTACCTTAAAAGCAAAAACAATTTCTTTGGTAAGTTCCATATTTTGACGCATTGACTCCAAAACAATTTCCTCCTTTTGTTCAATAACTTCACTTTTCCTTTTTCGATTCTTTTCTAACCGAACATGTGTTTGTTGCATCCCCATTCGAATACATCTAAATTAATAAATAAAACTTTTATTTTATTTTAATTTTTTTTACCTTGCTAAACGACAACTTTGGCAACGATTACGATTTGATTTATCAATAATACATTGTCCATTCTTAGCACATTGAAAGACTTTGCAGTCTTGAATTGAACGGCGAAAAAATCCCTTAATTAAATAATTAAAAATAAAAATGATTTTCTTCTTACTTTACAGCCTTCACAGCTTTGGACCTAAAAAATTAAAAAAATATTTTTAAATAAATTTTTATATTTAAAAAAAGATTACCCCATAATGATGTCCACTAGCTCTATCCCCACAAACAACACAAGTTTCTCCTATTTGTTGTAAATGAAATTGAAAATTTTGTTGATGTTGGTGTTGAAAAAATGCAAACATAGCTGCTGCTGTTGCCGGGCTATTATTTAATGAATTTAAAAAGTTTGGGGGAATTAAATGTTGGGGAGGGGTTAAAAATTGTTTTTGTTGGTTTGAAATTTGTAATTGAGCAAATGGAAGGTGTTGAAATGAATTTTGTGGATTGTTAGGAGGTTGTAAATGAGTAAAGGCTGATGGAAAGTTTTTTGAGGAATTTGAGGAAGATGAAGAAGAAAAATTGGAAGAGGGAGAGGAAAAAGAATTTGAATTATTTGGGGTTTGTAATCCTTGAAAACGTTGGGGAAGGATTTGTTGATTAAATGGATGTTGAAATTGAGAAGGATGAGGAGGAGGATTAGTATATATTTGTTGTTTTTGATTCATAATTCCAAAATTTGGGTGTTGTTGATGGATTTGTGGAGGAATTTGTGGGTGTTGTTGTTGATATATTTGGGTAAAAGGTACACGTTGAGGTATTTGAATAAAGTTGGGAGTTGATTGGAATGAAGAGGAGGTGGAGGAGGAAGATTTAAATGAAGATGAATAAGAAGAAGAAGAAGAAAGGTTATTAGTATCATCAATGTTTGTATTAATTGTTGCTGGTTTAATAATTTCTTTTTCATTTTTGGAAGAACCATCAGAGCGCAAAATATTCGAAACTGTAAAAAATTGGGTCAAATAATTTAATTTAAAATTAATACAGTAAAACCACAGATTTATTTAGCAAATATTTTTACCTGAGAATGAATTTGAACGCGATCCAGGCAATGACAAATGTGGAGACGTTGCAGTCATAGGTGATGTGTGTCCAGGTGACAAAGAACTTGTTTCAGTCCCCGAATCACAATAAATTTCTTCTTTAGGTTTCTGTAGTTTCTCATTATTTTCATTAATATTTTGGTTAATATTTGGATATTTATTTTGTTGATTTTGAAGAAAATAAGGAATTGTTTTGGAATTATTTTGTATAACTTTCAACATTTCCTTTGGATCAACACCTCCAAATAATTTAAGAGTAATTATTTAATTTTAATTTAACTTCAAATTTACCTGATTTGACTGCAAGTTGCTTAATAATTTCTAAATAATAAGCGGAATCGCTTTGTTGTACTACTTGATTTTGATTTTCCATTTAGAAAATAGGAGGATACTAATTCCGAATTAAGTTTTTTGAAAACTAAATACCTAACTAATAGTTAATTATATTTTTTATTCCACCAAGGTGTGATAGATATAAGTAAAGAATTAAAAATGTATAAGTCATAGATGGTCATTGTTTGTAATTAAGATTTTACTAGACTCTGTGCTCTCAATTGTATTTGAGCTTTAGATAAAATCTCGGTGTCAGACTTTGGTCTTTGTAGAGGAACTTACTCGTTAATTTCGAGAGTCGGATATACAGAACGATTTAATTAAATGAGAATATATAAAAACGATAATAATAAAATAGTAAAAAATTCTCTCTCTCTCAATAATTATTCTTCACAAAATTACGGCATATGAAGCTAGGTAATGAGTGAATGTTTTTTCCTCGTTTAACAGAACAACAATTTTGGCGTGCCCTTGCAGCGCCCTCTCGTCCTTATTTTATCTATAGGCGTCCTCATCTAAGCCTTCATTTTCAACTTTTATTTTTCCTCAAAAACAGTTCCTCTCCAAGACTGTTCTCACAGTGTCCGTTGGATTTTCTGTCTACGATGTTGATGCTGCCCGGCCGGTCATAAACAACAAGCGCAAATTCAGCCCTGCAGAGAGGAGGAGTTTGTGAGGATGTGGAGGAGGATTGGCCTTACGCAACACTTATTACGCAATCTTTTAGGTGAACGGGAAGGAAAGGACTTTGAAAAAAAGGCTGCTGTTGCTCTGAGGTCAGGTCAAATATGGTGGTGGCGCTGTAGGTAATAAATAAAAAATATATATTTTTGAGTGAAAAAAGAGGCCTTGAAGTTTTTTATTTTAATTTATTTCCCCCTAGGCCTTTTCTTATCCTTTCAGGTTAAGTCCAACTAAGCAAACATAGACAATATCCACAGCAGGAGATAATGCCGGAAGAAAAACAAAAAATACTATACAAATAGGTATATAACCTCTTATTAACTTTGGAGAGAGATTAAATATTTATAAAAGAAAGTAGAATTATCAATTTAAAAATTCCAAATTTCTTCTTTGCCGGATAGAGGATTTCCTAGTTTTAAAATTAGGGAAATAGTTTTTTCAAAAGTTCGGAGATAAAAACTAATTGGACATAGTTTTTTTAAATTAAAATACTCAAACATTAATAACAAAAATTTGTAAATAAAATATTTATTCACAAAAGATTTTTGAAAGGGCGGCATGTTTTGGTCGCATTCCTCCAAGTATACAATGCTGAAGCGACAATTATTAAATTTATTATTTTTTGAAGGGAAGGAGAGGGAGTTGAAAGCTCGAATTATTTAAACTTTTTTTGAAAGACATCTGTTCTTTTAAATTGTTGATATCCAAATTAAATAATTTTTGAATTCTTGAATATCATCATTAATAAATAAATCTAAAATATAAAAATAAATTAATATAAATTTAAAAAAGAATGTTTAAGTTAAAAACAAAAATAAAATTTCCTTATAATTTTTTTTAAATTTTCTTTATTTAAATTGAAAAATATTAAAAAAAAACTAAAATTATTAAAAAGATACTTTTTATTTTTTTAAAATAAAAAAAAATAATTTTGGGATCTTAAAATAAATAACAAATTATGATAAATAGAAAAAAAACTTTGAAAGTTAATTAAAATAAAATATTTAATTATACTTATTTTCTAAAAAATTTTTAATTAATTTAAAAGATTACCTTTTGAATTAAAAAGAATTTTGTAATTAATTAAAATCCAAATCAACAGCATCTAAATTATAGCCGATTGGTTAAGTCGGCTCTTCCAAGTATTTTAGAGACTGTTCATTTAATTATTTTTGATGTTATTTGAAAACAGCTAAAAATTCAAAGGGATTTTTAATTTTAAATTAAATATTTATTTATTTGAAAAAATATTTTTATTTTAGAAATTATTTTTAAAAAATAAATTCTCTAAAATTAAAATTTATTTTAAAATAAAATATAATTTATTTAAAGACTAATATTTTATTTTAATTTTTGAGAAGCTTTAAAAAGCCTTTTTAAAAATAAGAATTGACAAATGAGTAGTGAACAAAGAACGCCTCCTTGTTTTCTTTCCTCTTTTTTTTCCTTCCAGACAGCCACTTTTCGTACCAGCACAAAATATAAGTAAAATAAAAAATATTTATTTATTCACCACAAATAACAACAGCATTAGGTGACCGCCTTTTTACGATTAAAAAATAAAAGAAATAAAATATTCGCAACTGACCAATAAACAAAAATCCATCTGGTTTTAATTTTAAAGGATTAAACATCAATGACCACAAAAATAAATTATAAAAATAAAATATTATTTTTAAATATTAATTATAAAACAAATATTTTTAATTTAACTATATTTAGTAAATTAATTATTTAATTTACTAAAAGTATCCATTAAATGACCATAAAAAATAATCGAGTGAAAAAACAAGAAATTTCCATTTTTTTCTTTCTTCTTTCAATAAAAATTTATTTGTAGACAACCAAAGATGATAAACTACTTTAAAAATAAATAAAATATCCATTTAGTGTCAGTTGAAGAATTTTCTTTGAGAAAAACAATAGGAAATGGACAAAACAATTTTTAGGTAGTTTTATGTGGTAGTTAGTACTAGTCGGGAAAAAAAGAAAAGCATATCTGGCCAGTTAGTATAAGAAAAAAGGCGCGAAGAGACACGAAATGGAACGGGCAAAAAATTAAATTATTTTAAATAAATGAAAATTTTAAAATATTTCTTTTACTTAATTTTTACCTTTACTTATTATTAAAAAATTTTGGGTTAAAAATAAAAAAAGTTGTCAATGTTGGATTAATATTTGCACCTTAATAATAATTTCGTCACCAAAAGTTAAGAGAAGAAACTCATAAAAATTAAAATTTATTTTTAATAAAAATTATTCAAAAGAAAGAAATAAATTTTACTTTTTTTTCAATTAAAATTTAAAAATATTTAGTATCACAATTAAAATATAAGGGCTAGAAATTTGAAAACTGGAAAAATTCACGTTTTCAAAATTTATTTTGTCCAACCCAAATACATATATAAACTTCAAAATATCACAATATATAGGGAAATATATTTAAATAAATTATTAATTCTTAATTATTTGATGTTGGAGAGGGAATTCCATTTCGCCTTCGGCCCTGTGCCCCAATATCCACAAGCGGATCATTAATCCAAAGAGCCTTTAAATATTAACAAAATATTTTAATTAAAAATATTTTTACATTATTAGGATCACGTCTCCAACGTAAAAGTGCTTCTTCATCCCCATACTCTCCAGCTCCAGTCAACACAACATCTCTCCCATTATTATCCGAACCCAAAGCAATACAGCGAATTGGTTTATCAGCTACTTTTAATTTCATTTGTAAAGTCATTAAAAGGGAACTTTTTCTTTAGAAAAATTTAAAATTAAAGAAAAATAAATGCTACAAACATTTCTGTAGTATCAAGCATTGTTGTTGTTGCTGTTGAACCTGGAGGTGAACCTATCTTTTGGGTAATATTAGTATTTTGGATAAATTTAGATAAAGAATTTTGTCGATTTAATGTTGTTGGTAATTGTTCTGTTAATTAAAAAAAGGTTAAAAAATCTTTAGAATTTAATTAAGTGGAGAGCTCATCAAGTAAGGAAAGAATTATACTAACAATAAGGGAGCCCAGATCGAGGAATTTCCAAGATTATAACTCCAAAAAATAAAGAGAAGAAAGCAAATAAAATTAGGATTTTTATTTAAAAGCCCCTTCAATTACCTCCTTCTTTAACAGCCAACAAAACTGTTGGGGGCTCTTCAAAGTCCAAATCCTTTCTTCGTATACGCAAAGCTCTTTCTTGTATATTATTAACTCCATTTGTGTTTGTAGATGTTGAAGAAGTACAGGAATATCGTCTTTTATCAATTGAGGAAGACGATTGTTTTGGAAGGGCTTAAAATAATTTTTAAAAAATTTTTTAAATAAATAAATATTTACCAGTACTAGCACAAAAACTTGCAGACATTTTACGCCAAGTATTATTTATTTGAATTAATCTAGCAAATTGTTGTTTACGCCGATATTCTTCTTCATCCTTTTCTTCTTCCTTTAAAGATTCTTCTTCAACTAATTCTTCTTGTTCTTCTTCTTCTTCTCCTTCTTCATTTGAAGAGTTTGCAGCTTCATTTGAGGATGGAATGTCATCAAACTTTAAAAAATTAATTTTGGAGATTAATGTTCATCTACTTTATGGGGGAAGAAAAAACTAAATTAAATAACGTTAAAACATGTGGAAGGGGAGGGGGGGATAAGACTTTGAATAAAACGTTAATTAAGAGATAATATTTCATTCAAAAACATAATTTTACCAAAAATTTTTGTTGTTTTTGTTGTAAAGGCTCAAAAAGTTTACTGCGGCGGCGAGTTGGTGTAAAATTAGAAGGGGAATCTTTCTTTGTTAAAATTGAAGTAAGTGCTGAATCAACACTTTGTTGTCCACATAAAGGCTTTTTTACAGGAAAAGAAAATTTTCTGAAATTTAAAAAAAAATAATTTAAATATTTAAAGAAAAATCCCAACTTTGTCACTTTTTGATGTGTTTCTGAACAATTTGAAGAACTATCCCCCTTTACAAGTTTACAAGGTTCAGTAATTGGTGGGGGTGATGTTAATTCTATATTTTCTTTTAAAGTTAAAACATTAACTGCAAAAATTATTTTTTAAAAAATTATTTCATAGAAAATATTCAAAACTGCTATATTTCCTCGTATGTTTATCAATTTTAACAGAAATTTTTCGAGAAAATTGTCCTTCCATAGACATACATTCCATTGAACTGTTCCTTTCTTCGACGCGTTTTTCATTTTCTGTTGGAATATAATAAGTTTGTTGACGGCCATTAACTGGCAATTGTTGAGCTAAACCATGGACTGCTGATAAACGTTTGCCTGGTTGATATCTTTAAAAAAATATTTATTTAAAAATAAAGTTAATTATGTGTATATCAGGGATCTAGCCGACATAAAAATTAAATTCTCGATTTCGGGAATCGGGACGGCTAGATCCCTAGTGTAATAATAAACTAATTATTCCAACCTTCTAATAGATGAACGAAATCGTGTTGTTGACAATTTTGTTCCTTCATTATTTTCATTTAAATTAACTTTATAAAGCATTAAATAACCTTTAAATTTTTAACTTAAAAAATATTTTAACAAAATAACCATCTATAGTTCCAACCCAAAGTTCATCAGAATGGAAAAGAATAGAACAAACTTCTACTTGATCTAGTAATTCGTCATGTTCATCAAAAGAGGGTGTTCTACATTTAATTATTAAAAGAGCCTTCTTTAATTTCACAAATTACCTATTACTATGGTCATATCTAATATCAAAAAGCATTTCACATTGCCCATTATGCCAAAGTTGTAATAAAGAAGAATGTGCAGTTACTAACCAAATTCCGTGTGGGGACATAGCTAAAGCACGAATCTTTTCAAACATAGGGACTTGACTTCCAGCAGCCGCTGAAGCAACATAAACAGAAGTAATTGTTGATAAGGTACTGAAATAATTTTTTAAAATAATTTTATATTCCCAATAAATTCTTTTTTTATTTTTAGCTGCACAAAAAGAAATGGAGATATAGGTAAATTCCAAAATGGAATTTCTCTGTTTCAAATACATAATATTATAACAGAATTATTCTGCAAATCCTAATTCTCAACAAAATTAATAATATAACTAATATCTTTAATAATTTTAAATTATTTAAAAAATCTTAACTATCTATTTAAAATAACAATTTTATTAGCAATTGCCAAATAAAGAAATTCTCCATCCAATAAAGCATCCGTTATTGGAGCAGCAGCTACAGGAATATGATATAAATCTAATGCTGAAGGCATTCTTTCAAAAGCATTTTCCAAAACAGTAAAGTTCCATTTGCCAAACAAGCATATAAACGATGGGAATCGTGAACAAGTTTGAGGGCTACGTCGTTTAATTTAAGTTCCCAAAGAATTTCTGCCTACAAAAATTTTAAATTTTAAAAGAAATATTTTTAATTATTTAAAGACAGAAAGGAAAAGAAGAGAGATCTCTTTTAAATTCCTCCATTTCAGCCTCAGATTGTGATAAACATTTTCTAAATGTTTCAATCTGTTTATTTGCTTCAGCCCTGTGTTCATTTATTCGTTCCAATTCTGATCTTAAAAATCTACTTTTTGCAATAAATTCTGAGGCTGCCAAACTTGAAAGAAAAAAATGTTTAAAAAGAATATTGTAAATTATAGTATGTATTTGATAAACTTTATTTCTATACCTCCAAAAAATATTCACAAAAATATTTATAAGTTTAAAAATGAGGGGGAGAGGAGGGTATCATGAAAAAAGATATTACTTAGACGTTCACTTAGTGGGCATCAAGTTTCAAAAATATATTTCTAATTTTGAGAGTATCTAAATTAGAGGCCTGACTGTACTTCAAAATAATTTATTTTTTAAAATACATTACCCAACACTTCCATTTTCATTTATCAATTTTTGTGCTTTTTCAAGCTGTTCGCGTAATTCCACAATTTGTTCTTTTTGTCTATTACTTAATTCTCTAAGAATTAAAAGTTCATTTTCTTCTTTATTTTCTTCAACTTTAAATTTAAAAAAAATTAAAAATAATAATAATTTTTAAATAATTATTCATACCTTTCTTTATACTTTCATTTGTTGTTGTACCTAAACTAGTACTGCTATTACTTTTAATACTTTCTGTTGTTGAATGAATTCCATTTCCATTACATAAAATATTTGGTAAAGGAGGAATATCTCTTTAAAAATATTTTTTTTAATTTAAATTTAAGGTCCCTACATTAATTCATTAATTAATTTATTTTTTGTATTTAAATTAATTTCTTCATTTTTCTCTTCTTGTTGTTGTTGATTTTTAAGCCAATAATCAACTAGCCATTTTTGTTCATCACTTTTCTTTTTAATATTATTTTCTTTTAAAATAACATCAGATGAAATCTTAAAGGAATTCTTTTTAAAAGAGAGAATTCTTCTCTAAAAACCTTTTCTTCTTTATTTTTTATTTGTTGTGTAGATGAACGTGTTGGCCATTTCCACCAAGAATTTTTATTTTCATTATCACCACCATTTATTATTACCCCATTATTTTCTAATTTTGTTGTTGCTTGTGGACTATTTATTGGGGAAGATGTAATTATTGCTTCTGCTAATGTTGTTGTTTCGAGCAATAAATCAATTGCTAGAAATTTAATTTTTCTAATTAATAATTTAAGTAAAAGATTTTTTTAATTTTTTAAACTTTCATTTTTCAATTATCTTATATTATTTTGTAATTATCATTATTATTAAACTTTTTTTAGCTTAAGCGTGTCTCAAAATATAAGTTGGGATATTGCTTATATCCCTTTTGTTTTTTATTACTAAAGTTATTATTTAAATTCTCAGAGTTACATATAAGTGCTTTTCCAGAAAATTCGATATTTGTAGAAAATAATAATATTTTCCGTTTTTATCAAGTTAAACTCCAAATAAATATCCTTATGTATAATATCGTTTTAATTTATTTTTCAGGATTTATATGTAATTTTAATTATATAAATTTTTTTTTAATTTCCCTTTAATCCCCTTTAATTATACAAATCCCCCTTTAATTTACGTGTTGTTTTATCCTTTGTTTGTTTTAAAGTTCTTGTTCTTCCCCTTTCAAACAAAGCATTATTATCTTCTCCATCTAATGTTGCTGAACGTTTTTGTTGTTGTTGTTTTAATTTTTCATTCAATTCATTATTATTTTTATTATTAGACTGATCAAAAGATTTACTTCTACTTCTATGTCTTCTTCTTTGCCTTTCAATTGAAGCTAGTGGAAGACTATCCACAAAAATTCCATTTTTATCATTACAATCATCCCTTCGTTGTTGTAAAGCATTTAACCAACAATCAGCTGCACGTTCATTTTCTGCTTCTAATAAATATTTTTTTCCTGTCTCCGTACTAAAATTTAAATTAATCTTTAAAAATAAATCCAAATTAACTATAAAATAAATCCGCGCATATTTCCTTCAATTAAAGAGCAAAATGCCCCATTTAATGAAATTTGTCCTTGGCAATCTTTTCTTGTATCAAAATCTCCCTTTGTTTTATAATAAATTAATTTATTGTTAAGTTCTTCAAGTCCAAAATATAAATGTTTTCGAGTTGATAATAATGATAGTGCTTAAAAATATATTTTTAAAGGTAATTAGTTATGTGTGTGTAAGTACGGCACAAAAAGTATTTTTAATTTTATTTTAAGTCTCTCGTATTTATAACGGAACGGACCTCTCATATTACTTTCACTAAAAAAACCTCAATATATTAAACAGTTTCATGAGTTAAATTTCTTGATTTAACTACTATAACTATCCTAAACTGAATATTCCTACGTACTACTTACATAAACTGTATGAACTGTCGGCTCTTGTTATAATAGTAGAAGCCTTATATCATGAGGACTTTATACATATTAACGGAGTCAACCTTTTCATTAAAAGATTTATAAAATTATTTAATTAGAAACCTCCACTTAAACATTTCATATACAAAAATCCTTCCAAAGAAAAACAACATTCTTCCTTAATACGAGTATTTGAAGATGCAATCATTGTTGGTGCCGTTGGTGTTAAAGGAGCAGGTGAAGATAGAGAAGGCGAATAACAACCAGAGGTTGATGATGCCGGTCCTGGCAAAAGAAGGAGACCTCCACAGTTAGAGCCAACAGGAGAGGGGGGAGGGCCATTAGACGATTTTTTAATTTTAGGTGAAGAAAGAAGCATTTCCGTTAAAGTACAAGGTAAGTATTTTGATTTTTAATGTCTGTATATTATGATGAAAAAAATATGTTAATATTTATAATTTTGGGTAAAAAAGCAAGAAAAATAATATTTAAAAAAGTATGTAAATAGTAGTAGGTATTTTTGAGATAGAATATTTATTTTAGAAGATTCATAATAATCTTGTATATAATTTGGAAGGAAGTGTTTCTTTAAAAATGGACTAGAAAATTGTTATTAATTTATTACTGGCAAAAAATATGTACAGGGTGCGGCAAATTCGCGCAACTTTTTGTTTTTAACATAACTTTCTTCATTCTTATCGAAATTTGATAATTCTTTTTTTATTTTATACCTAACACTTTAGGAAATTTATTGGTACCAAATACTAAACATTTTGTTTTCGGATAGCAAAGGAAAACGAGCTCAAACATAAAAACGGGTAAAAATGCATTTTTCATGTTAAAGTTTTAATTGATCATAACTTTGTTCAAAATCATCCAATCCCAATAATTTTGGTACCAATCGACTTCACTCGTTCAGGAGTATCGAAATAGTTAATAATCTCATTTTCGAAAATTTCACACAAAAAATTCATATTTGCCAAAGTTTGTTTAATTTATCATTCAGTGAGCCGTATCTCGGTTCATCTATGTGATAGCTGAATGATTTTTACGTCATTCGAATCGGATTGCGGAGCTGATTCGAATGATATATAAATTTTAGATATCGAAATCTTACCCTCGACTCCAGGCCAATTTTTATCAAAAAAATTTTCCCTAAATTTTGACGGGGAATTAATCATACTAAATTGTAAATTTCAAAAGCGATTTTATTATCAATAAATTTCCTAAAGTGTTAGGTATAAAATAAAAAAGAATTATCAATTTTCGATAAAAATGAAGAAAGTTATGTTAAAAACAAAAAGTTGCGCGAATTTGCCGCACCCTGTACTTAATATTAAAAATAAATATTTTAGCTGAGCAAATTAAAATAGAAATAGATAATAATAGTATTTATTGGACAGTAAATAAAGTAAAAAAATGGACATCCAAAAGCGTCCCAAAAGAAAAAAATAATTCCAAAAATATCAAAATTAGACTAAAATATTTAATAAAAAAATAAATATACTTCATTATAATTTTGTTAAATATTTTTAATTAATTATTTAAGAAATAATTAAAAGAATTTAATCAAAATTAAAGTATTCTAATACAAAAAATATTTTAAAAAATTCTTTTTGAGAAAGAGAGATAAAAAGGTTTTTGTAGAAATATTGGGAAGTAATATAAAAATTGATGAAATGCTGAATAAATAAATGGAAAGCTTGCTTTAATTAAAGAATTTAAAGTTTTTTTTAAATCCACGTTATTTTTTAGTATTTTATTTAAAATTAATTGATTAGATAAATTGAAAAGAATTTTAAATTATTAAAAAATAATTGGTGAAGTAAAATTTTCTTAATTGATTGACTAAATGAAGATTTTAAAATTATACTTTTGAGGGATAAGGAGTTAAAATAATGAAAATTGAAATTTTATAATTTTTCTCAAATGTTTAAAAATAATTTAGTATAGAAAGGTCTCAGATAGCCTAAATTTTTTAAATTTTGAATTTATTTAACACTAAATAATTATTATTTTTCAAGAACCAAAAATATTTTTAGAAATGTGAGGAAAATAAGTAAACTGCTAAGGAGAATTCGTAAATATTTTTTTAAAATTTAGGAAAATTTTGTTGAGTATTTGGGATTTAATTTATTTTTAATTAAAAATTAAAATATTTAAAAACTATATAATTATAATAAGTTTATTATAAAAAGAAAAATGAATTTATATTTTATGTGGATAAAAAATGTAAATTTATTTTAGAGGGAAAGTACAAATTTAGAAGAAGAATTTAAATAATTTTTTGATTTAAATTTTAGTTTTTAGAATATTTTTAATTTTTAAATAAAAAAATTTAGAAAAAAAAAGAAAATTTAAATTATTTAATTATTAAGATAAAAAAATTAATACATAAATCAATTATTAATTAAAAAAAGACGTAGAATTAAGTATTGACTCATTTAAATTGAGGTTTAAATTTTATTTAGCATTTAAAAAAATCAAAGAAAAAATTGTCGATTAAAAAAGGAAAAAAAACAAAATAATAATTTTATAATTTCTCTCATGTAAGTAAAAAATAAAAAAATTGAATTTAAAGTTTATTAAGTTGAAAAAGGATCTAAAAAATTTTGGAAGAAATAATAAAACAATTTAAATAAATAAAAGTTTTAAGTAAAAGGTTGTGGGGTTAATTCTCCATATATTCATTGCTTCGTCTTCGAAATTGATCGATTTAAGTTTTAAGGTAAAGCTTGCCTTTTTGATTATTCAGCATAAACAAACAGCCATAAAATTTTTTAATAGTTTGGAAGAAATTTAAAAGTCAAAAAAAGAAAAAAAGTTTTTATTAACAAAGATTATGATATTTTGAAGATAACAAAAACGAGAAAAATGTGCCATCTAAAATTATATAGTATATGTATCCATCAGTGAATAAAAAAAATTTTATCGGTTGGTTTAAAAAAATATTACAAAAAGCACCAAAATAAAAAAATATTTATGTAGTTATAGAAAAATACATATTTAAAATGTTATTTTTAGCCGATTTTGGCGTTTAGCAGATTTTGGCATTCTGTTTTTCTTCTTTCAGCGCGTCATACGAAATTATTTAAATACACTCCTAAAGATAAGATTGCTTATTATGACAAACTTTGCTTATCAAACTAACTTTTTAGTTGAAAATTTCCATACAGAGGCAAACAATTAAAAAAATTTTGCCTTCGCGGGTGACCATTTGTCCTTACCATTTTATTAAATAACTTTGTGGCAGATATTTAAATTTGAGACGATTTAAAGTCAAAAATTCAGAGTCGCAGTTTTTGGCATAACCTTTTCTGTTATCATAAATTTTACAAAATTTTCTAATTATTAATCGGCGACTAAACTTATATTTTTTTAATTTTAAGATAATTTTCTTTAAATTGATTGATTCTTTATATTAAATTATGTTTACTCGCGGCATCGGTAGAGGTGTGGGAAACGTTCGTGGAGGTGGTGATACTAATGTCGGAACTGGTTCAGGCTTTGTTGGAGGTGGAGATTCCTCAAATTGTCAAAATAACATGGGGTCTTTTGGCCGTGGTGGTCGTGGGAACTCATCCTTTGGCGTGGGAACTCATCCTGGACTTGATGACCCTTCTGGTCAAGGTTATTAATTTAAATTTGTTTACATTAACTATTGTTTCATTTTCTTCTAGTTGGAGGAGATTCTTTTGGCCGTGGTGGTCGTGGTAACTCATCCTTTGGCGTGGGAACTCATCCTGGACTTGGTGACCCTTCTGGTCAAGGTTATTAATTTAAATTTGGTTACATTAACTATTGTTTCATTTTCTTCTAGTTGGAGGAGATTCTTTTGGCCGTGGTGGTCGTGGTAACTCATCTTTTGACACTGGAAGTGTGCCTGCTCGCGGCATTGGTCGAGGTTCGGGCAACGGTCGTGGTGGTGGTAATTCTTCTGTCGGACCTGGTACGGGCTCTTCTGCTGGAGTTGGCGATTTTTCAAATAATCAAAATGGTATGGAGTCTTCTATTGGACACGGCCGTGGTGGGCGTGGGAACTCATCTTTTGGCGTTGAAGGTGCTGACCCTTCTTTTGGTCAAGGTTATTAATTTTGATTAATTAATGAACTAACGTTTTATTTTCTTTTAGTTGGAGGAGGCCCTACTTTTGGCCGTGGTGGGCGTGGGCACTCATCTATCGCCGCTGGAGGTGCCGACCCTTCTTTTGGTCAAGGTTATTAATTTAAATTTGATTAGTTACATCAACTAATGTTTAATTTTCTTATAGTTGGTGGAGACTCTTCCTTTGGCCGTGGTCATGGTAACTCATCTTATGACACTGGAGGTGTGCCTGCTCGTGGCATTGGTCGAGGCAACGGTCGTGGAGGTGGTGATACAGGCTTAACTGTTGGAGCGAGAGATTCTTCAAATGGTCAAAATAACATGGGGTCTTCTTCTGGCCGTGGTCGTGGGAACTCATCTTTTGACGCTGGAGGTCCTGACCCTTCTTTTGTTAGAGGTATACATTAATTTAGCTTTACTAGTTATATTAACCGATGTTTAATTTTCTTCTAGCTAGAGGAAACTCTTCTGGTGGTCGTAGTTTTTTTGCAACTGGTTCAAATTCCGTTGAAGTGCAACAAAATGCTCCTAACGTGAATGATAACAACAGCTACTTCAATCGTGAGAAGGTGACCACAGAAGATTCTGTAAACTGTACTACGGTCGATCAAGTCGGAAACAATAATGGAGTTCAAAATTCTGATGAGAAGCCTATTGTAAATGAAATTATTTTGGTAATTGTTTTTAATTGTTTCATTTCTAGAGTCGCGGGTTTGCGCTTCGTGAACGTTTGGTCGACGATTTGTATAAGGATGATGAGATATTCAAACATCAATATGTTGATATCGCTGATGCTGACGATGATGTTATGATTACTGGAGTTAATGTTAAACTGATTTTGGAGTTAAATTTTTTTAGTTATTTTTTTCTTAATTTAAAAAATATCAGGTCGTGGACTGAATTCAACATGGATCCAGTACTCAAAGAAAATATTACTGTCAAGTCCAATTATATTCGCCCGCGCAAAATTCAAAAACATGTTATTCCATACGTTCTTTCTGGTAAAATTTTTAAACCAATTTATAGCACAAACTTTTTTGCAGGTTATGATTTGAAAGGTCATTCAGAGACAGGAAGTGGCAAGACCGGAGCTTTTTTGATTCCAATCATTCAAGTATTGTTTTTTTGTTTTTTTTATTAACCTTCACATTTTAACCAAAACCCTTTTAGAAAATTCTTGCTGATCCTTCCTCACAGCGTCAACCGTCTGAAATAGCGGCCCCGTTTGCACTTGTTTTATCGCCCACGCGTGAATTATGTCTTCAAATTTATGATCAATGCCGTAAATTTGCCAATGGTAAGTTTAAATTCTTTGTATTTTGCTAACAATAAATATTATACATTGTCAAATATATTGTTCAACTTTTTGAATCTAAAGTTTAAAAATTTAGGAACTTTTGTCAAAATCACGCGTGCATATGGACAATTTAATTTTGGTGTTAATCTTGGTCAGCTTAAAGAAGGATGCGATATTTTAATTGCTACTACTGGTCGTCTTATGCATTTAATTAAAGATAAACATGTTTGTTGATTTTTTGAATTTTCGACAATTTTTATTGTTAACAGATTGATTTGTCAGAATTGAAATATTTTGTTTTGGATGAGGCTGATCGTATGCTTGAAAATAATTTTCTTACTTCTGTTCGAGAAATTATTGAATCGCCAAATTTCCCTTCAGTAATCTTTCTTTTTTAGACATGTAAATTTAATTTTTAATTACAGAAGGAAAAACGTCAAACAATGATCTTCTCTGCTACGTTCCCTCCGGAAATTGAGGAACTCGCAAATGAAATTCTTCGTTCAGATTATGTAACCGCTTCAAATAACAAACCAGTGTCTGCAAACAATCGTGTTAAACAAAGTTTTTTGAATGTTGAATCTGATAAGATGGAATGTCTCAAAGAAATGTTGGATAAAGAAGTTAAAACGGCGGCAGAGAAAAATCGTTTGATTTTTGAATTTAATAAATTTATAATTTTTATGTTTAGCTGAAAATCCAAAGCCTCGTCGTACTCTTGTTTTTGTCGAGACTCGCCGTGATGCTGATCGCCTTGCTGTTTATCTTAATGAGAATGGCATTAAATCTCTTACACTTAATGGGTACAATTAGATAAATCTTTTTTTAAATGAATTTTAAAATAAATATTTGTAGAGAACGTAAGCAATCGGAAAGAGAAATGGCACTTCGAAAATTTGATAGAGGATTTATTGATGTTCTTGTTGCGACTGATGTTTGTGCTCGTGGAATTGATATTAAAGGATTGGAACATGTAAATTTCTTTTAAATATTTTCTGATTACATTTTTATAATTAAGGTTATTAACTATGATTTGCCTCAGGATGCTGTCACTTATGTTCATCGTATTGGTCGTACTGGCCGTTTGGTTACTGGTTATTCAACGAGTTTTGTTGATTTGAAAAAGAATGCAAATCTCATTCCGGAATTGATTAAAGTTAGTTTCTTTTTCATATATCTTAGTTTCTTTTATTTTTTAGATTCTTCAAAGTTCTTCTACACCTGTTCCACAATTTATGGCTGGATATACTGCCAACGAATCTGTTACATATGTTCCTTATAACCAAAAGAAACAAATTTCGACAGAATTTGAAAATGGTGTTCAAAATTATCAAAACGGGTTCGATAATGGTGACAATACAAATGATGTTTGGAATAACAATGAGCCTCAAGTTGAACCTTTTATCGACACTGCACTTGTCAAGAACACACCTGTCGTCAATACTGCTCCTGCTCAGAGTATTGAAAGATCCTCTGACTATTGGGCTAGTGCAATCAAACAACCAACTAAATCTTCTTTTGTCCAGAATGGCGCTAAACCGATGGTTCAAACTCGTGTGGCTCCAGCAGCTCAAACTCATGTTGCTCCAGCAGCTCAAACTCATGTTGTTCCAGTAGCTCAAACTCAATTTGCACCAGTAGCTCAAACTCGTGTCGTGCCAGCAGCTCACTCGGTTGCGCAAGAAAACAATAATGATTGGGACAAAAATGATAATTGGGAGGATATTGATAATTCTTGGAATTGATTTGAGGTTCTCTGGAAATTGGTAAAACTTGAATTAAATGAATTTCAATTTTAAGTATTGTTGGTAAATGTCAAGTTCGCATTCTATTTTCCACAACTCCCCTCCTTCTAAATATGTACATTTATCGTTTGATAACTCTAGAGAAATTAAGGGAAGGAAAGACAAAAAAGCAGAATGCAAAAAAATTTTTTGAAGATGCCTTTGCGGAAAATAAAGTGCGAGCTGTATTGTTGTTGAACCTTTATTATTTTAAGGAAAATTCTTTACTTTTGATATTGCTTATTATTATTATTCCACATTATACCCGTTATTCTTTACTCGAAATAAATTACGATTTTTCCTAAATATATTTTTAAACTTTATTAGGTTAACTCTGATGGGTTTTTATTAAAGGAAAATAAAATCGATGCTAAAATTTAGTTTTGAGTTAGGGAAATTAATTTTAATGTACATCTTAGTTAGACTTTATTTCACATCTTTTATGCAATTGTTTCGCTTGCGCAGTTAAAGCGATTAGTCGGAGACTAGTGGTCACACATAATGTTTTGTGTCCGGATGAGTGATGGTCTATGAGTTGTAATATAATGTTTTCCACTGCATAAAGTGTCCAATTTTGATGTTTGGTTGTAAATTCCTTAACTAATTTGGTAATGTCGGGGTCGAGTTTCCATATGTAGGGGTTGCCAAAATTGGTTGGGGTTCAGGGTCTTCAATTCGAAAATTCGGGGACGGGATATTCACTGAAAATTCGGTATTGAAACCATTAATATTCTAAGGAAGGATGTATCTTCAATTATAAAATACTTTAAAAAATTGTTTATTTTTCATCGAGACTGATATTCCTACAAATACTTTCCAAATGCAATGCAGCAACATCAACATATCGGTTTGTAAAAAATAATTACGTTATCAAGTGTAGGTTACACATGTTTATATATAGTTGTAGAAGATGGAGTTAGCGATATTGATGGCACAGAGGATAATCTGTCTGATTTTAGATGTTGGTGTTGCTGCTTTGGTGTGCACATTAAGGTTAATTACAGGCGAAATAAATTTATAAAAATACTATAATTTTCTGATTTTTCTAAATTAAAGGTGGCAACTGCATTAGTTGCTGGGATTTCCTCAATACTTATTTTGACAAACTTTATCGCCAAACTATGCGGCTACTCCGAGATTGGCTGGAATTTTGAGCTGCTCTTTATGATAGTTGACGGTGCAGCTTTAACGGCATTAATTTACGGGCTATATACTGATAATGCTGCATTCCTACAACCATTTGTTGCTCTTAGTGTGAGTTTGACAATCAAAACTTTTTAAATAAATCCAATCTCTCAGATAATCACTTCTTCATTGCTGGTACTTCTAGCTGCTTATTTGGGGACTGCAGTAATCGACTCTAACTCTTATGCAGCTCAACGGTTAGAGTTAGAATTGAACAAACGACTTTCTGATGCTGCTAGACGACTTAATTTGGAGTTCAAACTTAGTGAGAACAAAATTTTAAATTAAAACTACAATCTTTTTAGTGGTTTCCATTGTGGCAAGCATAGCTCTAACGGGCATACTCATTTCAATATTTATCCACTTTTGGTTCGTTTATTTAATAGTAAAATGTGCAAAATATTTTAGAATTGCTGTTAAAAAATAAAAATACAATTGTTAAAAAATTTTTATTTCGAAGTTTGGATAATAAAACAAATAATCCAAATACATAATATTGAATTAAATATTGTTGGATATTAAACTTAAGCAGATAAGAATATTTTTGGGCGGGGAAAACCATGTTTTTGGTGTTAACTCTAAATTTTGGACATAAAATTTTTGGGTTTTCTTTGGAATTAACCTTAAAAATTGATGGAAACCCAAAAATAAAATTAAAGAATTTACAATCGAAAAATGCTTGTGCAGTTTTAACCAATAAGTATTAAATTTATTTAAATCGCAAAATTCCTCACAATCAACATTCATTATTCCATTAAATCAAACATTCCTTCTCCAATTTTTAATCACGTGGTGAACGAGATAAGCTTCGACTGCGTGAAGGACTTCTTGATCGTGAATGCCCATGTGGAGAACGGGAACGGCTCTCGTCTCCTCGGCGATCAGATCTGGACCTTGAACGGCCACGGGGTGAGCGCGATCGAGATCGATCATCACGGGAACGAGAACGGCGTGGTGGAGAACGAGTACGCGAACGGCGACGTGAACGGGAACGCGAACGACGGCGTCTAAAAATATGAAATTAGATTTGGAAAGAAAATTTAACAGAAAATAGAAGGGGGATTTTTATAATACGTTACTTATACTTTCCAAAAAATCAAATCATTTCCTATTGAGGATCCCATAAAGAAAATATCGAAAATATTACAAGAATATCTGAATGATTTGCTGCTGACTACATTGCAACGCGTGCAGCAGAAAACATTTTGGACAGGATTCTCTCTGCCAATCTTTCCCTGGACTGGATTCATTCAGAAAGGTCTTTTTGAAATTCTCCGGCAGTGGACTGCAAAAATCTGCCCAAAGCTAACACAAGCCGCCCACTGCTATACAGGCTTTCTCATCTCATTTGTCTACAAAGCTTACACTGCCCAAGGCTCTCTTTCATAAACAGCTAGCTCAATACTTCTTATTAGCACTTTCACCACCATAAGGTGGCATCTACTGGAACTTAAGTGGATAAAACTACTCAAATTTGGTTTTATTAATAAATCTAAAAAACAAACCTGTCTCGATCGCGACCTTCATCAAGCGGACGTCGATATTTGGCAATAGATACGCGCAATTCTCGACCATTCATTTGTTTTCCATCTGCGCGAGAACAAGCATAATCCTAAAATAAATGTTTTTAAATTTACTAATTTATTACTAACAGCATCTTTCCTCGAATAGAAACGGACAAATCCAAAACCGCGACTTTGATTATTGTAACGATCACGAGGAATCTAAAAATAATTAAATATTAATTAACAAACAGATACTTACATAGACATCGCCAATATCTCCATAACGGTCAAACAATCGACGAAGTTCATGAACGCTTGTATTATAAGGCAGGTTATCGACCTAAATAGTCGTGATTAAAAATATTGACAGCATACGGTTGGGTTGTATAAATTTGATATAGTTCGGGTACCTTGGGCATGTTTTCCTCGCTTGCTTTAACAACCTATAAAGAATTTCCACCTAATAATAAATAGCCCCACACGTCAGATCCCTGTCGCCCTATAATAGGAAGTTTATTAAAATTGAAACCTTTAAGCTGTATAGTTCGTCAAAGTTTATATCATTTCCACGCCTTGAGGACATTATTTTGAATTATTCAAATCAACTACCTGATTAAAGTAAAAGGATTAGTTTTTTGAGTAAATGAAAAAGATATTAAACGCAAAACAAGCAAAGAAATAAACAATAATAAATTTAACAAATTTAATAAAAATATGGAAAATATAAAGGCTAAAAAATCAATCAATATAAATATCATGCATTTTTGCGAAAAGTTTGACTAAATAAGTATGTGAGGCATAAAGTTTAAGTCCATTTTCGACTGTTATCCATTTCGCAAATTTGGCATCAGAACCCGCCTAAAATATAAAAAATAAAATAAGTTTTGTTAAAAAAATAATCAACCTTTAGATTCAAATCTTTAAAGAGATTCCCCGTTGTATCATGAAAATTAAAGCAACTTGTTTCCATCCAAGAATTGTCTGTATTTCTCGGATCGTCAACATATCCCTGATAAACAGTTTTTCCATTCTTCCAAATAGAAGACAATTTCTCGTCTAAAACATTATTTGAAAGAGCTTCTTCATGAAATTCTCGAATTGCCGCTTCTTGAGCATCTTCACCAGGATCTATCATTCCACCAGGTATTGCCAAATCTTCTTAAATAAACAAAAAAATTTTAAAAATAAATCAGATATAAACCAGTATCATTTCTCACAATTGCTACAAATTGAAGTATTTTCCTTGCATCTTCCCCAATAATATATCTCGAAACAATAGCATCAGCTGCATGATTTGGACCCCATTTTCCGAGAACACCACGACCACGTAAACCTGTCCTTCCAAATGGATTAAGAGGACGTCCAGTTGAATCAAGAGAATATGAACTGAAAAGGAAGAGTATATTTGAAAAAAAAAAACAAAAAAATATTTTACCCATTAAATGACAGCCTATTTATTCCATCATCATCCACACGATTAAAAGTGTAAATACACGGATCTTCGTGGTCTGCCCAAGTTTTTCCATAAATAGTTTTTGCTGTATAATCTTTTGGTGAATAACTGCATTCTCCAAAATCAGAGTCCCAATGCACTTGATCGTCTTTGACAGGAATTCGATAAACTTTACTTCTCAAATATGGCTTTGCTAAAAGAAATAAGAAAGAAAAAAATATATAAAATAAAACTTGAATCTCTGCATTTAGTATGTAATGTCCTGCAAAACATTTTTATTGACATGTGTATATCTTAAAAACAAATTATCTGAATAAACAAGTTTTGATTAAAAAGAATTTGCGTCTATTAAACGCGCAAAGCCCGATCACGCACGCGCGCGATAGTGATACAAAACTCTGAGTTATTAATTAATCAACAAAATTGAAGAGTAAAAACGGGAATAAAACTATAATGAGTACCATTTTGGACGTACCATTTTGTCCGACACGAATTCCATAATTTGTTCAGCCAGTTCATTCCCTTATTTTCAAGGATGGACATTTCATCACAAACTTTCTTAGTCGAAATTCTAGTATTGTATTTCTCTCAAATTAAATCTGGAAAATTGTAGAATCTGGCTTGTATAAAACACCGTAAGAGCTAATTTTTTAAGCTAATTTAGGCGTATTTTACATAAAATACCAAAATTTTTTGAATAAAACAAGTAAACTTTCGAAATATCTTTAAATTCAAAAAATTATCAATAATGAAAAATAATCAGTTTTTTATAAAAAAATTTGCAATTAAATCATTTAGTATATTCCTTCATTTGTTGCTTTCAATTGTTTTTCTCAGCTCCTCATAATTATTTCCCTCAATAACAGTCTGAAATTTAAATATATTTAATTTTTATTTAAAAATTACAAGTTTCTTTCCATCTTTGAAGAAAACAAATGTTGGCATTACCTAAATATATTTTTTCTGAAAATTTTTGTTTTTAACAAACATTTATTTCATAATTGGCTGCAATATGTTCCTAAAATTATTTTTTTATTAAATAATTTTATTTAATATAATTTACATGTTCATCAACATCTATTCCAACATAAATTGGGTCAGCAAATTCATCTGCTAATTTCTAAAATAAATAAATATATATTTAATTTATCCCCTTATACACAAACATTAAATTTTGGTGTCATTAATCGACAAGGACCACACCTAAATTTTTTTTATTATTTAAAAATTAAATCCAACCAAGTAGCAAAAAAGTCAATAACGACAAGTTTAGAGCCTGCTTCTGCCAAAATTGCATTTAATTCTTCCTTTTAATTTAAATTTATTCCATATTTAATTAACATTCAAATTTACCTGACTTTTTGGGTGTTTAATTGTTTGTGACATTTTTAATTTTTAAATTTATTTTCAGAAAAATTATTTTAACATTAAAATAAAAATGTTTTTATTTCACTTCACATTTCTTTAATTAATTCATTTTTCTTTCAGAAAAATTATATAAGCTTTTTTGAAATATCAGCCTTTTAAAAAAGTAAAAATTCTCATAAGGTAATAAACATTGTTTTGTTGCTAAGGACTACTATTATTAAAATTAAAAACTTTTTTTATTCAAATGTTCAATTTATTTTTGGTAAAAAATACATACACATGTATATGAAAAATACCTTAATATTTTTATAAAAATTTAAATAAATCTACTACCTAATTTTAAATAAATTTGTCAACTTTCATGTGGATAATAAAATTAAAAAGAGAAATAATAAAAAACATTAAAATATTTTTGTAGATTTAAAATTTTTCAATTAAAAAATTTTTTCAATTCAATTAAAAATATATTTTTAATTATTGTGCAATGTGCAAATCTTCCCATTTAATCGGCATAAAATAATTAATCGATTACAGATATCAATTAAGTAATAATGTTGAGATAATGAAAGCTAAAAATAATTTTAAAAGAAGAAATTAACCATTTTTGTAACAAAAAGAAATATTTTTAAAATAATGTTTAATAAAATATTCCAAATTTTTTTAAATTTAAATAAAAATATTTTATTTATTTTATTATTTTTTCTAATTTTTTTATTAAAAGAAAATGTTTTTTGTGATTATTCCCTTGGTTTTTTAAATAAAAAATTCTTTAAAAAATATTTTTGTAGAATGTAATTCTGGTTATCGTGTTTCTGCCATTAGAAGGGCTAATTCTGATAGACAAAGAGGGAAAGTTGGTTCAATTAGTATTGAATGCCAGCCATTATTAAGTGGCCAAATAGTTAAAGAAAAGGTTTTAATTTGTATGTAGACAGGGAAATTTTTAAAAATTATACAAAGGAGAAATGACGGACCATTATAACGAAATCACGGACTGGGGGGAGGGGGGATTCAATTTCGTCCAGCCCTGATAAATACCGATATATTTATTGAAAAAATAATTTAAAAAATTATTATTTAAAAAAGGTTAAATGTTCCCCTCTTAATATTGCCCCTCAATGTAATGGCCAACTTGAAGGATGTAATAATTCCCAATGGCTTGGTGGTTTTAATGTTTATGAACTTGATAATAAAACAAATGCAATTCTGTTCGGAAATATTTTTAAATAAAATAAAATTAATATTTTTTTAGTCTGGACCCAATTTGTTGTGAATCTCCCGATTTATTACAAATTGATCAAAAAAGTTGTGTTTCGGAAAGATTAAATTTCCCAAAATTATCTTTTGAACATTCAATTTCGAATTCTGATTTTGTTTACAAGTTTTTTTTGAAAAGTTTATTTAAAAATATTTTTTTCAAAAAAAAAAGAGGTATAAATTGTTGGCATCAATTTAATCCAGACGGGACAACGGCAGATTTAATTTTTAAAATAGAAATTTGTCAAATAAAAAGAAAAGAAACAAAAAATGAGGAAAATAAAAACAAAATTAATTTTGTTTTTTTGGATTCTTCAAATTTAGGTTTGAGAAAAAAATTTTTTTTAAATTTCTTTTTCAAAGGTAAATGTCCATCATGTGATTGCCATAATTGTGGAATTAATTTATGTGGAAATGGGGATGAACCTATTCGAGTTGTTCACAAACATTTTAGTAAAAAAAGGTGTGCCTGTGATTGTATTTGTCGTTATGAATGTATTGGAAATTAAATAAAAAAAATTTTGAAAGAGAAAAGAAGGGACTAAAATACACTAAAATCTAACCCTTAAAAATTTTTTTCTAATTTATTTTTTGGTAAATTAATTTTTTTAGAAAAATTAAACATTTAAAAATCTTCTCTATTTTTCCTTAATTTTTAAGAAAAAAAATATTTTAAAACAATTTACCTAAAATTTAAAGAAAATTTAAAACAACCATAATTAATGTGTAATCTGTCCAGGATAAGCATCCGCTCTATTTTTTCTTGTCAAAAATTTAAATTTCCTTTCACGGTCTTCATCAATAATTGCTTCAGAAGCTTCTCTAGCATATTGATTTCGTTGCATATATGGCTTTAGAAAGTAGCGGGTATTTCTAATTATTTTGAGTAAACCTTCACGTTCCATTAATCTTTTTTAAAAATAAATTGAAAAAAATAAAAAATTAAATAAACCTATTTAAAACATGAAAAGCTGCATCAACGTCGTTATCTTTTACCTTAAAAATTAAAATTTTTTAGAATGTTGAAAGAAATGTTTTAAAAAAATTTTTAATTTTTCTATATATTTTTATTTTAATACAAAGAAAATCTAAAAAGTTTTTCCAAAAACAAAGTTTAAAAAATATTAAAAAAAAATAACCATAATTGTTTTTTGAAGAAATCTGCCAGGCTGCATCGCCCAAATTCCATGAAATAATGGCACTCCGAAAGGTTGACGCATTTTGCCACGCCATGTAAAACGTATAGAAGGCATAATCGCAGAAATAAAAGCTAAAAAATAACAAAAATATTTTTAGAAGACAGAAAAAATTAGAGGAAAAATAGTTGACGAATATTTAATTTTTAGGAGTATTGGCTATTGGTCTTCTGGGCGTATTGTCTATTGATAATATGTTATTTGTATTTTTATGACAATTCGCCACTGAGACAATTGGACAGTTGGCAATTTCACAGTAAAGTGTGGATACAGTAGATTTATGGTATAGTGGGGTTAAGAGCGTATGACGGGACTTCTGTCCCTAACAAATTAAAAAATAAGTAAAAGTATGTTTTATACATACTCTTCATTAAATTTTATTTTTTTCCAAAATTTCCAAAAATATTTAAATAAAATATTAAATAAAATTAAATAAAAATGGAAAGTGCAAAGTAATAAATTTTAAAGGAAAATAAAATAAAAAGAAAAACTTTGAACCTTATTATCATAAGGTTCAAATTAAACAATAACAAGGCAATTAAGCCATGCATGTATAAGTTTAATCGTTTTAACGAGAAACCGTGAACGGCTCATTAAATGGCCAAATTTTGGTCAATTTTTGAATGAACACATGTTGTGTTTTTTACTTTTTCAATGAAAAAGTTATATTTTGATAAAAATATTTATCGTTAGCTGGCTTACCAGCTAACGGCTTGTTTGGATTAAAAGGTGCAAAAAATGGATTTTTTGCTAACTGGCTGATCGAAATTTGTTTTCGATTAGTAGCGAAAGAAAGAAAAAAATAATTGTTTTCTCTCTTGACGCCCACGTTTCTAGCTAGAGCTAATACATGCACTAAAGCTTTGTCCTCTCTAGAGAAAAAATTTGTGAGCCGTTCAATTTTGGCTTTTCTTTTTAAAACCCCGCCTCCCCCCTTTTTAAGTTTTTGCTGCCCCTTATTTTTTTTGTCAGTTTTGAAATTTAAAAATAAAAATTAAATAAAAATATTAAAAATAAAATTTGTTTTTCTTTTTGGGAATTATTACTAGGAAAATTTTTTATTGGAAAAAATTCTTTAAAAGGAAGAATTCTTTAAAAATCTTTAAAAGAAGAAAATTTTTTGGGAAGATTTAATAAATTTAAATTTGGAATTTTATACTGTGTGCTACAGTTTCTGGTGCTCCCAGGCGGCATTTTCATCAACACATCAACATAATATTTAAATTTCTTCAGTGAAATACCAATACTTTCATCGATTCCCAGCAATTTTTAATTGGCAAAAAATTGTAAATTTTTTATTAATTTTTAAAATTAATTTGGTAATATTCACACTGAATCCATTGTAAATTCAGTAGTGTCTATATATCAAATTAAAGGGGAAAAAATATTAAAAAATAAAAATAATAATATTAAATAATTTCAAATCGAGCCCTTGTACTCGATTTGAAAAGGGGGGTAAATAAAAGGAAAAAAAATAGAAAAGAAATAAAATAATTACAAAACGAGCCATTGTCACTCGTTTTGTAAAAATATCAAAAATATAAAAAATATATTTAATTAAAAATTGTGGTTCTTTGCCAGTTTCTCTTCCTTTCTCTCTCTTTTCCTCTCATTTCATCACACAGTCCCTTGTCAAACTGTGTTGATTAAAAAGGATTTTTGAAGAAATTGAAGATATTTGCGTGCTTTAGAGTCAAAATTTGTTAAATTTGTGAAGAGTTGAAAAATTTGAATATTTTTGTGGAAAGTATTTTGAAGAAAAATTAAAAAATAATAAAAAGGGAAGATTAATTATGTCGGCTCCACTCAAAACCGCCATTATTTCAGCCTTTAAAGCTTGGATGGAGTTCAAGGATGTGGATTTTGAGGCCGGAATTGAAGCCGGCGACTCCGCGCAGTTGCGAAAAATTAAATATGAAGAAATATATGAAGAATTAAGGAATGAAGTTCAAGCGCAAGAGGCTATTATCACTGACGTAAAAAATGTTTTGACTGCGTGGGGGGACCTTTTGAGGAAGATGAATGGGGAAGAACGGCGTGCCGGAAATGAAGATTATATAGAATTTAATGAAGTTCATCATGTGGAGAATACTCTTCAGAAGTTCGAGCAGAATGCGAGGTCTCTGAGAGAGTATGCTCAGAAAATTTTGACCCAATTGAAAATTGCAAAGCACGACGCCGAAAAGGAGCGCCAACAGGAGGAGTTGCGATTCCATACTGCGGCAGCAGCCGCAGGGAATCGACTCGAAACTCAGGCAGCTCCGGCGGGACCTGGAAGTTCCCGTTCCCTACATTCTTTGTACCAACTCCCAACTCTACAAATAAGGAAGTTTGGTGGAAATAGACGAGAATGGCTGGATTTTTATGAAAGTTTTAAATGTGCCGTCGACAATTCTGTCGCGTCAGAAATTGAGAAACTGACCCTGCTTCGTTCCTTACTTGAAGGAGAAGCACGAGACCTTATCTCGGGATTTCGACTCGAGACCCGAAGTTTTGAGGAGGCCATAAAATTATTAAAAGATTATTATGGCAATACTGAGGCTCATGTGCGCGACTTGCACATTAAATTGGCCAATCTGAAGCCGTGTCAAAATTTGAAGGACACGAAAAATTTTGCGTTCGAGCTAGAACGCTTGTCTCGAGAATTAAAAAATGCTCGAGAAGACATAGAAGGCCCAGCAATTTATTTGGCATTGGAGAAAAAATTAAATAAAAATTTTTTGAGAGAAATATTAGTGAAGAAAAATGAAGAAGGTTCAAGATGGAACACTTCCAAATTTCGAGAGGCTTTACATAATGCCTTACAAAGAGAATTGGCCATACAAGAAGTACTTTTGGAGCATGATCAGGATAAATCGCATGCCCCGAAAATTCAGAAGCCCCCGCCCAGAAATTTTAATTCTAATCAGCAAGGCCAACACTATACTTATGCGGCAATTGAGCCAATAAATATTTTAAGGGGTCAAGGAAAAATACCCCAACCTAATTATCAGAGTGCTAATAAAGGGCCAAGATGTTTATTTTGCACTGAAAGTCATTGGAGTGACCAATGCCAAAAATATAATAATGCAAACGCCCGAATTCAATTCGTGCGTTCAAAAAATTTATGTATGGGTTGTTTGAGTAACAGCCATACAAAACCTCAATGCCAAAGGCCTTCAACATGTTTTTATTGCGGGGGAAGACATCCCCGTGCCTTATGTTTCAAAAAATTTGGCCAAAATTTGAATAATAATTTTAATAATAATTCTAAATGGAATGAGACTCAAAATAAAAATAAAATAAATTTTTCTAATAATAGAAATAAAAATACTGGACCTGGAAATAGATTCGATTTTGGCTCGAATCGTCCAGGATTAAATAATTGGAAAGGAACTGGTGCTAATAATGTTCCGATTGGAATCAGGAGAGATGGTTCTCCTTTTAATAATGGTGGATTTAATTCCTCAAAAGAAAATAATTTTAATAAAGAAGTTAGATTTTCCCCTAAGAGGGAAGTGGCAACTCAGCAAGTGAATTGCCAAATGATTGAGCCTTTAAATAATGATGGACTAGGAAAGTCCTTGCTTATGACTGTAGAAATTACAGTATTTAATCCTAAAAAAGAGGAAATAAATTTAAAAGTTCTCGCCTTCCTGGACCCTGGAAGTCAGAGATCTTTTGTTACAAAAGAGGCTGCTAATAAATTAAATTTGGAATCTATTGGAAGTGAAGAGTATTATTTGACTAGTTTTGGAAATAGCATGCCTAAAAAATATAAATGTGACCTAGTCAAAATTGGATTAAGAGGAGAAAATCAGAAGTTGACTATGGTCTTAAATAAATTAGATTTTCTAGTTAATCCTCTTCCTTACTATAATGTAAAGGAAATGTTAAAGGATTACGATAAAATTTATGTTGAAAAATTATTGACCACTGAATATCGGCAACCTGACATCCTGCTTGGCATGGACATTTGGCATGAGCTTCATGTCCAAAGAATGCAGGTTTTGCCGAGTGGATTTACAATTTGCCAGTCCAGATTGGGGCCAATAATGAGTGGCCTAGGACAAATTGAGGATGAACCTCAACAACTAATTACAGGCATTTATAAGGCCCAAACTACCCAAATTTATTCAGTAATTCAATTTACTGAAAATAAACATCAGAAAAATAAAGAAATTGACCATGAAAATGAAGAAAATTTAGTAACCTTTTTTGGCCTATCTGGAGTTGGAATGGATGATTTAACTCCTCGAATTAAGGACCAAGAAGTATTGGAAAATTTTAGAAAAAATCTCACTTTTATTGATGGGCGCTATCAAATAGCTCTA